TTGGTGAGCTGTACAAGTTTCCCCAAATTTTGTTTTAGGTGCATAATAATAAAACAAAATTCGGCAACTGAATATGTATGAGGTATAGTAAAACAAATATAACATGGTTTATTTCGGGTGGACAGTCGATATTAGCTCCCCTCGGTATTGGAAGTTGACAAACTAGTTCCCTCGGCTTCGCCTCGGGAACTAGTTTGTCAACTTCCAATACCTCGGGGAGCGAATATCGACTGTCCACCCTCAAACCATGTTATATTTGTATACTATCCGCCCATGGGGAATGGGAAATACTATTCAACAGTTAGGTTCATGACGCGGTATTTGTGTGCAAATGCATGCTGGTGTGCGCGTTCAGCGTTGCTCGTAGCGCGTATTGTTCCAAAGAGCCAGCGCTACAGCGTTGGGTTTTTGGTGGTTTTGAAGAGAGAAATGCATTTTCCTCCAGTTTTGTATTGAAAAAAAAGTTCAAATATATCAAATGACAAGGATCTAAATGTCAGTTTTATAAAACAAATATTGAGTGGCTTTAATTGTGAAATGGGATGAATATTATCGCTCGGTAAAATCTGTACTTTTCCAGTTCACTCGGCTTCGCCTCGTGAAATGGAAAAGTCCAGATTTTACCTTGCGATAATATTCCTCCCATTTCCACGCTGAGCCCCTCAATATTTGTATAATGATCAGCACTGACGTTAAGTACTATATAGATAATAGATTGGAGGGGTAAAAGAATCGTCCAATTTGACAGGTCCATTTTTTCCTTGAATCTGTGAGCAAGGTTGGTGATGTGGTTCAGGATGTTGAAAATTAAGATGTAATGATGATAATAATTAATTAGAACAGATGGTGGTGGTGATGTTGGTTATGCATGCTTGAATTGTGTTTAAAGGGAACAACATGTACTTTTGCTGTAATTTTCAGAAATGGGTAGATATGGGGGTTTAGTAGCCTATTTTATAGAAAATACTGTTACACTGACTTGTTTGACTTTTTTGGTTCGTACATGCTGGCAAAAAAAAAGCAATTATTTTCTTGTAGTCTTGTTCCGCGACTCCAAGATGAAGCAGAGCAATTTTATAGACGTCCGGGGGAAATGTAACGTCCGGGAATCAGTCTAGCTGGCTTGTACTCGTCATGTGTGTGATCGATTGCAAAGAAAAGGTGGACTATGTCTGATACATTTGGAGCAGAAGTGGAAAAAAAGTCAGCCGGCTCAACACATGTTTTCTGTTCTAGGTATATATATATTTTTAAATAACTCAATAAATCATTTCCATAACAATAAGTTTGTAAGAGAAGCCTTTCGATGTGTAATGTTTCCAAATAGATTTGTGTTTCTTTGGCCAAAGTTGAATCGATGTCACTATAATTTTTGGCATCTGTAGGCTATCTGTCCCTTCATGTAGACAAAAAAAAATCAAATGCAATTACTAAACTGAATGCCCGCTGAATAATATTAAGGGAATAAATGTGTGCTCCGGAGGTTTTTATCACTCGTTTAATACCGCTTAGAGTCTGGGTGCTGATAATTACCCGAGCCGGAGGCGAGGGTAATTATCAGCACCCAGACTCTAAGCGGTATTAAACAGAGTGATAAATACCGACCGAGCACATATTTATTCCCATTCATAAATACCTTATCCGTAAAAAAATATCAAATAATTCGTTCAAAAAATCCCGATTTTGTTCAACAAGTTCACTTTATGCTTTTTGAAACATCCCTCTAGCAAAATAATGGAGTGTTCAGCTGGCGAGTAAGATGTAAACAACCCTTTTATGGAGATTGACGCGCGCGTAACATGTTCTGCGCGATGTCACGCAGAACGCACCTGGGGCGTTGCGTTTTGAATTTAGAACTATAAAATTCTGACTCGCTTGTAGTGTTGCGCATGCCTACGTGAGGATTGTGAACGTTCAACCAATGAAACAGTAAGAGGCACTGGATTTTAAGGAGTCCACATTTTATTGTGACACTGGAAAAGTGTTTAAGACCAGCTAGCCATGGCCCAATTTCATAGCACTGCTTAACAGTAAGCAGACGGTGGTACTTACTATAGCAGAAAATCATGCTGCTGCTTAAGCACTATTCCATGCTAACGGTTGCGCGCGCATGGAGATTTCTAATGTTACCCCACTGATTTAAGCAAAGTTTTCTTCTGGGGTTAAGCGTGCTTTTGCTGTGCTTACTGCTTAACGGTCCCTATGAAATAGATGGAGGCTCGGTAAGCACAAAGTCAGCTGTTAAGCAGCGCTATGAAATTGGGCCCATGTCTTTATCATCCGTTTAAGACCGGCCACGTGACGGGCTCTCGACCAATAGGAATAGCTAAACTGTCTCAGGTATTTATGAATGTAATTTAAAATCGTAACTAATCGCGCACGTGCTTCACCTAGAACTTTAATATGATCAGCACTGACGTCATGTACTATAGATAATGGGGAAACAAATAACATTCAGGTTTGACAAGCCCATTTTTCCTTGAAACTGTGACCAACGTTGGTGACATATGGTTCAAGATGTTGAAAATTAAGATGTAATAATGATGATAATTAATTGTACAATAGATAAAATGTTATAATGACGGTGGTGATGATGTGGGTGATGAATGGAGGTATATGTAACGGAATAAGGGTTAAAAATTTTCAATCAAAGTCGATTTTTGTTTTAAATTGTCGGCCCCAAAAGGGTCCGTAAGGTTTGGTTTGTAAGCGTTGACTCCATCTTTAAACAATTTTTAGTTGACGTTTTGCATTCTGGAATATCAACGAGTAAAGAGTCATTTTGAGAACGCTATGAAAGGAAATCTCTTTTGTGATTTTGTGTTTAATTCTGAGACCTATAAAAAATCACTCAAATGACTTTGAAATAATGACGTCATCGTGCCATTCTATGTGTTTGGCGTCCCCATCAAATTATTTAGTCTAATTTGTATAATAATATAGTTTATGAAGACGTCACATTAAAAGATATAGGCCCCCTATATATTCTCCGGCAGGAAAATATATGTTTATTCCAAGTTTTATCTTCATCCCTTGACCCGTTTAATAAAAAAATCGGTATTCTGTTGATTCAAAGGATTCTGTCTGTATTATGGATTCGCCTAACTTTGACCTTCCGGTAAACCCACAAGGAAAGGTCAAGCGACGTTGCCTATATTAAAACTGTTCATCAAGGTATGGTCTATCAGAGTAGAAAATCTACAAAAACGTGATTGTCAATTTTATATGTGCGGAAAATGGCTATTTTGTGAACTACAATCGATTGTAATTTGATGATTCTGATGACGTCATCATGAATCATGGTAATATGTTCACTTCTGTATCACGATCGTTGAGTTTTAAGTTCATACTGTAAACTGTTTTGAAGAAAAAATATTGTCCGGAAAAGAAAGCGAGAGAGAAGGGAAAAACTCGAACAATTGTAAAATGGTGATTTCACCCAAATCACTGTTTACTCTGTTTGAACATTGTTGTTCAGACTTGTGTTTACAAGACATGATATAACCTGCGAAGCGCATTTCTGGTGTTGCAAGCAGCAACTATAAAACTAGAATCAGTATCGATAAACTTCAATATGGACTAATACGGAGCCTTCCTTGGAGTTTACGCAACATATGCTTATGCTTTACTAAAAATTAATGTTAAATGACTTCTTTGTCTGTGTACGGGTATAATAAAATTCTGATCCGAACTAATAACAAAAATGGTTTGTGGCTACATCGTACCAAAGTGTTAATTTTCTGCATTAAGGTATGAGGGGAAAACCGGTGAGGTACAATTGCAATCACTGGTTAAAAAAAGGACTAGAATATTAATTTGGAAAGTTTCGTGTGATTTGTACAAGACTAGACTTCAGAGATGATTCCATTGAGAATTCAGTTTGGGAAAATGCTCCCTAGATCACAGTAACCCCAATAACGTTTTGATTTGAAATCACAATAGGAAAAAAAGTGTGCAAACTTAGAAAGTAACATTTTCAGATATTATGCGGGGCTTTTGTGTTCCCCGCGCTTCCAAAAAGAATCCTCGGATGAAAACGTTTTCCATGTTACTGCTCATACGATTGAATGGACATTTAAGTTGACCTTCGTCACCGATAATGAAAAACCACGCACTACCAGCCTACAAAAGAAACCAGAAATAATTAAAGCACTGAGACAGGAACAAACTTGAACATAGATTTATTGGACATAACACAACCAAGATTATAACAAGTCTCTGCTCGAGATTATCAAAGCAACCGACGTGTCATTTAAAAACAATAAAGATAGGAAAGAGAATCTGTCTTGAGGAATAGTATGCCTTCTGTGAAGAATAATGTGCAGTGTGTTGAAAATGCCACTATTCACGGACCGGTTATAAGTGTTCGGTTTCATTTCGATTTCAATATCGTTAGCCTAATTACAATCACAGTCATGATCAGCCTTCAGGAGTGCACGTCATGTTTATGACATGAGTGGTAAAACTGGCTGGAACACGATTCCAGTATTGTTTTCAAACAAGGACAACTCTTACAAGAGCAGATGCAGATATTGCTTTGGCTCAAGAGGCGCTAGCTAGCAAAGTGGAGGGTGAAGTAAACATGTGTCTCTTTTTGGCATAATTTCCAGGTTTGTTTTGCGGACGGCGGAGGGGGCGTTAGAACGCCTACCCCCGTAGATCTGCCACGTTAGGGAAGAATAAAAATGCAGTAAAATGTCAACAGTAACCATTTTCATTTAATCAGGTTAAGCCTTACTAACTGTTGGTAAATCATTGTAGTTCCGCATGGAGATAATAAAAGAAGAAAATACCATGATTTCCTCAAGGACTAACGATGGGGATGATTCAGGTGATTCAACGCTCGGCCACTGAAAGTGTTCACAATGATGTGTGTATTGGAACCTGGTAAAGAAAGAGGTTTTCCAACACTAGACCTAGAAATGGCGGAAATTGTTCAATAAATCGTTAATGATGGGCTTACTTTAAATCACTTCATTAATGTCGATTGTCAGCATTTTGGGGCGTCTGAACCCGAATTACTGGCACCATCCCCCTTCAAATGCCCAACACAGTGTTAGATCTCAAACATTATGCTTCGCCGAACATTATTTCATTAATGTTGAATGTAAGTATATTCTTTGGTTCTTAACCCAACAACTGTGCACGTACGCACAAGCCCACCGACCATGCCTCGCGCATAAAACACCTCCTGTCTGACGAACAATCGGAATCTTGATGGCAACTGGGTCCTAAAAAAGAAACCAAAATGAAATGCATGGGTTACCCTTAAAGAAAATATGTGTGTGGATAGCCTGTTGAATTTACGGAAGCTTCAGATGGAAAGAACTTATTTGATAATCAGCAAACGAAGAGAAACCTCCCACTGAATGGATTATTGTACAATTCAGTGAACATAACTTCATAGGAAATCTTGCAAGACAACATTCCCCAGGACAACTATAGGTTTTCCCGGCCAAGTTAGCCGATTTGGCGGCCAAATTGGTGACCAAGCACCCTTTTCGCACGAATTTGAATGCACGTTGAGATCAACATCCAATTACCTAAAAACACCAATTATTTTCACATGAAAAGCATGCGATTTCACATTTAAATCATGCAATTTCAACCATAGGGCATTCAAATTAAAATTGCACAAACGAGCATCCAAATTCGCTGAAGCTTCCGGCTGTGTAGGTTTGGTCCAGGCGCGGTTCTACGGGGGGGCTAGGGGGGGGGGGTGGGCTGTAGCCCCTCCAAAATTTTGTCTAGCCCCCCAAAATAAATTCCGTAAAAAAAATTGCATTAGCAAAAAGAAGGATTGCATGTGATGTACATGTGAACGGTCTCCCCCTAAAGAAGAAATAGCCGTGAAAAGGGTGCATTAGTTAATATAGTGCAAGGGCGGATCCAGGAGGGGGGGGGGGCAAAGGGGGCCATGGCCCCCCCCCCCCCCCCAAAAAAAAACGAAACCAATTATTTTTTTTTTTATGTGACATCGCAATTAAGGCAGGCAATGAGTACACCACCATCTTTTCCTCAAAAACAATTGGTTAAAGTGGTCAGAAATTGCCTCAGATCGCACCACAGAGCATCTAGAATCCAAAAATTGTTCGGGGCCCTAATTTTTTGGACCCACTTTTTTGGGGGACCAAAATTTTTTTGGCCCCCACAAAAAATTGTGTTCTGGATCCGCCCTTGCTATAGTGTGAATGATTTTAGGATTTTATTGGCGCTCCCCATTGAAAATATGGCATGAGCACCCCCCCCCCCCCCCACCACCACCACCACCTATTGATTTTCGGAGGCCTAAGTGTCTGGAAAAAATAACCGGTCAACATTTCAGCACGCTTCCCTGAAAAAAATTCTGGATTCACCGTGCTAGCCCCCCCCCCCCCCCCCCAAAAAAAATATTGGCTCTAGAACCGCGCCTGGTTTGGTCATTCGAATTTACCATTAAGCAAGCATGTGTGTAAAGTAAGCAAAGTAAGCAAAGAGTGCTTTTGTTCCAATTTGGAAACATGTACGTCACGGAGGGGAGCAGGGGGCGCTCCCCCCCCCCCCCCCCCCCCAAAAAAAAGAGGGGGAGGGTAAAAAGGAAAAGAAAAGAGGCGCAAAGTCATATTGCTGTAAATTTAATGGGTTGGGAGAAATGTCCGTGGCCCCTCTAAAACTGATAACTCGAGAATATGATGGGAAATGCAGGCATTTGGGGGAAAATATGTTTTGCCCCCCTCTAGACAAAAATCCTGGGGACGCCCATGTTTGAAATATAGATATAAAAACCTCCAACAAGACTCTGCGACTACTCTGATCACCATGCAAACTGTTAGACTGGAGCACTAGAAATATCAATATGCCGGCTAATGGGCGATACATGAGAATTCAAATGTAGACCCTGCTCGTTTGATCGAAACTTTCGATGGCAATGCCCAAGACTATTTTGAACTTGCAGACAAGCTTGCCATAAGCAGATCTGCTGACAGGTCAAATGTAGCAACGTATCTCAGATATGGCAGACAGAAAAACCTGCCAAGATGAGGGGCCAGAAAAACAAAAACGGACTACGATCTGAAGCAGAAAAATAAAATGAAAGGGTGAAAGAAATGAAAAGACTCGCATCGTCTACTTTCGTTTACTTTTATTTTGGATGCAAAAGTGCTAAATAGAATGCGCGGAAATGAAAACGAAAACAAGAATCTGATGCAAATAACCCGAAATCAAACCGACTGCTAAATTGAATGATCACTTAAACCGAATGACATAACTTCAACGGATGTGTTAAACATGAAAAGGTCGGGTCTTAAAACGAATTTGAACGCCTGAAATCTAAAACGAACCACGGGAATGACAGCAGGACGCTACGTCGCTTCAAATTGGCCACTATGAAGATGAATTCGAATGCTATTTTTGCGAAATTGGCCGGGAAAACCTATAAAATAATGTCTTTCCTATAGTTCACATACTTTCCACTATAACCTCGTTTTATGTCGCAGTGTCGAATTGTGTCATTTAAATTCCACTGAACTTACGACGGGCGGGGTAGGCAATCCAACGAGATTTTCGTTCTTTTACTGACTCCTCAGGAAGAAAATCTGCAAGACATGAAAGTAGGTTTTTACTGTTGAACTCATGAAGTGCACTTATAAAGATAAGGGCGTCCCTGTTTATTTCTATGACTCTAATACGTTTTTCCTCTGCAGTAGGGTCGATCAGAAAAAGAAAAACGTATGACTGAGTGTAATAATAAAGAAAACTATACTTCGGCTGTTTCGGCATATTGTCAGTGCATTTATGTCATGGTATAGACTGATAAGACATAAATTTGCAGAGTGGTCGGATGTGGATAAGTGTATTATATCCTCAAACTCCTGTGATTTTTTTTAAGGGAAAATTCACCTGAAAAGACCTTCAATAATAAGAGTTCCGCGTTTTACCATACCAAAGGTTTTTGAGCAAATAGGCCTAATGCACGGTGTGTACAGTATACGTGTAATGGGTCCGATGCTGTGGTATGGGAGGGGGCATCTTTATCGCTTCAGAACCAACATTAAAATCATCACAATGTTTTAGTTTTAATGTGGATAAGTGAATTATATCCTCAAGAACTCCTGTGGTTTTTTTTTTCTGAGGAAACTTCACCCCGGAAGGCCTTCAATTGTAAGAGTTCCGCGTTTTACCTCGGTTTTTTTTTAACAAATAGGCCTAATGCACAGTATGTACAGTATACGTGCAATGGGTCCGATGCTGTGGGAGGGGGCATCTTTATCGCTTCAGAACCAACATTAAAAATGATCACAATGTTTTAATTTTAATGTGGATAAATGTATTATATCCTCAACAACTCCTGTGATTTTTTTCAAGGGAAAATTCACCCGGGAAGACCTTCAATAATAAGAGTTCTGCGTTTTTACAATCTCAGCTCCCTGGGGAGTATACAGCTCGATGCTGCCTGTTAGGCGCAAGCAAGCTTAATCATCAGATAACCATCTCTGCCCTCATACAGGTACCATTTACTCCTGGGTGGAGAGAGACAATGAGTGAGTGCCTTGCCCAAGGGCACACGCACCATAACCCCTGGCTGGACTTGAACCCACTACCCGCAGAATTACCCGCCACGACACTCCACACACCAATTGATTCTCACCAGTTTTTCTCTCTTACCTTAATTAATGCAGACAATTAACATTATTACCAGATGTAGCCACAAACAACTTGTTTTTAGCTCAGAGCAGAAGTTTTGATACCCACGCATAGACAAAAAAAACCTATAAAACAGTTAGTGTTACTAAAGCATAATGCAGACAATTAACATAATTTGGTAGACTTGTAGCCACAAACAAATGTTTTTATTAGCTCAGAGCAGATGTTTTGATACCCACGCATAGACAAAAAAAACCTATAAAACAGTTATTTTTACTAAAGCATAAGCATATATTGCCTGAACTCCAAGGACAATAGAGGCTCCGTAAAAGTCAATACTGTATTGAAGTCTATCGATACTGATTCTTGTTTTGAGTAGCTATCTGTGCAACACCAGAAATGCGCTTCACAGGTTATATCGTGTCTTCCAATATAGTGTGATTTCACACTGGGTCAAAAGGTCAAAGTTTACAACCTGCCCGAGTGCTGGACATGGGCGTCGCCAGGATTTTTTCTAGAGGGGGGCAAAAATATGTTTTGCCAAAAAATGCTGGTATTTCTCAACACATTTTCGATTTATCAGTTTTAGAGGGGGGCAGGGACATTTTGCCCCCCCCCCCAACTCATTAAATTTACACCACTTTGTCTTTGCGCCTCTTTTTCTTTTTTTGTCTTTTCTTTTTTGCTTTTCCGGGGGGGGGGCAAGTGCCCCCCCCCCTTGCCCCCCCCCCCCCCCCGCTCGCGACGCCCATGGTGCTGGAGGACAAACAAAACTCGCGTTGGTATGTTGAACTGTGCTAGTGAATGCTCCGCGTGGGACGAAGCTGAGCTAATACTCACAAATGAAGCTCAAAATGGTAAATTATTGTGCCGTAGTCAATTGCAGCAATCGTGCTGATCGGGCGCATATCATCTGTCTTACTTCAGGATCCCAAGAGTGGCCAAAAAAGACTTTGCCAAGAATTGAAGGCGAAACGACAACGCCAGTGGCTGGCTAATATATGCTTATGCTTTAGTAAACTGAATAACTGTTTTATAGGTTTTTTTGTCTATGCGTGGGTATCAAAACTTCTGCTCTGAGCTAATACAAAAAATGGTTTGTGGCTACATCTATTAATATGTTGATAGTCTGCATTAATTAAGATAAGAGAGAAAAACTGGTGAGAATCAATTGGTGTGTGGAGTGCCGTGGCCTCGTGGTTAAGGGCATTGAACTCGTGGTCTGCGGGTAATTCTGCGGGTAGTGGGTTCGAGTCCAGCCTGGGGTTATGGTGCGTGTGCCCTTGGGCAAGGCACTTACTCATTGCTTTTCTCCACCTAGGAGTAAATAGGTACCTGTGAGGGCAGAGATGGTTATGTGATGATTTAGCTTGCTTGCGCCTAACAGGACGCATCGAGCTGTATACTCCCCAGGGAGCTGAGGTTGTAAAAACGCGGAACTCTTATTATTGAAGGTCTTCCCGCGGGGTGAATTTTCCCTAGAAAAAATCACAGGAGTTGTTGAGGATATAATACACTTATCCACATTAAAATTTAAACATTGTGATCATTTTTAATGTTGGTTCTGAAGCGATAAAGATGCCCCTCCCACAGCATCGGACCCATTACACGTATACTGTACATACCGTGCATTAGGCCTATTTGCACAAAAAGCAGAGTTGGTAAAACGCGGAACTCTTATTATTGAAGGTCTTCCTGGATGAATTTTCCCCAGAAAAAAAATCACAGGACTTGTTGAGGATATAATACACTTATCTACATCGAAATAAAAACATTGTGATCATTTTTTACTGAATGTTGGTTCTGTAGCAATAAAGATGCCCCCTCCCAAGCATCGGACCCATTATACTGTACGTATACCGTGCATTATAGTGCAGCTGCTTAGGTCAATTTTGCCCGCCCAAATCGTGCACTTCGTGGTAAAAGCATGAAATTTGGAATGTGGGGTCAAAATGGGCTAGAAATCATTTTAAGATCGGGACCCATCCTGGATTTTGCCCATTTTGAAGGCGGAGCTTGATTTTTGTGAAAAATGGGGTGCAAACAATAAATAACTCATGAAAACTGTATTCAACATCCATTTCCCTTGTTTTTTTCTATGCTTTGAAGTAAGCTTAAACATAAAATAAGTCATTCTAGCTTGTTAACACCTGTTAGTTTCCACCCATTTTGTGGGCGTAGCCTAAATGTGTAAGAGGCGGTACATATTAGCAGTTTGGTCAAATATGAAGAATATATCGTTCATTTTGGTGGTAAAATCCTGAAAATTGGCATGTTTAGTTGACATGGGCTGAAAATCATTTTAAGAGGTGGACCCATCTTGGATCTTGCCCATTTTTGGGGCGGGGCTTGATCGGTTAAAAAGGGGAGTGCAAACAAATACAAATTTAGAAAAACTGTATTTAACATCCATTTTGCTTTGTTCCTCATGCTTTGAAAATAAACATAGACATGATAAAAAAAAATTCAACATTCTAACACTTGTTATTTTTACCCTTTTGTGGGTGTGGCCTAAATATGAAAAAGAGACCGCACATTAGAGCAGCTTCATTCAAACGGGGGAAAATCATCACTTTTGCTGGTAAAACACAACATTTGCATTGGTTAATTATGTTTGCCATACACTGTAAAGATAAGTTTAAAAGGTTGCAAGGATTTTGCCCTTTTAGGGGTGGAGCTACATTTTAAGTAGGGGGCTGAATATCCGCATAGAAAGATTATTCTACTGGGTATAGGCCTACTCACTCAAAGTGGTTTCATGTCCTTAGATGTACTGGTACATACAGCCTAGACCAAAACATAGTTCTGCTTCCGATTACATGGCATTTGAAAATAGGGTAGGAAGGTAGGGAATTCTTTTTTTTGGGGGGGGGGGCATTCTTTTTGTGCTGATCATATGTAGTTGTCTGCGTGTAGTCAATGGTAAAAGGTGGTAATTGATGATTTTGGGGTTATTTTTTCATTGTTCCCAAAACAAAATTAGGGTAGGGGCTGTCAAAATAGGGTAGGTGGGGTAACCGGAAGCAAAACTTTGTTTGTGGCCCTATGTGTATATAATAAAGCAATTGCCAAGAGTCAAGTAGCTGCCTTTAAATGGCTGTGGATTCTCTCTTTGTTGATAGGACTTCAGTCTATTGATGAAACTTGGCGGGTAGGAATATTGATAATAGTACTAAAATCTGAAATGACGTCACGATGACGTCGTCATCAATACGGCAGTTGGGTGTTATAAGAAATACACTTACAATTTCCATATTTTCGTGCGTTATTTTAACTTCATGATTAACAAGTTTTCTCTCTGAACTAAATCAGTACTCCCTTCTCGTTTTCACTCATGATGTCATCAAGCCGAAAATAACTTGTACGTTAAGGTAAAATATTCACTGAAATTTATCATACCCGAAAGATGTTTTTTAACCCCTTAAGGACGGGGTGTAATGGGGACATTCCTCCACACATAGAGCAAGTGGCCCGCATGACTGCACAGCCTTTGTGTGGTAGCGGGACTGCACAAAAGCAGCAGCTATGGAACTACCCACTAGCCGTGTGCCACGGCATACCACAGCTGGCAACTGCATTCCAATGAGGATTAGCGGCCGTGGCCATGACCGCTTCCCGTACGCATGGGGTTAACAAAACAGGTGGTTGCACTAGAAAGGCTAACCTTCGTGAACCTTTTTCTGTTCTGACAAAAGTATTCACAGGTTTACTAAAACTGGGAAGTGTCTAATTAAATGCTTGTCTGCCAGATCACTCTGCATTTGTAACTCAACTAACGTAAATCTCCAGTTTGTTTTTATGGTTCTCATATTTTTGGCCTCTGAAGTAGGGTCGGTAGGAAAAATTTAAAAAAAATATTGCAGTTGCACCCGTCTAGTTGGTTAAATTAAACGATGCCAAGTGTGTACTGTCTCTAGTGGTATTTACTGCAGTGAGTTTATGAGTTGATATGACTAACATAATAATAAAGACAACTTTGGAAAGATGTAGTTGATTTAATTATCTGCATCATAATGTTGTTCAAAAGGTATTGGCTGTAGTGGTAATTCAATCTAAAATTTGAGTGATTTACACACTAAATCGTCTCCCCATAGTTTCACTCTCTTAATACCACAGAGTAAATCTATAGAGAAGACGAGTTAGAGTAAAATACTCTGAAAAATGAACCACTAAGCTCGAGTGACACTCAATCTTTTAGATAAAATGAATTTCACTTCAAAGCGTCTGGTCCCTAGAATCCGCAGTGGGAGTGAATTTTCACTCGAATGGAGTGAATGTTCAGTCTTTGGAATTGAGAGCGAGCCATGTTAAAGCGGGCCCCTCAGGTAAATAGAGACCTCTAGCCCGAAAATATTATGAAAAGGACCGCGGGAAAAATATTTTTTCTACCTTTAGCCTGGATGATCTGTTGGCAAATTTGTTGCCCCCCCCCCCCCAATTCAAAGTGATCTAGTGACGCTTCTGAGTGAGGCCACCCCCTTCTCATCAACTGGGATTGCATGGGTGCTTCGCGTAAAAATCTGGTATTATTTTCAATATGGCTTTTCATTATAACACGGAGCCTGATAACCTGAATTTTGTATTGATTTGGGTTTTTTTTCACTGTTCATTATTTTGTAAGTGGAGGTTTCAAACAGCCTCGTCAGCGTAATAAGAATATTTTTGTTTATTTTTTTTTCATTCTCTGGTAGGCAGCCCAACATAGGGTAGGTCCAAAATGACAACCAAAGAAATGAAAAGGGATGCCCGCACAACGAAATAATTTTCATAGATATTGAATTAATGATTGAAAGTTGAAATGAAGGATATTGGTTACAAAGCCCTACCTTCATCATTGTATTGAGAATTGAAATGATGGCCAAAAAAATAGTAGTTCTGCTTCCTATTACATGGCAATTGAAAATAGGGTAGGTAGGTAGGTGGGGGCAAATGTGTACGATCATAATGGAGGTGCATGTCTGCGTGTAGTAAAGGGTAAAAGGTAGTAAGTGATGGTTTTATGGGGTTTTCATCATTCCCCCATCAAAAAAGAAAAGGGCAGTGGCTGTCAAAATAGGGTAGGGTGGGGTACCAGAATCAGAACATTTTTTTGGCGTAACCCAGACATAAACATTTGTAACATATAAGCCCGAAACATGCAAGTTCTGATACGTATAGCCAAAAGTGACCGTCTGGTGTGCACAAAACGGCCTCGTTTAGAGACGGTGTGTAGGCAACCGACCATTTATGTCACATTATTTTGAATTCAACTAAGATAGAACATCATCACAAATTTAACAGAGGGATTTGAGAAATGTTGGCAGTGGGTGTTCTAGCTTTCCCGTGTACCATGCCAACTTAAATATTCGTTTTAATGTGTGTAGAATATTATTATTATATCAAATCGAATTGTAATAATATAATTACTTTAAGCATGAAATATATATTTGAAATAGGCCTAATAATGCAAAATGTGGCTTGAAGAATAACTCCAGATGCCATGGGGACCGTTGAGATTATGGCGGAACATTGAACAAACTAACTTACCGTCTGTCTCTGCGAAACTCAAGGCACATCCAACGACCATCAGGAGAACCAGGCACATGTAAACCTTCATTCTGGCTTATCTAAAAAAAAAATGGAGAAAATGACAGAGAGTAAGAAATGTCAATGATATGGTTGTTTCGCTATGTAAAACGTGCATCAGTGCGAGTCTTTATCAACTTGTGTCATTCTTTTGTTTTTTGGCAGAATAAATCGGCTGTTAATTACGCGGTATTGTGCTTTTCGTGGAGTTTGGCTAGATGCAGCGGTAATAGTTGCCTACAGCTTATGTTACTGTCGGTTTACACACTGCAGTCATGTACATGTTAAGTCATATCAACGTACATACGTGACAGTTTCTCGTTAATCATGAACAAATGTAATAACCAGGATGTTTTTCTTTCCAAGCAACTAACATTTCAAATCTAGCCACGTTTATCTAAAGCTTACATTTGCAGGTTGAAACGAAACTTGAAAACCAAAGCAAAGTCAGGAGGCGGAAATGCACTGGATGCTTTCAACTTGATGTCTACTGAACGAATGCGCCACAACAGCGCCGAGTGAAACACATTTAACAAACGTTTAAACTAAAGACCATGCATATGACTCTAGGGGCGCTGTTCATTTTGTAGACGTCATGTACAAACCTCGCCTCCAGTGCTTACTTTATTTCCAACCTTGTTTCCAGTGGCATAGCCACAGGGGGGGGGGGGGGGGGGTTCATGGGGGGCCATGAAACCCCCCCCCCCCCCCCCCCCCCCCCCCCCCCCCCCCCCACTGAAAATTTCCTCGGTACGCCACTGGTATCCAATAACAGTATACTGATGTTATTTTTTTTTTTTTTTTGCAAATAGGAACCAGACTATTTTCACTTCCTGCTTCGCAGTTGTTACGTTGATTTGAATGGGAAAAATCAAAATAGCCACAACATGATCGTCCAGTTAATGTCTGGTCAGGAAATTTAGTATAGCTTCATGATCAGCACTGACGTTCAGTACTATATAGATAATAGATTGGAGGGGTAAAAGAATCGTCCAATTTGACAGGTCCATTTTTTCCTTGAATCTGTAAGCAAGGTTGGTGATGTGGTTCAGGATGTTTAAAATTAAGATGTAATGATGATAATTAATTAGAGCAGAGTGGTGGTGGTGATGTTGGTTTTTTTTTTTTTTTTTTTTTTTTTAATTTCTTTCTGGTAATGAAACCAAGGGTCCCTCAAAAGTGCCTTACGCACTGTAGCCCGGAAGCCTGAAGAAACCTGTAGAGAGAAATATATTTTCATTGGGTTAGCCAAAGCGAGAATTTACATTTGAATGGAATCAGCGGAGTGTGACATTAAGGTGTGGTTGAACAGGCGTGTTCAAGTCACTGACCAAATTCACCAGCAAGCAGTACGGACGTCAAATTTTCATGAAAATGTGTTAATGACTGATATTGCAATTGAATGCTTCTAATCAAGCCACTTGTTATCCAGCTTCATTATATTGACAGATACAGTAGAAGTAGAATGCCGTTAGCAGACGATTCCCTATCTTGGCAGTCAACTTTCATCCTACAAGCACAGAGACGGAAACTCAAGACCTTGAGTTCGGATACTTCTGTCTCGACACAGCTTAAACTGTCTCCAAGATAGCGACGCATCCTGAGCCGTGTCCGCGCAATGCTTGCCATCGAAGTTCGGTGTTTCCCAAATGGATTGTATTATTTGTTGTTGTTAACCTATTTTCTTGCAGGTTGGGTAATACAGGGTGGGAAAATACGAGGGTAGGCGGCATTGAAAATAATTTATTCGCGATTGAGGGGCGAATTAGAGAATAAGACAATGAGAAGAAATTACAGTTTTAGAGGTGGGAGGAAAAGCCCAGAGGAATATTCTGAGGAAAACCCACGGAATCAGATAGGGACTGAAAACCCAATCCACATATTGGCCCGGGCGGGATTCGAACCCGGGTCACAGCGTTGGAAGGCGAGGAAAAGTACCGCTACGCCAACCTGACTCCCCTGCATGGTTGAATTGTGTTTAAAGGGAACAACATGTACTTTTGCTGTAATTTTCAGAAATGGGTAGATATGGGGGTTTAGTAGCCTATTTTATAGCAAATACTGTTACACTGACTTGTTTGACGTTTTTGGTCGTCGTACATGCTGGCAAAAAAAACAAACAATTATTTTCTTGTAGTCTGGTTCCGCGACTCCAAGATGAAACAGGGCAATTTTATAGACGTCGGGGAATTGTAACGTCCGGGAATCAGTCTAGATGGCTTGTACTCGTCATGTGTGTAATCGATCGCAAAGAAAAGGTGGACTATGTATGATACATTTGGAGCAGAAGTGGAAAAAAAGTCAGCCGGCTCAACACATGTTTTCTGTTCTAGGTATAATTTTTTTTAAATAACTCAATAAATCATTTCCATAACAATAAGTTTCCATAACAATAAGTTTGAATGTGCGCAATGCTATGGGAAGTTTTCGGATAGCATTTGCGCACATTGTCTTAACTGCGGTCTTGAACAGCTGCAGCCAGATGCGTACGTAGGTCATAGGCCACTTTCTTCACAAGATTCTGTGAAGCACATCAGAGTATCCTAGCGTCCTGTTTGCAGGGCGGGGGGTACGAGCGAACGGGCCCCGGTGCGTGGTTCTGTTCAAAACAAAACTAGACTAACACAATTCTGTGATTGATGGGGTTCATAAAGCGGTTGACGCGGACGTCCCGAACTAAATGCATACATGATTTATGGTAAAGTATGTGGACAGATCAAATAATTATTGGGGTGTTTTTTTTTGGAATATATTATGTCTGACACAAAAGTAAATTTAAACACTGCACAGAACTGTGGTGTTAAATAAACACTGCGTGGTTCCTCTTTTGGACAAATGGTTCTAAACACACACACATACTCAGGTCCACACAGTGAATGTAATGCTTTATATCCTTGTGGAGACATCGTTTTTTTCTCATGTACAAAATCGTGAGAGGGTCGAAAGCTATTTTCAAAATGGTCTTATTTTATTCAGAATTACTTCCGACCTGAAATTATTCTAAAGTTCCGACCAAATATCCCTAACATAAAATACTTTAACTTGCGACTAATAAGTATACCTTGGAAATTCCTGGTTTTCTTTGTAAAATCCTTATATCTATTTCGTGAAATCCCGAGACGTGTTCACCTTTAGAAATTGCCGTGTGGCGACCTTTAGAATCTTTTGTTCCGTATTATACCCGGGTCTCCACAAGGCATCATATTTCGAACGCCATAACGCTGAGTTAACAGGGTAGTTTGTGATGGCACACTGGCTGTGACTTCACACGCACAGACCTTCGGGTTCAATCAACATTTACGACAATTTTTTTTAAGACAAATGCAACATTTATGACATATGCATCAACATTCTCGCGAAAGTAATTTCATTTAAATGATTTTGACAAAGAACAAATTGTTGAAATATAAATTCGACCACATTCCAATCAGTCCAGTTGTAATAACACCGCCATGTATTCTCGTAGATTCTCGCATGTTATCGCGAATACCGGCCATTTTAAAAGATGTGCGTGCAGCTGTCATCAGGCCACATGCAACCAATCGTTTGCCGCTTTAAACCCGCCAAGCTTTAGACTGTATAGTGTACGGCATGCGCAGTGGCGTAGCCACGGGGGTGTGAAACCTGTGAAAACCCCAGTCGCCCCCCCCCCCCCCCCCCCCACTGAGATTTTGAGTTTCTAAAAAAAATTATCATTAATCTACATGACGCCCCCCCCCCCCCCATGAAATGTTCCAGCCCCCCGGCGCCCCCCCCCCCCCCCCCACCGAAAAATTTCTGGCTACGCCACTGCTTGTTTCCAATAGCAAGCCCTGGATATATGAAACTTTCTTCCTGTATCCTGATTCGATATCCCAATTTGCTAGTATAATTGATTTCAATCGTGTAGTTGGTGTTGTTATTTCCAACGTGCATTACGTGTTTTTACGATCATTGTAATCATGACGTCCACGCCTTCTTAATAATACTCCTTTTCTTTCCAGTTTGCTCATATTGATATGAAATGTAATACTGCATTTTGGCGGGCCATATGCAGATTGTAAAATTTTAACTTTTTCTGCATTTGAAAATGCGGACACACTAAAGAATCATCCTATCTATAGGCCTACATTCTTCAAACTGCGAAAAAAAAAACGATAAGCAAATTTACTTCTTGCATCCAATAATCACTTATGCACATGCGTGTTTTATTTCTCTCTTTTTTATGAGTAATGGGTCCATGGTCGAACATCTGGTACATATTGTGGTATGTTTTATTTTATGAGGAGGCGTGGTATCTACAAATATGAACAGCGCCCCTAGAATGCATGGTCGTCAATTTCAACTTCTGTTGATGTGTTTTCACAAAACTGACAATTGATGCCGGTTCTCACGACACTTGGACCCAGTTACTACAAAGAAGTGTTTTCGGCGCTGTTGTGGCGCATTCGTTCAGTAGACATCAAGTTGAGAGCATCCAATGCATTTTTGCCTCCTGACTTTGCTTTGGTTTTCAAGTCTGTTTCAACCTGAAATGTAAACTTTGATAAACGTGGCCAGATTTGATATGTCAATTGCTTGGGGAAAAAACCGTCCTGGTTATTAAATGTGTTCATGATTTACGAGAAACTATGATGTTCATGTGTAAAACGACAGTAACATATTACAGCAACTATTACCGCTGATCTAGGCAAACTCCACGAAAAGCACAATACCCGCGTGTAACCAACAGCCAATTTATTCTGTCAAAAAAAAGAATGACACAAGTTGATAAAGATTCGCACTGATGTACGTTTTACATAGCGAAACAACCATATCATTGCAATTTCATACTGTCTGTCATTTTCTCCTTCACTTTCTAGATTAGCCAGAATGAAGGTTTACATGTGCCTGTGGTTCTCCTGATGGTCGTTGGATGTGCCTTGAGATTCGCAGAGAGAGACGGTAATAGTTTGTTTAATGTTCCGCCATAATCTCAACGGTCCCCATGACATCTGGTATTATTCTTCAAGCCACATTCGCACTATTGGGTCGATTATAATCATATCTGTCCTGCTATGGAGTAATTGTATTATTACAATTCGATTTGATATAATAATGATATTCTACACACATTAAAATGAATGTTTAAGTTGGCTTTCAAACGGGAAAGAACACCCACTGTCAGTGACAGTTCTCAAATCCCTCTGCTAAATTTGTGATGATATTCCATCTTGAATTCCAAATAAGATAAAACGGTCAGTTGCCTACACACCGTCTTTAAACGAGGCTGTTTTGTGCACTTCGGATATAACATAATAGGATGATGGTCACTTTTGGCTGTTTTATCCGAGTTATTTTCAAATTCTCAAGACAATGTTATATGGCTTCAAGTTAATTTGTAACCAATATCGTTTATTCCAACCTTATTCATTAATTCAACATCTTTGAAGATTATTTCGTTATGAGGGCATCCCTTTTCATTTCTTTGGTTGTCATTTTGGACCTACCCTATTTTGAAGAACCAACATGCGAAGTTTCATGCTTTATAGTCACAAAGTGCACAATTGTATCACATAAATTATATTTGACCTTAACAGCCCCACTATCAGGATGCACACCGGTGAATAGGCCTAAATCCATCCGCCGAGCTCATGAATAAAAGTTATACCCTCAAAATATTCTGAGCGCCGTAAAATTGGGGAATTGAAGAGAAATGGTAATAATGAACCTCTGGTCCGGACTTGGGGCTTCCATTTCTGAGCATTTTGGATGCTATTGGGCTCGAAAGTGGCGCTATTTTGCCATGTTGTGGAGGGATCGTTTTTCAAGATGAGATGGCTACTTTTCCGCTTTGGGGAAAATAGGGGTCGTCTTCTTTGGGTGAGAATATCTCGAAAAGTCAATGGTCAACCCACCAAAAACATGTTGATGACATGTTGATCATCATTTTTCTGTGCAGCTTGACTACCTGTGAGAGTTCTGAGTATGTTTAAAAGAATTTTGAAGTATGGACATTTAGCACTAGTGTCTATGTAAATTTATTTGCAGGGTTGCATCCATCGCAGAAGTGCAGCTACTCATCTTACTATATATCGCCCTCTTGTGACAATACATTGTGAGTCGCGTCCAAATCTGAAATTTTGTGACTACGGCTTAGGCTTTCCATTGGCATACGTGTAAGCAAGTAAACGGTCGTAGCCGTAGACAACCAATTAAAAAAAATCACCTGTACGGTACCTTGGCACCAATGCGTATGTAAAGAGTACATGAGTACAAGAGGAAACCTGTCTAAGTCCTCTTTGACTCCGTGGCAGAATTTACAATGGCAGGTGGCAAGAAATTGACGAAAGAGGAGGAGCTTTTGCTCCAAGATTTCAGCCGAAATGTCACCACCAAATCCTCGGCCTTGTTCTATGGGAATGCTTTCATCGTATCAGCCCTCCCAATATGTAAGTTTCGTCGATATAATGAACATATTTTTAGTCCGTATTGTTGGCATGTTTTTTGCAGCATTTAATCAATTTCGTGATAAAATGTTTGGCAGAGGCCAAGTTCGCGCAAGGACTATAGTTGACCAATGGTTAACTAACGTTTGCCCGAACTCTGTCTAGTCGACGATGGTTGACTACGCTAGTCATGCTAGTCGACTATTTGGAACCAGCCTACTGGGGTTGGTTGCTTCACTGGTAACCAATAGCCGCGCGCATCCATCATGTCCATAATGCTAGCAGAGAGCCAGGATCCAGAAGTTTTGCGATGACATTTTGACCAGCGTTTGACTAGAGACGTTCGCACGTTGCTATCAGTGCGCAGGCGTAAGCTACGTCACAAATCAACCACTAGTCGACTAATGGTCCTTGCCCGAACTTGGCCAGTGTTGTCGGAAACGGGTCCTACTAAACTGCGCCAACAAGCGCCAACAAGCGTCAACGGTCGTCAACAAGCATCAACAAATTTTGTATATGCTTTTGAACATTAAAAGTTTTATTAAAAGTAGCTTAATTATGGTAGAAAAAGCAATAAACATGATAAAGAACATCTTCTTCTTTATTTAAAAACTTGTTTTTTGAACGCGAAATGTACGACAAATTTGTCGATTAGTGTTGGCTGCCATCTTGTTTGGATGGCACTGTAGACTTCGCGCATGCGTAGGTATGGCTCTGTACACTTCACGCATGCGTAGTACGGCTAGGGCGGCCAACACTAATCGACAAATTTGTCGTACATTCGCGTAAAAAAAAACCACGTTTTTAAATAATTTTGGGGGCTTTTTGTGTTGCCCAAATTTTCGCGATAGGAATATTTGTTTTGAGCCTCTTTTGGGTTTTTTGGGGCCTGATATCACATCTTTTTTTTCGCCTGATTTGACACCTTTTTTCCCCTGTCTTTTGCACGACTTTCCTGTTTTTTCATACACTTCAAAATGGCAAAACACAAATTTAGAATAAGGTTAAATGGATCACAAACACCTAAAAGGTGCATATTCAAGGATAGCCTTGAAAAAAAAATACATTGTAATATAGGCCCTTTAGCATTGGGACACGGTCTGGCAATAGTACATAGCACGCGCGGACACCTTAGTTTGTACTAAGGTTTACTTAGGCCAAACAAAAAAAATTGTCATTTTACTTTATTTAATTTCAGGGGTATTTTGGCGCATCCATCAGATGGATCTCGTCCAGTCAGCTATTCTGTTTGGCGTCATGACCATTGTCAGCACTTGGCTGGTGGCCTTTGCCTACAAAAACGTCAAGTTTGTACTCAAGCACAAGTAAGTTGACAGAGAGATCTGTCGCTGGTCTAAAACCCCAAACCTTGGTTTTTGCTAGGATGAAGCCTCCAGTTGGGCTCATGGAGAAATAACATAAAGCCTCAGTCCTACAAATTCTTCCATTATTTCGTGAATATGGTCCGTGAAGGAGTGACCACTGCCTGAATCCTGCAAAATCCTGCGGCAGTGACTGTCAATATGTTGAGGCTTGGCCAGTGACATCCTGGAGCAGTACGGAGGATTTCAAGCATATAATCCAGGCCTATATTTATGCATGGCTGAGCAAAAACAACAGAAGTTCCAGCCCAAGACCCTGAAGAAGTGCATCCTATGAAATCAGTAACACACTTTTGCCATGTAACCTCAATCCTTGAAATTCCTCCACTTTGGCAAAAGGGGATTTTGAAGGATTCAGGGCGGTTAATGTAAAAAAAAAGAGGGGGGGGGGGGGGGGAAGGAGGCGGCCTCCAAAAAGGAAGTGGGTGGGGGGATGCTAAACATGCCTTTTTTATTTCGCCTTACTGTTAACCAATTAAGTGTCTCATGAAGAATACTCAACTAATAAGTGGATAAGTACACGCTTTCAATTACACTTTATATCCTGCTCCCCCTGAAGGATTCTTCACCATTTCTAAGAGTAAGACTCTTAAATGTGGCGCCTAAAACAACACCACATTACACAGTCACTTAAAAATACTCCTACATGTACCATTTCGCCCCTATAAGACCTCAGAAAATCAAAAGTTGTGCTCATACACGTCGTTTGTTTTTGAGTGTTTTTTGCATGAGGCTGGAACGTGGCGTTATTGTGTTTACAGGTCTAATGTGATTATTTCTTTTTGGTGTACTGACATATCGTCACCGTTTTCACGAATGTGTCAAAAATCACCATTTTTTTCGATTTCAAATTTTTTTCTCTCACTATTTTGCTTGAAAGCATTGTCCTTAATTATTTGACATGTTTCTGTAAGCAAAACATAATTAATTTCCAAATAACATTAATGATGCAAGGGGCAGAAATCTTGAAAATTGCATTTTGCATTTTCACAAAGAGCCACATACATTTTGGCCCCTTGAACGCGTACAAAACCTATTGAACAGAAAGACCTGTAAAAGTACATGTAGGTCAACTGAGATTTTTGTTTTCACGAAGAGCCACGTATCTTTGTTACATTCTCAGCTGCGCGCGCGTACACATGCGTGCCCCTTCCATATGGTAAAAACACTTTGAACAGAAAGGGCAAAAATGTAGGAAATCCAAATTTTCGTTTTCACGAGAAGACACAAAGGCCCTATCTTTACTAATTAATTTCACTAATTAATTAATTAATTCAGTAGTATTAATTATTTGTTTCATGTAAAAATTCAGCTCTCATAGAATCATGTGAAGGGTTTCCTTACTGCGCAAAGTTGTTGCAAAGTGGTATTTTTTGCAGTTTTAAAATAAGAGAAACTTCTTTTGCGATTATCTCGAAAATGCTTTTTCTTCAAAATCCACATATGTGGCTCTCCGTAAAAATGGTGACGATATGGCGGGATATTGTTTAGCCTTGGCCGAGGTTTGCTCTCTCTCGGTGCTTGCTAGTTTTGTCCGGAACAGTCAGAGGAAAGTCATGTGTTTTAGTTGCAAGTTCTGTGCCGGAATACTGTGATGGTGAGTAAATGAATGAACAGAAATGGCCCCTTTTTTGTACTTGAAGGGTTGCCCAAAAACGGGAGGACGCTGTGTCCAAGGAAGTCATGAGACAGCTGACTGATGCCGACAACAAGAAGATCTCTCGCAAGGAGAAAGATGAAAGGCAAGTAAAACTGGGGAACAGCAGATGCAGGGAAAGACAGAATTTTTTCTAAAACAAACTTCGTAAAACTTCAAAAAGTGGTTCAAAAAGGTTACCAATTACCAGCCATTACAGTTTTGCTTTGTGAGTTGAGTTTGTGACTCTTGATCAGAGGGTCAGGGGTTCGAATCCAGCAGCTGGCCATATGTTGTGTCCTTGGGCAAGCCACTTCATCCCCACTTGCCTCTCTCCACCCAGGAGTAAAAATAGGTACCGGCATTAGCTGGGGAGTAACCTGCGATGGACTAGCATCCCATCCAGGGGGAATAGAAATATTCTCAGTCGTTTCATGCTACTGAAACCGGAGTTAAACGCCGGCCTGATGGCATGGATGGGCCACATTGGCTCGTGACAGACTTTACCTCTTTTTTACAGTTTTGCTTTAGCCCTTACATTTTCCTGAAAACCTCAGGTTTTCAGGAAAATAAGGTTTTGGTTTTTGGCACTAACAGATACGCTTTGTGAGCAGACTGGCGCCGGTCGGTACAATATCGATACTGATTATGGGGCGGGAACCAGCCTACACTGCAAGAATGGGAATCATTGTCTGGCAGCCAATAATTTGAAATTGTAAAGTAATAATTAAACATGGGCTGAATTTTTTTTTCATTCAGTCAGTGTCTCATTCAAAAGTGTATAACGTTTGTACTGCTAGAAAAATATTATTTATAAAAGGAATCAGTTTTTGAAGATGAAACTTGAAAATAGCATGAAGGGTGAAATAAAAAAAAAAAAACATTTTGTGATGTGAAATCATCTCACCATTGCAAAACACTTTCATGTGGAATAACCCCATATCTGTTTCTCCCCTCCCCCTCTTTTTTTGTAATTTGCATACAATTTGCATACTTTGCATATTCAGGATCCTGTGGAAGAAGAACGAGGTCGCCGACTACGAGGCCACGACCTTTGCCATCTTCTACAACAACGCCCTCTATCTGCTCTTGGTCCTGTTCTTGTCGTTCTTCATTCTCAGGTCGTTTGACCCATCTGTGTATCCTTTGAAGCAAAGACATCAAACTAAATTGTGGCTTTTGCAATTTTACGTGCTAAGCACAATTCAGCGGAGTACCGGTTACAAGTCATGTGCATCGTATGCCATGTCGGCTGGTGGCCTGTGATACGCCAAAGCAAATACAGTAAACTCCAGCTCAGTCGGCACTCTCGGGACCTGAGAATTTGTGACGACTTATGCGAATGCCGACATCTGCTGTAAGTCGTCATTTTCCCGACTTCCACGAATGGCATTTTTGCACACTTGATTTATTGCAGTAATTGGAAGGGGGACCAAGAGTAACACGACGACTTGAGCGAAATAGCCACTTACAAAAGCCGACTTAGAAATTAAAAATTCAATGGAAATGCATTAAAGACAATCAGGACTTAAGTCAGACGGCCGACTTGAGCGATTTGATGAGTTGTACGATGTGGACTTGGCCGGAGTTTACTGTATTATCTGCGTTTAAAGGTGGCGTACATGTAGATCATTTGTGCGTTTGTTTCGTTTGAAAGAACCAAAGTGCTCAAAATATAAAGATAGTGCTTAACAAACCTGACAAAGTTTGGCTATGTGAATGGCAAATTAATTAATGCATTGGTTAGACCTGCTTGTGTTTTTCCTACCTGTTGTGCATTTTTCCTTTACTGTTCCCTGACAGCAACTACATTGTGTCCATTGGCATCGCTGGGGGTCTGCTAGCTCTCGTCTCAACAGGAACTCAGTGACCTTTGACCTTAAGCGCAGTGACCCTTGAACCCCATCATGACCTACAAGTAGTAGTAGAGAATAGTTGTACAAAACTAATTACAATCAACTTAAGATTTGGACGTGTGTTTTGTTTGGATTTTGGAATCATCTCAAATGTAATTTTATGACTTAATTACATTTATGACAACAGTGTTGGGTAAGTTTTGTGCCCATATTTCTCTACATTGTTGATTTGCAGCCGTAATCCGAAAGTGTAGCATTCTATGTGCACATCAATGAAGAGATATTTTAAACACATTCCACGCATTGTGTATTGAAAAGGGCATGCTTTAAGACATGTTCTTATTGGTAAAAGAGACTCGACATTGTAAAACACCTTGCTCAAGAACACAAGCAGGCTAAAGTGCTTTGGCATGATCCGCAGAATAACCACCACATTTTAAGGGCTGGTGATTTTGACCATTGAGTAACTTTCTATGTAACACATCAGTGATGTTCCATGCATTATGTATTGAAAAGGGCATGCTTTAAGACATGTGCTCTTTGGTAAAAGAGACTCATCATTGTAAAACACCTTGCTCAAGAACACAATCAGGCTAAAATGCTTTGGCAAGATCCACAGAATAACCACCACATTTTAAGGGCCGGTGATTTTGACCGCGGAGTAACTTTCTTGGAGGACGGTTTTGTCATAATATTCTAACAGATTTCAGACTTACAGGTTATTTCAGTTAATTATGTTCTCCTCAAGATGAGAGGGGCATCTGGTTTTTTTTAACAAGGGAACATTGCTCATTAACTTTCGAATAAAACAAGAGACAGACTCTGGAAAATATTGCTGTCTATATTTAGTTGGTGACTTAATTTGTTTGTGTATTAAAATTAATCTATTCCAATATTTTTCTTCAACTCTGGTGCCAACTGTTCCCCTTTTTCAAAAAAAGTGTGAAAAGATATGGAAGCAGACGGTGAACTTTAAAAAGCTTTTGGGGTCTTGAGGGGTTCTGTGTTGAAAATTGGACCTTAATGGCATATAGGGTCATTTGTTTTATGCATTTGTTCGTTTCTAATAATTACACGACACAAAATCCAAAGACGAAGGTTCACAACCTAACTTGTTGAAGTTACAGCTCCGTGGGCATTGCACTTTTCGAGAAAACCGTGAAAAAGCTTGCACAACATTTTGATCATGGAACACGATTTCGTCTGAACTCAAATATTTCAAAAAATATTGACTGATAGTTGGAAATCACCTATACGTTTCCTAACGATTTCTGCTAAATGATACCAAGCCAGACGGAATCATTTCACGGGTTGATTAGTACTACTACTAGCACAATTCAAGTAAGCGTTTTGATAATTCGCTTTGAGTAGGAAATTTTTGAGAAAGAAAACTACATTGTACACGCATTTGAAGGAATGCATTATTTAAAAACAAAAATCAATGGACGCGTAACTTGTCACTTAAACAGAAACCGTTAGAATGACTTTTGACCAAAAAAAGGGGGAACAGACGCCTGATTCGTGTGACATCAACCCCAACCAACACTCCTATGGAAATTAATTCCCGTTGAGTCCAAAAGAAAAAAAAATTGCCATTTTGTGTTTCTGCAAAGTTGTAGAACATTGATGATTCAGAATTTCTTTCTAGGCAAAACCAGACTACAGGAAAATGATTGTTTTCTTGGGTTTTATAGCATTTTCGAACCCAAAACCTCAAAAAAGTCAGTGTAACTATATTTGCTATATATTTCCAACCCCCCAATTCCATCCATTTCTGAAAATTACAGTAAAAGCAAATGATGTACACAAACGTGCAGTTTTCAATGATTTCATTAAAACAATTTAAATTGCATGGGTACCTTAATGCAGCCGGATCCTGATACATGTACATGACGGTACAGGGTGAATAAAAAAAAAACAAGCCCAAATGGCAGGACCAATTTTTGAATGAGGTTTTGCCTGTAGCATAGGGATGCGTGTGAATTTTATGCCTTTGTTCTGGAAGAAAACTTACCCTTTTTGTGATCCATACATGGGCGTCGCGAGGGGGGGCAAGGGGGGCACTTGCCCCCCCCCCCCCCCTGGAAAAGCAAAAAAAAAAAAAAAAAAAGGACGCAAAAAAAAAAAAAAAAGAGGCGCGAAGACAAAGTGGTGTACATTTAATGAGTTGGGGGGGGGGGGTGCAAAATGTCCCTGCCCCCTCTAAAACTGATAAATCGAAAATGTGTTAAGAAATACAAGCATTTTTGGTCAAAAATCTTTTTTGCCTCCCTCTAGAAAAAATCCTGGCGACGCCCATGGATCCATGGACAGAACTTTAAAACGGACTTTGTGTTCAATTCCGTAACTTGAAAAGTACATGAGTGATTTGAATGATTCTTGTACTAATTAAGAAAGCTCCCTGATTGGGCCTTCATATCCTAGATTTTCAAACGGCTACAGGCAAAATTTCATTCAAAAATTGGTCCTGCCATGTGGGTTTCAGGTGTTTTTTTTACTCGCCCTGTATAGCTGCCGCTTTGGTGGAGGTCGTTATCGCAAAGATGATTCAAATCCACCATTGGAAACTTCGGCAGCGCTACGCAGGACATTTCTTCGAGCGTAGCATTCTGCGCGCTGTATTTGTTAATGCACGCGCGTGTGGTATGCTGGTAAGTTGCTGGGTAGCATTGCCGAAGTTCCTAATAAGATGGGACTGGGTTCGTCATTGTTGATAGCGTATTACCGCAGAGTTGGCGTTAGTGGCGGCGCTACGGGAGGGGGGTTCTCCCCACGTTTTTCCCCACCCCCAGTTTGCCCCACCCCCAGTTTTCTCCTAAAACTTTATCAACACATTTATAAGTTATGTTTATTTTCTTCGCTGATAAGATTCATAAAATGTGGACACAAGGCCCAATGAAAGTATTATATAAACATCGATACTTATGAAACAAAAACACTCCACATTGTGCGTGTACGTCTTTGTACATTATTGTGTCGTACATTTTGTTATAGGCCTACACCATTCTGCGGTTTGATACATTTCTCATTCATAAAAATGATTGTAAGTACCTCAAGTTGCTCTATAGTGGCTTATTTCCGGGCCATTGACAATGGGCACACGCACGTGTTCACAGGCTAAGATTTTTGTGACTTCCCCCCAAAATATTTCCTTGCCCCCCTTCGCCTCGTGGAATGGAACATTTCATTAGTCACCGAATGAAATTATTCTTACCACTGAACTCACAAACATTCATTGTTTGTATACTGACGCGCAAAGGAGGGGGCATGTGCCTTTCCCGCTATAATGGACCGACCCAGTAAGCACCGCCCCATGGTGTTCTGACCACTGATCTCTATATAAAGACTGGATAGCTAATACAGAGCCGCACAATGTACGAATTTGACGCCATATTGGTGAGACCGGCTGGTGATCTACAAAGGACAAGTTGCCGTTTTTATAGACAGCATGATTTCTTTTGTAACGTCGCGGTTCACTTGACTTATATTTTGACCACCATCACTGATCAAGGTTAACTACAATTTTTCTAACGTCGTGGTTACTAAAATGCCGCAAATATAACTTTTTCGGCGTTTTGAAATAATAATCACTACGGAAATGTGTCCCTTTTAGAACATCATAATATGTGTACGTGACCAAAATGCGCGTCAACTGTTGATACAACGCGCGCGTATTTACGCGTAGAACGTTCGTATTATACGCGGCCATCTTCGTGAGACCGGGGGCGAATTGGTCAATGTGCGAAGTCTACTGTGTGAATGTTGTATGCATATCCGCTATCCAGTCTTTATATAGAGATCAGTGGTTCTGACCAATCACACCTATGATTTAGGTCCGACGTGCGTGGACAAAAGTCCGACATGCGTGCACACGCGCGTATGATGCGCGTGGCAGGAAAATGCAGTGTGGCATTAGAGAGGAGCACGTGTTAATTTGCCCACGTGCGCACTGGGCGGAGCTTACTGGATCGGTCCATTCGTGGATGCCAAAATTAATCTGCTATAAAAGAAAACATTGAATGCCCCTCCCGGAAAACGAGGCGGCCCCTCCCCCCCCCCCCCCCTCCGAACTGAACCCTAGTTACGCAACTGGTGGATATAGCTTAGCACAACTTTTCAGTAAAAACAAATTGTGAGCAAATTCACTAAGTTGGCCCATGGATCGAGGAAGGAATAGACCTTCCATGGTTGACCATCCACGGCCTTGTGGGGGCACGGAACGGGGACTGTTGGGTTGAGGGTGCCGGACTGTGGAGGGAGTTTGAAGGGCCTGGGGTAGGGAACCTGGCAAGCGGAGTACACACCGACCGAGTCGGCTCAGTGCGCAGAAAGATAATAATTAGGTTTAATGTGGCACATTAAGTTTAAAATTTTTTTTTTTTTAAATTATTGATCAGTTACGTGTTATTTGTACAGGGTGAGTAAAGAAAAGTGGAACCCAAATCCCCAAACATATATTTCATATATAAAAATGTAGCCCCAAACATGATAATGACCGCCGAAAAGCCAATTTCCTAAGCTACTTTTAGATGGGAAAAAATACTGAAATTGCTCAATCCGTTCAAAGAATATCACCATTTGAACGCAGTGACTCTAAAAACCTGTTTTGTCCACACAAAAAACCAGTTTAGTCTGACTGTTCGGAACAACAAAGAAAATGACACAGACTTCTTCAACACCACAATATCTTTAATAACAACCCTGGTTAGGCTTAATCCACTTTTTTTTAAAAGACGGGCCTTCAAAAGGACTTCGTTGAGTATTTTTAACTTTTAAACTGAGGTTTGGTCGCTGGTGATGTTTGAAGATAATTGTGACGACGATTCTTCGAAATCGCATTTTTGGACGAAAGAGGTTTTAGGGTCATTGTGTTTAAATGGTGATATTCTTAGAACGGATCGAGCATTTTCCGTATTTTTTTCATGTAAAGTAGCTTATGAAATTTGCTTTCCAGTCATTATTATGTTTGGTGCTACATTTTTTTTTTAATATAAAATATAAATTTTGGGGTTTGGTTTCCGCTTTTTTTTTAAACTCGTTTTCCCCAGCCAACCTAGCATGCATGACAGCATTCGGTTTGTTTACTTGTTTTTGTTTGTTTCTTGATTTTTGTTTATTTGATGGAAGAATGTTTTTTTTTTCTTGGAGGAAACACGACTTAAGGCCTTACGGTTTCAAAATTGCCGTTCAAACGCGATCGCAATGTTCATCAAAGCCTACAGCTATGATAAAACCTATAATTGGCAAACTGTTTTCCAAATGAAGTGGCTTAATTATTTTCTTTCTGGGGTGGGAAGGGAGGGTGTTGCTCTCTGCAGCATATTCGATTTTTTTCCCTAACGAATTTTCCATTTTGTATATTTAATTTAAACGAAAAAGTACTTTTTCCTATATTTGGCGCTCCCACCCCCATGCAAATACGTTTTGGGGGGTGCCTTTGCGCCCATAACGCACAGAAGATACGCGTGAATTATATTGTCGGGCTGCAAATAATTCCAAAATGTGTAAAGTCATTATTCTATAACTAAACATGCCTGGCTGGGTTTTGTTTTACCCGATGTCTCATTTGAAAGTGAATAACGTTTGCATTGATTAAAATAGCAATTAATAAAAACCCAAAAGAAATTTGAGGTGAAAGTGCGAAATAGCACGTCGGGAGAGAACTTGTGTTGCCTGAAAATAGGTCCAAAATTGTCCGTATTACTGAAGTTACGGATAACAAGGTGCAATAGTAATTCAGTCATTATTATAACTTTAACCCAAACAGAAAAGATATACAATTAAGGGAAAATCGATAACTTGTCGTCCCTATATATGACACATTATTCATTAGCCAACAGCGAGTCTAGTTTCAAAAAGTTATTATTTTCTTTTCCTTTGGCCTTCACTATATACCCCAAACATCATAGGCCGATACACACTATCGAATGCTCATTTATTATGCATAAAAATTAAGGCGCGACAGACGTAGCTGAGCCAAGCTCTGGGGCTAAGTAAAAACTATTATGGGATACGGACCGATGGTTTGTTGGTGATTATTATGGGATGGCCCATCAGTGTGCGCATGCTCTGTTTGCGTATTGTGCAACTTCATTGCCACTCAATGTACTATTTGCCTATATACAACACCTATGATGCTTAGGGGGGTATTGAATTAACATTTTCCGTTCATACGAAGGCGATGAAGAAAACTGAACAGAATGAATCCTGTTCCTTTTTCCATTACATTCCTGTTTGCCCCATTAAGTATTTCTTCCTTTTTGTTCGAGAGAGGGTTTGAAAAGCTCCGAATAAAAATAATTCTCTCTTGTCCTATAGCCTAATTTGCCTTGATTTTTATTGGCGCGTTATAAGATGGGATTTTCGGGCTGTGTTATTTTAACAAAATCTGAAAGGCATCGGGAACAAAAGTGGCCATCACTGGTCGAAATCTCTTCGCGCAAACCCAAACTCATGTTTCTTTCGCACAGTGTCCTGCGTTGATTTAGTTCGAAATAACTTTTTTTGTGCGGCTGCAGAAAGCTGTTATGTGTGCAAACCAGAGCTGTGAGTCTTTGCCGATACTGGGACAACGTTTTATAACTCAGAACATTATTGAAATGAATAAAATGTTTCCCCTGTCGAGTGGCCTAGCCCCATTCAGGCCGTTGTGATGCAATGATGGAGTCTTTTTAACCTAAGAAATGGAACTTTAATTGTTGGCGCTGGACATTTCGCATCCGGAAATCAAAAAGTCTGGAAAAAAAAAATGACACATCTAAACATTACATTTTGCCAACGGCTATTCGACCGATATAGTAATATGTCTTAGTGTGTTGTGATAGTTATACTGAGAATTACTTGAATATGGCGTAACGGGACGATTCGGGAAGAATCGTTCTATCCCCAAAAAGGGGGATAGGCCTATACATCACCCAGGCATGCAACTGGGAAGTCACAAAAAAAGAGGAAATTCAAATTTTTCCAAGACTTTGTACAGTGTTTTTCTATTTTCAATGGCACACTTGGGAAGTACAAAAAGAGGAAATCAGCTGATCCGAGGAAAAGTTGCATGCTTGATCACCGTACTTTCGGCCATCGAATGTTGTATTTTGACCTCATCAATTTAGTATTTCTTTCTTTTTCGAACTTTAATTGATTGACAGACTGAGGTAAAACAAAACGGTGCCCATAAGACATATAGAAAACTCTCATATTTTGGGCTGGGCGTTCGTGGCCAACTTGTTTTTTCCTAGCTATTATAGTTAGCTTAGTTTAAACCTTTTTTTAAAAAATCACTTAAAATAAAGGAGAATCATAAACTCGTAAACTTTCTCAAATAAAAGTTTTTTTTAAACGAAGAAGCTTAGGGCTTATAGGCCTATACTTTTTTGTGATCCGGGGACGAACTTTAAAACGGTGTTTGTGTTCAAAATTCCGTAACTTGAAAAGTACATAAGTGATCTGAATGATTCTTGTAGTAAAAGAAACTCATTGATTGGGGTTTCATATCCCAGACTTTGAAAGTGCTATGTACAGACAAAACTTCATTCAAAAATTAGTCCTTCCATTTGGGTTTCGTGTTTTGTTTTGTTTTACTCCCCCTGTATGCAATCGAAATCAGCATGGAAATCAAATGATCTTTGGTTAATTATAATCTCTGAGATATTTCACGAAACGGTTATGAAATGATTGACTATATTACATTTTCCGACTTTAGAGAAATCGTACTCAGTATGCAACTATAGGCCTACGATGGCCGCTTTGACCGCAGTGCGTTTTTGCTCCATGTCTCCGGACGGGATGGCAGTCCGAACAAAAAAGTCCAACTACAAAATTGTCCGATGATGAACCCACTTTTTTTTTTTAATTGGAAAAGGCAAAAATGATGATCTTAGAAGACCACCGAACATGAGTGTGGAGCTAAAGGCCTATACAGAGTCCACGCGCGTTTTGGACGACCAAAAAAAAAAAAAAAAAACCCAGTCCAACTTTTTTAACAGAGAGATTTTTACTTTTGCGAACTAAAAAATCATAGCAAGAAACAATCAAGGCTCTTGTTAAAATTTGGGGGTGTATCGTTTTTATAGTAAGGTCAATCTAAACATAGGCTTTTACCGGTAAAAAAAAAGGTTGACTTTATATTCTTATTATTGAGACTCGGCAAATCTCAGAAACCGTTTCCAAACGGATGCAATTTCCCGACAAAATTAGTGGAGCATCACAAAATTTCGTCTGCGAGACGCGAGGAAAAAAAGTAATAAATCGTCACCATAACAACCACACGTCACTATGTTTTTTTTCCAATTTCGTTCCATTTTCCCAAGAAATAAAACTAGCCTAAATATATAACCTCATGTAATTTAGCTCAGTTTTGACTGCACTTATAAGAAAATGAGTGAAGTTGCATCATCTGTTTGGTCATTAGTCTGTCCTTGCAAAACAAATATAACTACATGTTGCAAATCAGCTCGATCGCCCCAAGTTTCATTTGTTAGCTCAATCATATCGGATGGTGATTTATTATGCATAAAATCAAGGCAACTGAGAGCCACGCAGGGGCCTAAGCAGAAACTATTATGGGATGCCGGCACCCGGTGATGACTATTATGGGATGTCGGAATGCTACATTAATGCGCGCATGCTCACTTCGCTGTGATGACGTAGGCCCAATTAGTGGCGACACAATGGCAGCGCTCTTACAACACAACCGTGGCTGCTGAGTGAGTTTCTGGATCAAGTTTTAATAAGAAAACAAAATCAAATTGGGGTTAAAAAGCCTGCGCTTTTTCACAAGTTTGGGGAAATTAAACATTACTTGTAAGAATGAAAAAAGGTCTGTTTGTACAAACTCCAGTTGTGAATTTGTTTTTTTAATTCGATGTCTAATTTCAAAACTGAAGTTTCAAACTAACTTCAGACCCCATTTTGATCAGGTATAGTGTAGGCCTATTTCCAATTTTCTATTGCAAATTCTTGAAAAACACATTCTTCATATTGCACAAATAAATTTTGAGAAAAAGTAATCAATAAAGCGGATAGATTTTGCCCAAATCGGTATTTCCGCGTTTGACTTTCCAAAATGTTTGGAATTCCCCCCTGTCGCCCCCTCCCAAACTAATGAAAAGATAAATTCTTTCCTTTTAATAAATTTTCTTGCCAGCTTTTGTTATTTGTCTTTTGAATACAAATCTGTATAATTGTTTGTTTGATAAATATGGCACTTTTGTTTGTGGGCCCAAACAGGTAGCATGGTTCCACCGTTAAAACCCTGCGCCGGTCGAAAGCAACTTCACACGGTATGGGTCCGCGAGCGCATCACGCTGGTCATGTTGGGCCCGTAGTTTTATCAACGGGCTATTTTATTAGGATTCCTACCAGATTTTCTTTTTTTTTCTACTGTGCTTTTTACATTAAAAAACTGGCCGCAAATTTTATTTTCACGTCGGGAGTTCGAAGAGTTGATAGGCCCTAGTTAAAAAAAAAGTTTAAATACTTTCAGCCTAGGTCTTGCAGCAGTTTACGGTTGTCTTCCAAGATATTTGTAGGAAAAAAAAATCGTTTTTACATCGATATGACAATTTTAAAATTTGTTTCAAGTAATTAATGATGAAGATTCTGGGGTGAAAAAAAGGAGATTGATATATTTCCAGCTTGTAGTAGGCTTTTCTTTTGCTAATGTAGCGCTTTCTTTTAACTGTTCTGTTGCCTATAATGTTATCTCCGCGTTAATTATACAAGAACTTCTGGTATTTGCATGCAAGACCTATTCCTAAAAGTATTGCCCCCAAACCAAAAGTATTTTGTATCGTAAAAGTGCTAGAAAGTCTTCAAAAAAGAAATTTATAACACCTGTTAATTCAAATGTCTTCGGTGTCGTGCCATAATATTAGTCAATTTGCATTAATGTATAGTTACTTATAATGTAAAATGTTATTTTTGGGCACTTTTCAGCCCAAATTTCAAATCATTTTTTAGTTCATGGGAGCCTCCAGGTTAAAATCATGTCTGGCCCGCGAGTCAAAAAGTGGCTCACATTATTAATTTTTGTGCAGTTTCCGCTTGGCAAGTTATGCAAATTTTTCCCTGCGGGTCCCTTTTCAAGAACAAGACCCTAATTGATATGCAAAATTTATTGACTGTACACAAAAAGTGTTCTTATACAATGTTGGTCTGCCACAAAGCTGTGTCTCTACATGTGTCCCTTTCCCCCCACCCCAGGTAGTTTTTGTTTCCTCACTTGTGTCACCCTGATTAACTAAGTTGTGATTATTATGGGATGTTTTGGGTGATTAATATGGGATGTATCTTTATCTGTGACGTCAAACTGCGCATGCACAGTGGCCGTTTTGCCACCCTTTTGTCGTGGGGGTGAGTCCCTTTTTTTGTCCGTTCTGCGCCATCTTCGCACCTACCTTCCCCCGGTCCAAAAGGGACTACTCCAGGCACGATTTATGTTTTCATTTCGTCTGGATTTTTTAACGCTCGGGGTCTGCAGCCACCACGGAGGCATCCAACGGCCAGGCAAGGATGCCAGGAGTTGGCAGAAACGAGGAGGACGGCGAGGAAAACTCATTTGAAATGGACGATTCTGTTGATTATGGACCGAGTGCACCTACCGAAGGCGGACATGTCAATCCTGGTAAAGTGAACGCTCCTATTTTGAATATCGACAACAATTTGCCGTTCGGCGCGATATCGCATCGGGCCAAAACTATCAGAAATTTGGCAGAATCCCCACGTGCAAATACAGTAAAACAATCATGATATTCCAGAGTCCACGCAACTGTGTTAGTGAAAGAATTCTTGTCGACAGCAGTAAATTTTGCGCAAATTCCCCGATGCCATGTGGCGGTGCTCGGCATGTGAATTTTTTTTTTTTTGGTCAAGGTCTATCGGTCATCGCGAACGTAATCGATGCATGTTGTTCGTCGCCAAACAACGTGAACTCCAGGAGATTAAACTCGCTCTAAAAAGGTGCAATCCCGGCGCAATCCCCCTCGTATTTTACCCTCTGGTGTGCACCCTTCGTGCCGGTGTGTGAATATGGGAATTTGGGGGGAGATTTCCTCGCTAAAAATGTCGAAGATGTTTGCTGATCTTTCTGAGATAATTATCCCGGGCAGTAATTATTCAGTTGCCACGCACAGTGTACGTGTACACGTAACGTGAATGAATGAGTGGCGCTCACTGATTGTGTGTTTTTGACGAAACTACCGGGGATTAGAAAAAAAAAATCTAAAAAAAAAAAATTGTCGGGAATTGTGTCCCGTTTCTTTTTTCATGTTTGCTCTTTTAATACGCTTTCAGCGGAAGAGTCACCCCCTTCAAAGAAGAAAAAGAGCAAGAAAACGAAAAAGGAGAAGCGAAAAGAGGGAAAATCCAAGAAACGCAAGCGCTCTGTGGACCGAGAAAGTGGAGGGGTGAGTTTTGTACGCAGTTCTTTGTGCACAACTTGTTGGCAGTGCTGCATGTGTTTTTACACACTGTTGGCTTCAAGTAGAATGGTTTTTCTCTACATAAGAATTTGAAAAAAAGTTGTTTTGTTGTCAGAAAGGAAAATCTTGTTTGTTTTTTTTTCAATTTTTTTTTGGTGTAGGCATACTCGATTATTTTTTTTTACTTGGGGGATAAATATATATTCATATGACGTTATAAATTTGACTTCCTTCTCAAATCATTTCCTGGTATTTTTGGTCAACTTTGCCATCACAAATTTTTTTCTTCGAAAGATGTATTTAAAAAAAAATTGGATTACGATAATTGTTAAATGTTCAAATCATCAGAAAAATTATCGAACTTTTGACTTACAGCCTTGCAAATTGGAAACAAGTGTGTGACTTTTTTTATTTAATTATATTCTTGTTTGTATTTAAATTTATTTTTATTCGTTTTGTCCATATCAGTTTTTGTTCCATGGATTGTTCATATTTTTGGTGTACATTGTACATCATTTATTGTTAATGACGTTCAATTTTTCGGTCAATATGATGATTGAGGAATTATAAAAAATTAATAAATAAAAATTAACAATGTCTTAATTTTTTTTTTCCATTTTCAAAATATAGAAAAAATGTAAAATCTAATTATTCATAAATTATGATAATTACTGTTGTACTAACCAAGGTTTTAAAACACAATTTCTTCGCTTTCAATTTTTTGCCTGTAAAAAAAGAAGATGATGTATCTAACCCCCAAAGAACTGGTTGTTTTTTACTTTTATGAAATTGTGCAAAGCAATTTTGGTATAGACCCTATTAATTATTAGTCTGAGTATCACCCGTTATCCGCGGAGATAATGTCTGATATGTCTAGACATGCAGATATATGCAAGCCGCGCGCCAGCCAATCGAAGTCGACTTTACTAAATCTTGACGTCATTTCATTCCCAGATCGGGACTAAATGGTTTGATTGGTCAATTCGAATGCAGTGTTTTGTAATACAACAACAGCTAGGCGCATATTGCGTAACATGATACAGAGCGCGTGACACAGGTTTTTAAAAATCTATTGTCTATGACGCGCAACGGGTGAATGACCGAAGACCCGATATAGAAAGCGCCCGCTGATTGGTCAAAATCTAGAGGTCAAGAGGTGGTTATCTTGCCTAATTAATCAGCGAATCTGCTCACAGAGACCATGGCATTCGCCATGTTAATGGCTAATTGATTATTGCATGAGCATGAAACTGGTAGATTGAGGTTTCAATAAAAAATGGTCAAGTCCCAACTACATGTACATGTACATGTACATGTACACCGTAACAACTGAAGTGTTGCAGTCCGGCTGGTCCAACTACAGCAGGGGTGTGCAATTCACGGTTAGAACTTGAACCGGGATGCCAATTAAAAGAAGTGACGGGTACCCGTTAAAGAAAGCCAACCCAAAGAAATTCCGAATCTTGGAAGTTGCTGTTCAGATTGTGTGCAAAGGTCCGGACGATAATACTACAACATTGGTGCATCAATGTAGCACGATACAAGTGCGTACAGTGAGCTTTATAACTTTATGGTGAAAACTGCAACCTTCGCGAGCGTCATCAATGTGAAATCCGTTTTGTTTTTTCCAGTGGCCTGGTTTTCATGACATTCGAAATCTTTCTTTTTCATTGTCTGAGAAGTGTTACTAAATAATTTGTAAAGTTGGTTACGGGTAGGCCTACCCAATCCCATAATCTGGAACCGGTGTCACATGAAAATCGGACTCCTATGAAAATCAGACTCTTTTTCCCTTTTATTGGTTAAACCCTCTCACGTGACCGGCCCCTCTCCTAATTATCTATGCATGAGCATGCACAATACCACCAAAGAGTCTGTATTTCATAAAACCTACATTCATGCTACACCGGTTCCTGACATCACAGTCGGGTACTCGGCACCCGTTTCCAATGCACAGCCCTAAACTATAGTTGTTCTTGAATCAACACAGTTTTCACGGCAGAATGCCTACACAAAATGTGTCCATTTGCTGTTTCATTCATGTTCCGAAATATAAAATGAGAAACTCATTTTAAAGGGAATGTACAACATCTGCTTTTGCTTCAATTTTCAGAAATAAATGGATTCGGAGGATTAGTATGTTATAGAAAATATTGTTGAAGTGACAAGTTTCACGTCTTTGGGCTTGTAGATGCTGGAAAAACCAAGAAAACCTATGATGTTCTTGTAGTCTGGTTCCCTGACCCCAGTAAGATGAAACGGAGCACTTAATACACTTTAGGGAATTGTAAGGTCAGAGAATCAGTCTAGCAGGCTTGTACCCCTGCAGGGGTGTGTAATCAATTGCAAAGAAAATTCAGAAAACTAAATATGAAAAATTAAGAACAGTTTTTGAAAAAAAGCCAGTTTTTTCCAACGCTGGTCGGCCGACCAGCGTTGGAAAAATGCAGTTTTTCTTGAAAATGTCAGCACACCAGGAGCCACGATTTTAAAGGATGCTTTAGACTGTCATTCCTCACAATCCAGTAAGGTATTTCGTGATAATTTGATCATTTCGTTTTTTGATGTTTGCAAATGTTGTATTTTCCCTTTAAGTCGGTTTCTCTGGCACTTATTTGCACATGTTTTATGCGTAATCTCTGACGTGCCACCTCGCTACATGTATGTGTGCAACGATGTCCTAGTTGGGCCGGCCCATCTTGAACATATCGGTTGGGAGGATCTCAACTATACATGAAGTTGGGTCATAACTAAATCAACTAACTTATATCAAGAAATCATGCGCACTTCAAAGAATATGTTTGTATTATAGTGTTATTTAGGGATCAGTGTGTTAACCATCTTAATCACTGAAAATGTGAGTCTTTCAGCAAGTATATTTTGGCTTGGGAAGAACGTAATAGTGGAACCCTAAGGCCAAATAAAAAAAAAATTATGTTTGGCATCCTGCCTTTTTGAAAAAAAGAGGAGGAGGCCCTTTTTTTTCTTATACAAAATGGCCGCCTGAGCAGGCTATTTTTCAAGGTGGCCGCCATTTTTTTTTTTAAATGACTCGGGAAATGACATACCAGCTTTATATGGGCTAGATGCAACAGACAAAGAGGCCGAAATGATGTCAATGTTTAAAATTTATCATTTTTTTTTCTCGGTTTAAAAAATAGAAAAAGAAGGAGACGGCCTCCATAAAGGAAGTGGGCGGGGACGCTAAACACGTTTTTTTTTTTTTTTTGGCCTTACAGAACTCAACCCATCAAAACCCAACGGCATGTTTTGTTGGAATCTGTCAGGATGGGTACAGTACCCCTGAAATGACAGTCTTTTACATTGGGTTGGCAGACCTTGTACACAATGTATGTGTGTGCAGTTTCCAATGTGAAGTTGGAATTTGCCAGGATGGGTATGGTTCCTAGTGAATCATGCAAGGGAGTTAGGGTTAATTAAGTTTATTCAGTCTGTGGGTGTTAATTCAAAATTAGATGATTTTTGTTTTTGTCAAATAGAAATCGGTCATACATGTACGTAGCTGCCAACAAAATTTTGTAGTCCTCGTTACAAGCTGTGATTGACAAAGATCACCCTCTTTTTAAAAAATAGGAGTTACACCTCAAGTGAAAGAAACCATATAGGCCATCAGTACATGTGTGGATATTGACCTCTTGGGATTGATTTTAATTCATCAGGAAAGTGATTCCCCACTAAGCGACGATGGCGAGATCATCTTCAAACACAAGAGCAAGAAGAAGAAAGACACTCCGAAGGCAAGTACACGCATGCACAAACTCTCCTAAATTCTGGGGATCTGATTCATATTGTATATACTCTATGTACCCACAACCGTACATTCACGCAGGTACGTTGTACATTAGGGGTGTGCATTTACGGGTATAACGGGAACTGGGTGTCCCATTGAAAAACACTTGGGTACCCGGGCACCCGTTAAAGAAACCCAACAAAATTCCAATCTCGGAAGTTGCTATTCATAATGGTCCGCACGATAATACTACTGTACATTGTACCCATGGAGCTATATTAAATTACTAGAGCGCTAACTCGTCATTCTGCGCTCGGAGACGCTTAGAAGCCGTCCTGGGCGCAGACATTTTGAATTCATGTGCGTGTTTGTAGAACATAAGGAAATTAGATAGATTGAATTTTGAAAGTGTACTCTACATGCAACGCGCAAGTAGAACATACGCAAACAACTTAAGTGCGTCAATGATGCTTCAAAAAAACGCGACGGCAAGAAGCATCTGCAGCGAATACGCGCACGCGTTGCACTGTTTGCGTAGAGCAAAATGACACGCTCATTTGCTGATCGTGCGTTTCGGTTTTGGGCGTATTGGCTTCGATAACGCACCGGTATGGAATACAAACGCAGATATGCAAATAGCCGTACAAAAGCCGTACACAATTTCTAGGTCTCCATAGGTTTGTGCACAAACATGGATGGGCCCAGCAGGCATTACTTTGTACACGAAGTTAGCGCTCTTGTAATTTAATATAGCTCTATGATTGTACCACATCTGTTTGTGCATCAAATAGATGCAAGTGTGTACAGTGAGCTTTATATACATGTAGCTCTGTGGCATGTATGGTGTAAACTGCAACTTTCACTGTTTTCCCATGTAGCCTGGTTTTCATTTTTTTTTTTAATTCCCAACAAAAGACATTCGAAACTTTTCTTTTTCATGGTCTGAGAAATTACTAAGTAATTTGTAAAGTTGGTTACGGGTACCCAATTCCATAATCTGGAACCGGTTCCTGACATCAGCGTACTCGTGATGTCCAGCCCTGTCTGCCTTGAAAACCACCCCCATCTGTCAGACAGTGTCCAGCCCCCTCGCCTTCTTCCCCTTATGCTTTTTGATTTGCAGTGGCCGGGGAATGGAGGAAAAATTCCTGGCTCTTGTAAAGTTTATTATTATTTTTTTTCTGATGGCATCTGCAACAGGAGAAAGACATGGGCCCGAAGAGTTCCCTGGAGCTGATGCGGGAGTTTGGCATCGAGGAGTTTGAGATGGAGTACATGGATGCTGATTACGAGAGCCTGATCAACTACAAGCTCTTCTGCCAGCACGTCCGCCCCCTGGTCATCGAGAACGCCCCGAACTTGCCCATGACCAAAATGACCACGCTGCTGGCGTCCCTGTGGCGGGAGTTTGCAGCCAGCAACCCCAAGCGGGGCACCACAAGGCCCCCGCCGCCCCAGCTGATCATGTCATCGCCCGAGGCACCTCCGAAGGAGGCCCCTCCCCCGCCACCACCACCACCAAAGGAGGCGGAGCTTCAAGAGGAGGAGAGGGAGGAGGAGAAAGAGGAGGAGGTAGAAGAGCAGAAGGAGGTCAAGGAATCTAAAGGTTAGTCGTAACACTGTGGGAATCCCAGTGTTGTAACGAGTCACTGAATTTTGTGACTTGAGTCGAGTCAAGTCCTTTAACCCCAACTCCCTAGGCCTTTTAGCAAGGATGTAGCCTCAATCCTGCAAAATCCTCCAATTGGCGTCATGGAAAAAAAAAGCCTCAATCCTGCATATTCCTCCAGTATTTCTTGAATATTGTCCGTGGATGGGTGACCCCTGCCTGAATCCTGCAAAATCCTCCAATTGTCCTCATGCAAAAAAACCCCTCAATCCTGCATATTCCTCCATTATTGATTGAATATGGTCTGTGGAGGGATGACCACGGCCTGAATCCTGCAAAATCATGCGGCAGTGATTCAATATGTCAAGGCTTGGCCAGTGACATCCTGGAGCAGTACAGAGGATTCGAGCATAACCCAGGCCTATATTTATGCATCCATGGATTGGGATCCATGGGTTTTGTACCCCCTCGGATGCCAATGGCACCCTCGGTTGTACAAAACACCGTGGACTCCATCACAACAGGCATCAATTGTATATTGTACACTTTCTAGTGAACATTGGTCTTGTGTAATCTGTCATACATGCCGAAACAGTTGATTTTGAGTTGAATTTTTTTTTCTATTTTCAGGTAAGAGTAAATCAGCCAGCAAAGACAAATCCAAGGGGAAAAAGAAGAAAGTGGCTCCCCTCAAGATCAAGATTGCCGGCCAGTCTGGACGAAAGAGGAAAGCGCACTCATCGGTAAGTCACATTGTAACAGATTACCCCCTTTCATCATGTTCATCGTCCATTTTCTTAGAGCTAATTTTGACACAAATTCCTTTAGGCTTACATGGCTTTCCATCAGCCTTTAACCCTCCCAGTCATTTGCCCTTCAAAACCCTTCAAATTTACCTAAGCACTTTTTGCCCGTAGAGTTAGCACCCACACTTCAAAAACCGTAGAGGTAATCTTCTGTGGAGCATGGATAACATTTCAAAACCTTTCGCAATATTCTTTTGTGTGGTTAAGCTCAGTGAGAGTTGGTGGATTCTGTCACGCTTCACTGATCTCCACAGTGCTGTGTTTTGTGCATTGACTCTCTGACACAGTGACGTAGTTTAATACTTCATAATATTTCAGGTATTTAACAGGTTTTAGATATTGCAGTGAATATTGACTTCCCTGTTGGAGGGTTAACCAATATTCTACTACATGCTTTGTATCAGTGTTTTTCTGAGTACCGAGTATGCCGACTACATGTACTTATGTTACTGAGTACGAGAACTTGTACTTCTGATTACAAATTTAGGTCTCCGAGTACAAGTACTTGTACTTCGAGTACTTCTATTTCCGAATACGGCCATATATGGCAAATGGTTCATTGTGCATAATTGGCCCAGGCCCAGTCAGACCGATGCTTACCCACTCACGGCTAGCTGTTAAATGTGTTTGTCCGGACGTGCACAGAGAAAAATCAGGCAACTTTGATTTCTCTGCAAGCCAATCAACCATTTCCAACTGAAAGTATCGATAATAAAATAAGGCGGTGGTAATTCAAGCTATACCATTTTTTTTTAGTAGTGCTATTCGAGTACGAGTACTTTACTTTGCTGATCTAGTACAATTTCAATATGTCGGCTACGAGTACTTTGCTGCCCGAGTACGAGTACCGTCATTTCGAGTACGACTACTCTGACATTCGAGTACGAATACCAGTACGAGTACTCTGAGAAAAGTACTTGAGTAGTACTCAAGTACGAGTACTACAACACTGCTTTGTACCCTTATCCAATTTCCCGCTTTCTTTTCCTCCCAAAGAGCGACAGCGGAAGCAACTTCAGCGATCAGCTCCCCAGCGACCTGTCAGACGAGGAGGCCAAGAGCGCCCCCTCGGTCCAGTCAGACAGCTCGGCCAGCCGCTCCTCGGCGCGCAAAGCCAAGAAACCCAAGCCCAAGAAGATGCCCATCAAGAAGAAGAAGAAAAAGAAGAAAGGCTCAGAGGAAGACGGCTACGAGGTGAGTCTCCAATTTTCGCGAGTGTAAAAAAAAGGCCATAATTTGATAAAAGGCAAAAGTTTGTTGCAAAAACAAGATGATTAGCCAGTTGTTCAACAGGGCCTGTTCTAACCACATGTAGCATCGTGACGTTGGGTGTTATCCCTGGCTGCATGGCATATACAGGTTTATGGCTTCTGATTAGCGCCACTTGAGCAGAGACATTGACAAAACGGGGAACCGCCAACATAGGGCAGGATAGCTCAGTTGGTAGAGCCCCGGAGCGGCAATCATAAAGTCTCAGGTGCAAGCCCCGCTCCAGTCAATTTTTTTGTTACAAATTTTTAAATAACAGACTGTGACAAGTTTAACTTCTTATACTGAATATACACAAGTCTGTGTCAGCAATGGTAGCCAGCTGTGCAGCCAAAACGATGCATATCAGCAGAAAATACTGTAAAACATGGTACGGGTCAGAGTTTCAGAATTTTAAGGTTACTTTACAACAGGAACTGTCTCCAAAGTTTTTTTTGTATCGGTAAGTTTTTATGCATACAGGGCATTGTTGATTGAGGCATGAAAATCATCAAAATGTTAACCCTAACTCCCCAGCGTCTTTTACTGGGAACTGAACCAAGTCAATCAAAATCCATCAATCACTGTGCGTCCAATACAAAACTGTACATGACATAATGGAATCCACCACTGACGCACTGGTTGACATTCATGGATTTGCTTTTATCACAATAGTAGTACAAGAAGCTAGGCAAAATCAATCAAATACAACTACATGTAGCACATTAGGCCCAAGTCCATCATACTCCATTTCAGTTTGAAAAACATCTGGTACACTGACTTGCTCAGAATGCTTGGCACATTTTAACTTTGAATTCTCCAGACCAAAGACACTGTTGCTAATCACATGATTCGGGGCAAGCTCTTGCATAGTTACGTAAGAGACGCTCAGCACCAAAACATTCTTCACAATGGGTGAGAATGGCACAAAGACACCAGACCATGCCGGAGCTGGGGGTTGCTAGCATAAGGCTTGCCCCGTATCACGTGATATAGTAACAGTCTCTTTGGTCAGGAGAATGCAAAGTTAAAACGTGCAAAGCATTGGACTAAGTCAGCGTTCCAGATATCATTAAAATTTAACTCGCAAATGGCTTATTGGCTCTAATACCTGTGATAGTTTGTATATAATTCTTACATGGGAGGGTTTAATTTTGGCTTTGCAAGTCACCAAAGTAACTTTGTAAACAGTCTATACTCCAGAGATGAAACTTTTCAGATTTTAATCTGAAATCAGATTTTTAAAACTTTTCCAATGAAATTTCAGATTTTTTAACCATCCCACAAAAATGATTTCTTAAGGATTTTTCTACAAAATGTTTTTTTAATTACTATTTCCAAGAAAAGTCAATGAAAATGGCAGGTAAAATGTGCACAAGGGTAAAACACCTAGACCAACACTGATCAGATGCTTTCCGGCTGGAGAAAAGGTTCAATACTGACCTATGTCATTGATGTGCTGTGCTGCACTGCGCTGTGCTGCACTGCGCTGCGCGACGCTGTGGCTCCTAACCAAGGTCCAATTTCAGATTTTTGTTGCCAAGGCCAGTTTCATCTCTGATACTCAGTGTTGTCTAAGGACTTGCACGAAAAGATTCACGAGCGTACTTGGGTGGAACTCACATCCTCCTGTGTACTACTGTACGTTTTCTGTATTTTCCCCCCAGACTGACCATCAGGATTACTGTGAGGTGTGTCAGCAGGGAGGGGAGATCATCCTCTGTGATACCTGCCACCGAGCCTACCATCTGGTCTGCCTGGACCCAGAGCTGGACGCTGCCCCCGAGGGCAAATGGAGCTGCCCCCACTGTGTAAGTAGGAAACCAAAAACCAAAATAAATCTGCAAATGGTCCTTTGAACTCTGTCCTAGAAGAGCAGCTGTTTGCACAGATGTGCAATGTTTTTGTGTGGACTGCGGGCGCACTGTAACGTTCGTCATTCCTCTCTGTATTGTCATCATTTAGGAGGTACTTATGGGTGAAGTTATGGGCTTTAAGCACACCGATCCCTCTTGCTGTCTGAACAATCACAGACAGTCAAAAAAAATGCAGTCCATGCCATACCTTTATACACAAGCTAGTCACCAGCAGCCAGATCACATTTCTAGTAAGCAATGTGACTAGTCACATTTCATCAACAGACCAAAGCAGGTAACCGGTAGGTACAGCTGGCTTATCAAGCGCGTACAGTCAAAGCACAGGGCCCAATTTCATAGCACTGCTTAACAGTAAGCAGAAAAGTTGTGCTTACTATAGCAGAAAATCATGCTGCTGCTTAAGCACTATTTCATGCTAACGGTTGCGCGCACATGGAGATTTCTATTGTTACGTCACTGATTTAAGCAAAGGTTTCTTTTGGGGTTAAGCATGCTTTTGCTGTGCTTACTGCTTAACGGTCCCTATGAAATAGATGGAGACACGGTATGCACAAAGTCGGCTGTTAAGCAGCGCCATGAAATTGGGCCCAGGTGGATCAAGCTACATAACCAGCCATAGCCAGTCAATTATTCTATGTGTAAACAGGGAGCTCTTAGCCTTACAAAAACAGTCAATTGATTGATGTTGACTTCTGACTTGACTTTGCTGAATTTGCCAGCAAGAGGGAGACTTATTTTAATAGTTTGGTTTGGGGAGTTTGTGGGGGAGTGTGGCGTAGTGGTCAGGGTTCGTGACTTATGATCAGAGGGTCAGGGATGCGAATCCAGCTGCTGGCCATATGTTGTGTCCTTGGGCAAGCCACTTCACCCCCACTTGCCTCTCTTCACCCAGGAGTATGAATGGGTACTGGCAGTAGCTGGGAAGTAACCTGAGATGGACTGGCATCCCATCCAGGGGGAATAGAAATATTCTCAGTTATTTCCTGCTACTGAAACCGGAGATGAACGTCTGCCTGATGGGCCACATTGGCTTGTGACAGATTTTACATCTACTGTGGGGAGTTTGGGCTTGAAATTGATGTGATGATATGACAGTTTCAAAATTCTTCGTTGTTTTTCCTCTTGATTTGCCAGGAAACGGAGGGAGTGCCCGTGCAGGAAGAAGAACAAGACGAACACATGGAGTTCTGTCGCGTCTGCAAGGACGGAGGGGAGCTACTGTGCTGTGACCAGTGCCCGTCATCCTATCACATCTTCTGCCTCAATCCCCCTCTCAAGGAGATCCCAGACGGGGAATGGGTCTGCCCACGATGCTCGGTGAGTCCAGCCAAGAGATAGGGTGCACTTGGGTTGAGAGAGGGGTCTGCTAGATGGGTTGGGAGGTGCATAAGAAAAACAAATAGAATATCAGCCAGGTTTTTTTGAAAAAAAAGTAGGGGGCCCTTTTTCCCTTGTTTTTTTCTCTAAGATGGCGGATTGATTTTTCCATTTTCCGGACTCTTTTGCTGATACCAAATATGGGGGTTGATTTAGATAAGGGGGGTAGGGAGCTCAGGCTGGGGGTTGTGTCGTAGAATTGAGTAACTGCGCGAAAACAATTTTGAAGTGAATTACTTTTTGGAGAAATCAGATTCTTAAATTGATAACTTTCAAAGCTGTCCTCCCTGCAATACCATGTGTTGTTGTACTGTGCTTGGGAACAATTCATGATATGTGGGATGTAGGTAATGGTTACATTACATAGATTTCCCTAATTGCTTCGATTTTAACATAGTCAGGCATGCAACTTTTCCTCGGAACAGCTGATTTCCTCATTTTTCACTTCACACTTAGGCCAAAAAAAAAAGTCTCCGGTTTCTGGTATGCGCGCGCGTCGCCGTAGCCATGCGCGTCGGCAAAATGAAAATTTTTTTTTTTCAATAAAAGATGATGTCTCAAAACCGCCAAACTCACTGGTTTGACTGGAATCCTGCTACTGCACAATTTTAACGTGTTTTTAGATGGGGTTATGATCGAGAATAAGCTCTATGTGGCCTCTCTGGACTCCCATATATTTGCACTAAGTTTAGTCGGGCACCATTTGCAGTCATCAGCCGACATTTGAAGCAAAAAAGTCAGGTAAAAAAAAAAAAAAAGCCGCGTCGCCGCACCACTTTTTGGACAAGCTCCATACCAGAAACCGGAGACTTATTTTTGTTGGCCTTATGCCATTAAATACTGAAAGACACTGTACAAAGTCTTGTATAGATGGGAGTTTCCTCGTTTTTTGTTTCTGCCAAGTTGCATGCCTGCAAAGTAAATTTTATACGATATATATAAATAGTATTTTGCCAAGCTGTCAGAAATCACAGCCTTTTGTATTTAATTGTGATCGGCATTTTTCCAGTGCGAGCCACCCAGGGGCAAAGTTCAGAAGATCCTGACCTGGCGTTGGACCTCGCCCCCTGTGAACACGGACCCCCTGGACCCGGAGTGCGGCAGCCCCACCAAGAAGGAGCCCGGCCTGAAACCCACCCGGGAATTCTTCTGCAAATTCCACGGCATGTCCTACTGGCACTGCGACTGGGTCTCGGAGCTACAGGTAGGGACACTTGCACTACTACACCCTCCAAAACGCAACAATATGCACACGTAAACGGAATTGCCCTAGGATTGCTCTGCCGACATTACCACAGATAGTGAGCAGTCAATCCCTATCCTGTCATCTGATACTAACCCTCCTTTTGTTTGATCAGTTACAGACATAGAGCTATATTAAATTGCTAGAGCGCTAACTCGATGTACAAAGTAATGCCTGATGGGCGCATCCAAGTTTGTCCACAAAACTATGGGAAACTCGAAAGTTTGTACGGCATTTGTACGGCTAATTGCATATCTGTGTTTGTATTCCAAACAGGTGCGTCATCGAAGCCGATACGCCCAAAACCGAAACGCACGATCAGCAAATGAGCGCTTCATTTTGCTCTACGCAAACAGCGCAACGTGTGCGCGTCCCTCCGCTGCAGATGCTTTTCGCCGTGACGTTTTTTGAACCGTCATGACGCGCTTAAGTTGTTTGCGTATCTTCTACTTGCGGCGTTGCATTTAGAGTACACTTTTGAAATTCAATCCATCTATTTTGATTGTGTTCTACAAACACGCATATAAATTCAACATGTCTGCGCCCAAAGCGGCTTCAAAGCGACTCCCCGTGCAGGAATGACGAGTTAGCGCTCTAGTAATTTAATATAGCTCTATGGTTACAGACAGTCAAAACTTCAATCCTGTTCCCCTGCCTTGTCTTTTGCACAGGCTGGTCACCAACAATCAGATCATATTTCTTGCAGGCACTGCAACAGTCAAATTACATCAACAGACAAAAGCATTTGTCTGGTAGGCACAGCTGGCGTATCAATCTCCCACAGTCAAAGCATAGCTACATCAGGTTTCATAACAATCACAGCCAGTCAATCCTGCTTTATGTAGGCAGGGAGCACTCAACTGTTAAAAGACAGTCACTTGCTTTCTTTTGACTGCTGGGCTGGCCTTGTTGATATTGCCAACCAGAGATATGATGCTGATTTGCCAGGCAAATGATTCCAATCCCAACTGTAGCCATTTTCACAAAGTGAAGCATTTTACACACAGCTTACATGACACAGCACTGAAATTGAATAAGGCAAGGCACTTGGTCACGGTGTCCAAATATGTTGTGATCAAATGATAATAGTGTAGTGATGCGTGACTTAAATTAAATGAAACTCATAGGGGTTGAGGCCAAGGCTCAGAGATGAAACTTTCCCAATTTTAATCGGTAATCAGACTTTTTGAATTTTCCAACGAAATTCCCAATTTTTTTAGGATTTGTCCCACTAAAGTTGAATGTTTACGATTTTTCCACAATATGTGATTTTATTTAAATTATTGGGATTTTTTATTATTTCGCAGATGGAAGTGTTCCACATTATCTTATACCGTAACTACAGCCGCAAGTTTGACATGGAGGAGCCTCCTCCTTTGGAAGACGGGGAGACCTACGGAGGCAACTGGCGGCACAAACACGGCAACAAAGGCAACGATGAGCACCACATCAACCTGGAGGAGAAGTTCTATCGCTACGGCGTGGCTCCAGAATGGCTCCAGATACAGAGGTAACCATTTTCTTTCCTTGAAACCCTTTTTTGGGTCTCTGTTTGATTACTTTAACCCTAACCCCCTAGGCCCTTGTTGCTTACAACCATCCTCAATCCTCCAAAATCCTCCAAAATTTTCCAAAATTTTGCAACTCCGCCTAAATTTTTCAAAATTGTCAGACAGTCCTGCCTCAAAATGCATTCATCCTCAATCCTCCAAAATCCTCCTCATCCCAAAACTTTGCACTCGTGTTTAAATGAAGGATAACCAACGCCAAATCCTTCAAAATCATCAGACAGTCCTGCCTCGAAATGCATTCATCCTCAATCCTCCAAAATCCTCTTGTGCTTCAATCACCATTCATCCTCAATCCTCCAAAATCCTCATGTGCTTCAATCACCATTCATCCTCAATCCTCCAGAATCCTCATTTGATTCAATCACCATTCATCCTCAATCCTCTAGAATCCTCCAAAACCGCCAGGAGGATTTTGGAGGAGTGAGGTGGGTTAGGGTTAACCTCCAAGTAGTTCCTCAGGACTACCCTGCTAAATCCAACAGAGTCCAACCGGAGTTTCCTGCTCAATCCACTGTGCCTTATTTTTAGTTGTCTGCTGAATCCAACGGAGTCCAACTTGGTGTTATAATACGGTCCAGTTGCCTGCTGAATCCAATACTTGCATCAGGAATGTGCACAAGGGGTTTACTGCTCAATCCAACAGGCTCCATCGGGTATATGATATGGTTGCATCCTGTTGGATTCAGCAGGGTTAGGGTATCATGTTTGTGATTCAGAGGAAATACTGCGTTATTTGTCTGGTATTTCGGATTACTTGTCTTTGGCTCATACCTAACCCTTGTGGTCTGTTTGCTGGGATGCGTCCACAATCCTTTAAACATTCTCCAACTGCCTCCACGCAAAATTTGGATACATCCTCAAGCCTCCAAAATCATACCAAAACTGCCAGTTTGATTTTTGGAGAATTTACTTGTACAGTTACGATTAATTCGATAATTGTAATAAATTTGGTTAATTGATATTTAATTTAATTCAGGCATGGGACTTTTCCGCGGATCAGCTGATTTTTCTTCCATTTTTCTCTTGTATGCTATCAAAAAAAAAAATGAAAACACCACAGAAAATTGGAATTTCCACGCTTTTCTTGGCGACTTCCTAGTTGCATGCCTGATAAAAGGTGCTGTCCATCATTTGCAGCTACCCGAAAAAGTAACTGACAAATTATCATTGAAAAGCATACTTGGTTTAAAGATAGTAACGGGACTAAACTCCCTGTGAAATTATTCTTTCTGGCAAGCTGTCATTTAAAAAACCCCAAAAACAATGAAAGAAGGCCATTTCCAATGTTGCGTCTAAAGACTCATTTCTTTTTTGAGATTTCCGTTAGTACTTCGTTTTTTAATCGGCAAAGCTGTGAATGAGCACGCGCAAGCGTTGACACGACGCACACACGCGCATAGTTGCTATAATTCGTCGGTTAAGTGCGCAACATCGTGTCGCTGCAATCAACTGAATGAGAACGTGTCCCAAACTCTGAATTCGGGAGCAACTCAAAACATAACTCAGCAAGTTTTGATTTGAAATTAAGATCCTGGAAAATTGCTTTCTTGGAATATTACAGCATTCACCGAGCTAAAACTTTATCGGGTTAAATGTTAAGCACCCTTCTTAAGATTGTGAGCACTTTCGTTGCTTCAAACGAACATAATGCACAAATTACAAGTGATGGACTTCACCTTTGAAACTCGTCCCTGGGTTTTGTTACCCCCTCAAGCACATATATTTATATTTATTTCCTTTTTATCGTTTCTATCGTTTTGTTTTTGTTTACCTAACAGAATCATCAACAAACAGGTGCGTCCTCGCTCGGGCAAGACCCTGTATTTGATCAAGTGGCGCTCGCTGAACTACGACAACTGTAGCTGGGAACACAACGATCTACTGGATGATATCCCTGATGGACCCAAGCACATCGATTACTACAACTCACACAAGTAAGACTGTCAATACTTTTTATTATTTTCCCGGATTTTTCTCTTGGATCGTAGCCAATTATAACTGTACAGTGAAAATTAACTTATAAAATAATTATAGGCTAATTATCTCTGATGAAAAACATTTTAAAATAAATGTTGGATTGCTGTATGCTAAGAATGTTTGTTTTGATAAATTGTACAAATTATACAAATCTTCATTTCCAATGTATTCATCATTGTTTAAAGCTAGAGTCCATCATTTGCAGCCATCCGAAAAGTAACTGTCGTAATTATTGTTGAAAAACAAACTTGGTTGAAAGATAGTAAGGGAACTATTAAAACTCCCTGTGAAATTATTCTTTCTGGGAAGCTGTCATTTTGAAGTAATCAACGAAAGAATGCATTTCCAACGGTGATTCTTAAGAAGCACCGTAAAAAAATTTAAATTAGTAGTTCGTTTTGTTATTCAGCGCAGCGCTCACAAGTATTGGAACGACGCACACGCGCCGGCGGTTGTTATAATTCGTCGGATCAGTGCGCAACGTCGCGTATAGCTGCAATTCAAAACAATTCAAAACATGATTCAGTAACTTTTGATTTGAAATTGAGGTCTTAGAATGCTGTTTTTCTCGGAATGTACAGCTGAAGCTTAGCTGAAACTTCATCAGGTTAGTTGCTCAGTATCCTTCATTAGATTTTGAACTCTTTTGTTGCTTCAAACGAACAAAATGCACAAATTACAAATGATGGACTGTAGCTTTAAATATCGTCTATCATGGTTTTTCAATTACAATATCCTTTGAAACTAAACACTGTGTTGCAATGTTAATTTGTTCCCCCCTTTTGCTAGGAGAACCATGCACACACCGGTGGAAACCAAAGTGAGCAAAAAGAAGAAGGGGGGAAAGGGCAAAAAGTCCAAGAAAGAGGAGAAAGAGGAAGAAGAGGAGAAAATCGATGTAAGTAACTCACCCTAAATAAAAAAAAAACTAAAAACAATCACAGCCTTTCTATGCCTCAAAACTCACACCGTAACCCTCTGAGATCCTACAAAAATCCACAGGCTTGGAGGATTTTGTATGATTAGGGAAAGCAGGTAGAGACCAATCAATGTGACGTAACATGGGGCTTGTGAAAGTGGATTTAAACTCAAATTATAGAAACCTGTCAACCTCTCTGTCTTTGTGCTTCAACCCTTCAAACTCCATCAGGACATTTCTGTAGGAAGTTGAAGGATTTGGGAAGGAAGAGACCATTCAATGTGACGTTTCATGGGGCTTGTGAAAGTGGGTTTAAACTCAACTCATAAAAACCTGTCAACCTCTCTGTCTTTGTGCTACAACCCTTCAAACTCCACCAAGAGATTTTTGTAGGAAGTTGAAGGATTTTGGAAGGTAGAGACCGTTCATTGTGATTTTACATGGGGCTTGTGAAAGTGGATGTAAAACTCACTCCTAAAACATGGGAATCTTCTTAACCTCTGTGTCTTTGTGCCTTAACTGTTCAAAATCCACCATGAGATTTTTGTAGGATTTTGTAGGATTTTGAAAGGTACATGTAGAGCCCATCCCTGCGACTTTTCATGGGGCTTGTGAACTCACTCCTGAAATTTTAAACCTCTCAACCTCTCTGTTTTTGTGCCTCAGGCTTTCAAAATCCATCAGGAGATTTCTGTGGGATTTTGTAGGATTTTGAAAGGTAGAGGCTATTCACTGTGACTTTACATGGGGCTTGAGAAAGTGGATGTAAACTCACTCCCTAGAAGCCTAAAACCTCTCACCCTCTCTGTCTCTGGCCTTAATCCTTCAAAATCCACCAGGGGTTTTCTGTAGGATTTTGAAGGATTGAGGAATGCAGAGCCCATTCACTGTGACTTTACATGGGGTTTTTGAAACTCACTTCTAAAAAGTCTTAGCCTTTCTGTGCTTCTGTGCCTCAACCCTTTGGCTCCTGTAGGATTATGCGGGATTTTGGAAGGTGAATTTGATGCATCATTTGTCGGTAGCGCACTCCTGGAAAAAAAATCTCATCCAATTTGTACCTCATTTTGGATAAAACCAGCTACATGTAGATCTCACCCATGCAACAAGAGGCTAGAATTTATCGGGGAAAAATTCAGTATACTCAGCATGGGTGTCCCAAAGGTTAAGATAACGCCTCTAATCGACCCTCATCCAAACCCCACCCCCTTTTAAGGGCAAGCGGAGGCGGGACGACGATGAAGACGAGGATAGAGAAGAAATTAAAATGGATGTGAGTTCAAGGAACTTTTGTTGTTCGGAATGTCATGTCAAAGAAAAAAACAGAAAAAAACAAACAAACGCTTGCAATTTCGCAACCCCAGCATCCTAGATGCCTGTCGTTGTTATTAATTTGCATTATTTAGTTTGTCCTTCCCTTCCATTCAGTTTTTGACACCATAACAGCAAGTATGTTGCATGCCACAGGAAAACTACAACTCGATTCATTTGCCCCCCGGCTTTTCCTTGTTTACATCCAAGCCAAAGTTTTTGACGGCACTGTTTATTAAAGTAATGATCTTTTCAGAACTGAGATGATTGTGGCCTGGTATCAGTTTGCTTTTTTTCAAAAGATAATTCCATCATTGGCTTCTACTTAAACACACATTTTATTTTGCGATTGTACACAAATTTAAAAAGCCGATCTTTTAAAACTCCGTTTACGCTCCAGTCAAGATAATCTGCATGCGTAAAGGCCGTTTCATAAAGGCAAACGTCAATTTCAGCTCTTGCGAATTGCGACGCCACTGTTTCAGGACGTCAATTTTTTTTTCCACGAAGCATGAAGATCGAAACTGGTCTTACGCTTGACTATCTGTCTAAAGTCATAGTGAAGTCGTATATGTAAATTATAAATTTCTTATCAAATTTCTTCAAAGAAACTTAAACCTTTCTTTCAGTTACTCACAGAAGTTGTAGTTCTTCCCTCTTTAGTTTTCATAGTGACGTAATACATGTCGTTATACGCCCCCTTTTTTTGCGTCTAAAACCTGTCATCCATTCTTGATAGTTGCCGTAAGCCTCACGCAACAAGTGTCTGTGTTCTCAATTTGTTTATTAATTTTTGCATGGCCACAGAGTACATGAGCCTGCTGTCATTTTGTCGTATGTCATCCTGGTCTGACAGTAAATGAACAAGAAAGCATTGTTCCGAACAAAGTAGAAGAAATCTACAATGTAACTCTCATTTTTTGTAGAACAAAATTATTAACAGTCTGCATGCTGGAGTCCCCCTCCCCCCCATTTTCAGATAAATTTCATTTGAATAAGTCAGGCATGCAACTTTTCCTCGGATCAGCTGATTTCCTCTTTTTTAACTTCCAAGGTGTGCTATTGAAAATAGAAAAACCACTGTACAAAGTCTGGGAAAAACTTGAATTTCCTCTTTTTTTGTGATTTCCCAGTTGCATGCCTGATAAGTGTCTAATGAAACAAAGCTGTCAATTTTTTTCAATGACAAAAAAAAAATCACTTTTTGAATTTATATTGAAACAAGAAAATTCAATCTTTGTATACATTGAACTTATGTTTAAAGACATGCTTGATGAAATTTTATTTGTAAATGAGAAAAAAAAATGAGATCAGTCTAATGTTTGATGAATTTGAAGACCGTCTTTTATAATTTACCAAAAAAAGAAATTAGATGAATGCAGGATTAAATCGTTAATGGGTTTTCCTGTTTTGCGTGGAGTTATAAATTGATTTAGTGAATCACTAGAAGGTTATTACTTTTTTCCCTGTTACAGTTGAACACCATTATAACAAAGTCCTTAGGACTTTGCAAATTAACTTGTTATAACAGGTACCTTGTATTATCAGTAATGGAAAACAAAGGAAAACAAAGACTTTGGGCCTACCATTTTCCTTGTTACAAGCAGGATGTTGTGTAACAAGTGTTCTTCTTATCAGGGTTCCACTGTAAAGTTGTCTCAGTTGTCTTTATTTTTATTGTTCAGTGTCTCAAGATGTGCCGCTGTAATTTTTAATTTTGGCTTGTGAGGAATGAAGCTGCTTTGCCTGAATCAAAAACGCTTTAAAAAATAATTGAAAACGTGCAAAAATGTAGCATGTCTGTGGACAGATTTGGATCAGTTTGTTTAGTTCAAAGTTGTCAAAATTACATGTGTTTCTGTTGTGATTGTTCGTAGCATTTGTTTTTAAGCCGATTAGATCAGGCAAATGACTCATGGAAAAAAGACTTCAATGATACTAGAAAATGAAAAACGTGGTTTATAAAGTTCCGACACATTGTTAAAATTTCTGTTGTATACATGCTAAATTTTCTTAGTTTAATACCGGTTCCTGTGTCGTGTCACACACAACTGTTATATGCCAGGTTTTGCCCTACGCCTAATTTATTTCTAAAGCATGCTAGATCTGGAGGCCAATTATGTGAAGTACTTGGTACTGAAATGGTTTCAGAGACAACCCGCAATCAACTTTTTTTTTTTTTTTTACAACCCGATACTTTGATGATGTTCTTTGCCAACATTTTGTCCCCTTTCCTTATTTGACTAAAAAGTTGTCTGAGAAAAGATACTGATTGCCCAGATTGCACTAAGCACAAAAAGCTTTACTTAAAGGTGACATACAACATTTTCTTTTGCTGTAACTTTTAGAAATGGATGGATTTGGGGGTTAGTATACAAATACAACATGGTTTGCGGGGAAATAGTGAAAACTTATGACCCCGAGGTGTTGGATGATTGGGGCTATCTCCCGAGGCGAAGCCTATTATGTTCAAAAATGCAGTTTTATGGATTAGGGCCAGCTTACTGAAAAAAATGTCAACAAATATTAGCCCCAAAAAACCCAGATATTTCTGGTCAAGATTATTTATTGATTTATTTGTTTATGTTTCGACAGCCGAAGAAAAAGTACGAGGAGCAACCGGCCTTCGTCTCGGCCTGCGGAGGCAATCTCCACGACTACCAGTTGGAAGGACTGAACTGGCTGAGGTACTCCTGGGCTCACCGGCTCAGCTGCATCCTGGCTGATGAGATGGGACTGGGCAAGACCATCCAGACCATCGCATTCCTGTACTCCCTCTATAAGGAGGTCGGTAAAGCAGAAGGGCATGGTGCCATGGGCGTCGCGAAAAGCAAAAAAAAAAAGAAAAAGAAAGAAAAAAAAAAGAAGAAAAGAAGAAAAAAAAAAAAAGGAAAAAAAAAGAAGAAAAAAAAAAGAAGAAAAGAAGAAAAAAAAAAGAGAAAAAAGAAAAACAAAAAAAAGAGGCGCGAAGTCATAGTGGTGTTAATTTAATGAGTCGGGGGGGGGGGGGGAATGTCCCTGCCCCCCTCTAAAACTGATAAGTCGAGAATTTATTGAGAAATACAAGAATTTTTGGGGGAAAATATGTTTTGCCCCCCTCTAAAAAAATCCTGGCGACGCCCATGCATGGTGCCTGTTAGCCCTTGGTGTTTGATTTCAAAGGCCCCTTGCAGTTGATTTTACATGATGCACTGTTGTACGATCTCAATGAAATGCATGCAGAGATGAAACTTTTCAGATTTTAATCTGAAATCAGATTCTTTTTACTTTTCCAATGAAATGTCAGATTATTTAACGATCCCACAAAAGTTATTATTTAACAATTTTTCCACAAAATGTTTTTTTTTTTTCATTATGATTTCCAAAAAAGGTCCATGAAACTTCGATGAAAACGGCATGTAAAAATTGGCACAAGTGTAAAAACCCTAGACAAACACTGATCAGGTCCTTTTCCCGCTGGAGAAAAGGTTAAATATTGACCTATGACGTGGAAAAACTCACTGGGTCCCAACGTTCATGCGCTGCACTGCACCGCTCTGCGCTGCGCCGCTCTGCGCTGCGCCGCTCTGCGCTGCGCCGCTCTGCGCTGCGCCGCTCTGCGCTGCGCCGCTCTGCGCTGCGCCGCTCTGCGCTGCGCCGCTCTGCGCTGCGCCGCTCTGCGCTGCGCCGCTCTGCGCTGCGCCGCTCTGCGCTGCACCGCTCTGCGCGACCCTGTGGCAGCTCCGATCCAAGGTCCAATTTCAGATTTGTTTTTGCCAAAGCCAGTTTCATCTCCGTAGCATGAAACTTGTTAGGTTCAATGATGTAACCTGGAAAACCTAAAGCTGCAGTGTAAGATTTATAGCATAGAGCATGCAACGTGGCCCTAAAAACCTGCGCGATTTTACAGTAGCAGAATGCATCCAGGCACCATGTATAGGATGTTCAACATGTGTAACGTCCTATTTGTTTGCATTTATTGTGTGTCCTGTTTTGCTTTATGCAGTGTAGGGCAGTAAATGATTTCTGGGAAAGATAGGAAATCATTACAGTTGACAACATATTGGAAATGCAATGTATAAGGAATTGATGGAAAACACCAAAATTTGACCTCAACTTCCGTTTAAAGGGAATATACATCATTTGCTTTTGCTGTAATTTTCAGAAATGGATGGAATTGGGGGTTGGAAAAATATAGCAAATATATAGCAAATATAGTTACACTGACTTTTTTAAGGTTTTGGGTTCGAAAATGCTATAAAAACCAAGAAAAACAATTATTTTCCTGTAGTCTGGTTCCCTGACTCCATATAAGAAGAAACAGAGCAGTTTACATACATTGGGGAATTGTAAGGTCAGGGAACCAGTCTAGCTGGCTTGTACCCGTTCATAGGTGTGTAATCGATTGCAAACAAGTGCGATGGTCAATTGGGGCAAGTATTTGAAAAAAAGCCAGTTTTTTTCCAACGCTGATCGGCCGACCAGCGTTGGAAATTGATACAAAAATACCATTTTTCTTGAAAATGACAGTATACCAGGTGCCATGATTTTACAGGATGCTTTACACTGTCATTCACTAACAGTCCAGCAAGGTATTTCAAAATGATTTGGTAGTTTTATTTTTTGATGTTTGCAAATGTTGTATTTTCCCTTTAAACTTTGCTCGAGTACAATATATCTGATTGTCCAAAATATTTTGTTACAATTTGTTTAATTTTAAGGCTGCAGATTTTCTTCTTTTTTGGGGGGGGGGGGGAGGAGGGGATGGTTATTATGTAAGGCATTACTTATTGAAATGACTGCTTTTTATGTGATTATTAAAGTCATAGTACCTTATTCCTTGCATTTAGGGTTTGAGCAAGGGCCCCTTCCTGATCAGCGCCCCCTTGTCCACCATTGTCAACTGGGAGAGAGAGTTTGAATTCTGGGCACCAGACTTCTACGTGGTCACGTACTGCGGTGACAAGGACAGTCGCGCTACCATCAGGTATGTAGAATTCCTCTGTACATTTTGCACTTATGATTATCATTTTGTTTTTAATGTGCACAGAAACCTTAACCACTGGACGATGGCATTATTTGTGACCTGTTCTGTCAAAAGCAGATGCTTCTGGGCAGAGGTTGAAATTGAGATAGGGCCAAAAAAACGCTGTGGGATGATTTTTATCGACTTTCAAATGTTTGCATATTTGTAATCCTGAACATGTCTAAAATATATTATTTAAGTTTGAAACCCTAATTTGAACTCTACGTGTACTATTTTTGATGATTTTGATAAGGTATATCACTTTAAAGAAATAACTGTTTTGTGACGTTCATGGCCATTTTCTCTGTTTTCTACTTTTCGACACAATGAACTTAAAAATAGCATAACTCTGCCCAGGAATGACCGGTTTCAAAAATTAAACCACCTATTAAAAGGAAAAAGAACATATGTTAACAAAATGTAAAAATATCATTTTCGACCTTTTGCCCAGAAAAGTCTGATTTTGACAGAACAGGTCACATTTTTGCCGAAAATGATTTGTTGATTTTCAAAAAAAGGGCAAAATATAGCAGCCAACTTTTGATATATATACAAACACCACAAACGGTTTGGTACAGTACTGTACAACATCTGATTGCCTAACTCAACCTTTTTCAGAGAGCACGAGTTCTCCTTTGAAGAGGACGCGGTCCGCGGAGGCAAGAAGGCTTACCGGATGAAGAAAGACAGCGTGGTCAAGTTCCACGTTCTGCTGACGTCGTACGAGTTGGTCACCATTGATAACTCCACCCTGCAGTCTGTGGACTGGGACGTTCTGGTGGTGGACGAAGCTCATCGACTCAAGAACAACCAGTCTAAGGTAAACCGCAAATCTCCTTTCCGTTAAAACAAACGGACCAATCCATCTTGGGCAATATCATGTGCGCCTCTCGATACCACTCTGCCTTTTCCAGCTGTGTGCGTCAGCCGTGTGTGTACTACATACACCCCGAGGACAGACAGACAAAGGGAGAACAACAGATTCTTTGTTGTCCTGGAGAGTTCATCTTTTGTTGAAAATGTTCCTTGATCGTGCGTTTGTGTGCTGATAGTCTATGGGAGATTTGTAACAGGGACAAAGGAAAAGACAATGCCTTGTCCTCGAGAGTTATGTAAAGCACGACTGTGTGTATGCATGCTAGACTTTAGTGCATGCATTTAGTGTACATGCGAGGACAGACAGACAAAGGGAGAACAATAGATTCTTTGTTGTCCTGGAGCGTTCATCTTTTGTTGAAAATGTTCCTTGATTGTGCGTTTGTGTGCTGATAGTCTATGGGAGAGTGTTATGTAACAGGGACAAAGGAAAAGACAATGCCTTGTCCTCGAGAGTTATGTAAAGCAGGACTGTGTGCATGCATGCTAGACTTTAGTGTACACATGTTGGATGTTTGTGCACGCATGTCTGACGTTAATCACAGCTGTGATCAGTCTAAGCACGGATACTTCAGAAGCACTTTTCTTAAATATTTCTAACGGTAACACTGAATAAACTACACCATTAGAACGATCTGAAAACCCCCTTTCAGCTGGTGTATGGTTGATGTATGGGCTACCAAACATACAACATGCTAGCTTGCTGAAAAGCAGTGAATAAATTTGAGTTGAGCATGGTCTGTGTGTGGTTTCCTGGTCGACTTAAGTCACCTATAGTAAGCAGCAGGGAGGCAGTCCATAAATGTCGCCCATGTTAAGGAAGGGGTTAACGATGGCAAATACTCAAAAGCTGTTGTTCAATCTTTTGAGGATAGAGGTAAAAACAACCACCCAGACAAACACTTATATTTTCCCAATCTGTTGTGTATTTGCAGTTCTTCAGGGTCTTGTCGGCGTATACCATCGGCCACAAGCTGCTGTTGACCGGTACCCCGCTACAGAACAACCTGGAGGAGCTGTTCCATCTGCTCAACTTCATGAGCCCTGATGAATTCTCGTAAGTGTCACACTCGGAAACAGCTCACAACAGTATATCATAATGGACAAAAATTCTTTAGCCCCAACATAATAATTAATAATAATAATTGTGCTTATATAGCGCTTTCCATGGTATCGTATCAACAATCTCAAAGCGCTTTACAATAATTACCCTGTTCATCAGGCCATGGGACCACGCGGCAGCCGATATCAGCGCTCAATCGGTCCTCGACCCTCACAGGTACCCATTTATACTCCTGGGTGGAGAGAGGCAATTGTAGTTAAGTGTCTTGCCCAAGGGCACAAACACCATGTTCCTGGTTGGGTTCGAACCCACGCACCTTCGTACATGAGTCAAACACCGTAACCACTGGACCATGGCGTTCTACAACCTTATCTATTCCCAGTCATTCACACAAACCTTTTTTAAACTGGCTCCCAATGGAAGCAACAAGTTCTGCAAAGAACAATTCAAGAGATCTGAGTTGAGAATGTGCTCCCTAAATCACAGGATTATTTGGATGTAGGCCGTGCCGTCTATTTGCCAAAATCACGTAAACTTTATTCCAAACTCAGAACTGGGGCAGGACTGTATATCTTTCTTTTTGAGTGAAGTGACTCTCTAAGGGCCATTTTCATGGTGCTCTTTATAGTTCAAATTAGGTTTTGCCCTTCACCGACGTTTTTAAACACTGTATACTCAGTGTGTTACCTCCCGAGTGAAAGCTGGAAAAAATCACTCGGGTGGGACTCGAACCCACGACCTCCTGCTTTCTAGTGCAGATGTCTTACCACTCGACCACCAAGCTAACGGGATCGGTTGGCTGGTTCGAATCTGATGTACATAGCAGCGGGAGGTCGTGGGTTCGAGTCCCACCCGAGTGATTTTTTTCCAGCTTTCACTCGGGAGGTAACACACTGAGTATACAGTGCTTAAAAACGTCGGTGAAGGGCAAAACCTAATTTGATTTATATCACCCGACGCAAAATTCCATCTTATAATAGTCTATGCGGTACCCGCTGCTATGTACATCAGATTCGAACCAGCCAACCGATCCCGTTAGCTTGGTGGTCGAGTGGTAAGACATCTGCACTAGAAAGCAGGAGGTCGTGGGTTCGAGTCCCACCCGAGTCATTTTTTCCAGCTTTCACTCGGGAGGTAGCACACTGAGTATACAGTGTTTAAAAACGTCGGTGAAGGGCAAAACCTAATTTGATTTATATCACCCGATGCAAAATTCCATCTTATAATACCCTTTGTAGTTATTAGCGAAAAAAAGAACACAAAAGAACAGTGCAGGGATTTGAAGTGTTATCCATACTTCATAGAAGATTACCTCAAAGGAATTTGAAGTGTGGGCAAAAGTGGTTTTACAAAACTTGAAGACTAGTGGGTTAATATAAGTGCCATGAAAATGGGTCCTGCAAAAGAATCAGAATCAATTCCAGAAATGTTGGAGTCTCCCTAGCCTATTTGGATATGCTCACATCAATTGATGGTTTATTATTTCGTCTCTCCCTCCAGAAACCTGCAAGTGTTCCTGGACGAGTTTGAGGACATCTCCAAGGAGGATCAGATCAAGAAGCTGCACGACCTGCTGGGGCCTCACATGCTGCGACGTCTCAAGGCCGACGTCCTGAAGGGCATCCCATCCAAGAGCGAGTTCATCGTCAGGGTGGACCTCAGCCCCATGCAGAAGTACGTCCCTCAACTCCATTCTCTCCAGGAGAAAGTGTTTTGTGTTCTTTTCAAGTTCAATGCTTGCTTCAAGATTTTTATCAAGTCCGTGGGATGTTTGAATTGTCAGCTGGTGTATATGTTTCAAATTTGAAACAATTTTTGTTTGAAAAGCTACTCCAATGATGTACTGAAAAAGGAAAAAGTACTGTACAGGGTGAGTAAAAAAAAAAAACATACCCAAATGTCGGGACCATTGTTTTTTTATAGTGAAGTTCTACATGTAGCACTTTAAAAATATAGGATATGAAAGCCCAATTCACAAGCTTACTTTTAGTACAAGAATCATTCAAATCACTCATGTACTTTTCAAGTTACAGAGTTTTAAACACAACCACCGTTTTAAAGTTCTGTCCACGGATCACAAAAAAAGGTGTGCGTTCTTCAGCAAAACGAAAACAATTCACACACATCCCTATGTGATTTGTTTTCGTTTTGCTGAAAGAACACTGAACTTTTTTGTGATCCGTGGACAGAACCTTAAAACGGCGGATGTGTTTAAAACTCTGTAACTTGAAAAGTGTATGAGCGATTTGAATGATTCTTGTACTAAAACAAACCTTATGAATTGGGCTTTCATATCCTAGATTTTGCAAGTGGTACATGTACATGCGAAACTTCACTAAAACAGTGGTCCCGACATTTGGGTTTCGTTTTTATTACTCGCCCTGTACTTGCATTTGTTGGTGCTTATTAACCCATCAGCACCCGTACTACGTTGTATTACATTATGTTTGTTCATGTTTTACAATATGGGATTTTGCCCTTCACGGGTGTATGTCTATGAACATTGTATACTCATGTTGTCCCGAGCAAATGTGAGAAAATTTCATGAACTACTTGGACGGGACTTGAACCCACGACCTCCTGTTTGTGAGTTTACAGTGTTTATAAAAATACATCGGTGAAGGGCAAAACCCAATATTGAAATTACATCACTCCGACTTATGCATAACAATGTACTTTGATCTTAAAAAAAAATACTGCAATTTGGCTTTAGGCGGCACTTAAGGAATTTACATGAGGTATGGCTGGAAAAACAATACTGTAATCCCAGGATCGTCACTAATGAATCCATGGAAATATGCCACCATTTTAACCATAACCCCCATCAGGTATTCTTCAGGTACATTGTACCCTGCTAAATGCAACAATATCCAACTCAACTCGACTGAGAACCCTGCTAAATGCAACAAAACTGCAACAGTGGATTTTGTTGCATTGTGCAGTGAAACCAGTGCATACCAGCCTTGGCACCAAGCAAATACCATGCTAAGTGCCACCAAATGCAACAGTGGATTCTGTTGGATTGTGCAGTGAACCCAGTGCGTACCAGCCTTGGCACCAAGCAAATACCATGCTAAATGCAACCAAATGCAACAGTGGATTCTGTTGCATAGTGCAGTGAACCCAGTGCATACCAGCCTTGGCACCAAGCAAATACCATGCTAAATGCAATCAAATGCAACAGTGGATTCTGTTGCATAGTGCAGTAAATCCAGTACACACCAACCTTGGAACCAAGCAGTTACCCTGCTGAATGCAACAAACTGCAACAGCGGATACTCTTGTATCGCCTCAAGCACTATGAGCAGTTACCCTGCTAAATGCAACAAACTGCAACAGCGGATACTCTTGTATCGCCTTGGCACTATGAGCAGTTACCCTAGTAAATGCAACAAGATGCAACAGAGCATGGGGACTTGAGTTGCCTGCTAAATGCAACAGTATGCAACTCGTTTTACCTTTGTTGCTTTTTCTTGCATTTAGCATGGTTAGGGTTAAAGAAGATTAAATTTCATTGCCTGTAAATAAAGTTAGGTCACGCAGAAGGCGCTGGAGAAATGCATGACTTAACCAAGGTTTTTTTTTATGTTTTTTTATCTTGCGATCCGTAGGAAATACTACAAGTACATTCTGACCAGGAACTTTGAGGCCCTGAACACCAAGGGCGGAGGCAACCACGTCTCCCTCCTCAACGTCATGATGGACTTGAAGAAGTGTGCTAACCACCCCTATCTGTTCCCAACGGCTGCTATGGTAAAACCAACAAATAATATTCACAAGAAAAAATGTTATGGCCTGGATCACAATTTTATCTGCAAATTTTACTCCAGGCGGAACCCAGCGGTTTCTTGCAATCTTACATTATCGTGTCCTTAATAATGAAAGGTTTGCAAGCCAGCAAGCACAACACAGTTCTGCAAGACATCGGGTTTCACCTCAACGAGATCTGGCTCCCACTTCTCCAGACTGATGGGTCTCCTATACCCTAGGTCCTCAGCTACCACCTTAGACTGATGGGTCTCCTAAACCCTAGGTCCTCAGCTACCACCTTAGACTGATGGGTCTCCTATACCCTAGGTCCTCCCTCTACTAAGACTGCAACCCTACTGTTCCACTTCAGTGGGCACCAAGCTTGCTCTAGGATCCCAGCTACTTGGCATCCTCACAGGATGCAACTTCACACTTCATTGATTTCGCCTTTTGCTACTTAAGCATTCACTTTCTTAGAGTTTAGGCACTCTCCTGAAGACGGTCAGAGCATACTGACCGGAACGTCGAGTTTATACCTCTGGTTCTTTTCAGAACCATTCTCTTAGTTGAGAAATTATTCGCACATGGTGTTTCCGCAAACCTTTCATTATTTAGTATCTCCACCATGCAAAGCCTCAAATCTTACTTATCTTGTCCTTACAATCCAGAATCAACGTCTCTTATTCCACCACCAGAGGTATAATTCACCATTGGACATTTTTTGACTGGTTACTTTTTTGAAGGGACAAAAATGGAAATGCTTTCTATATGTGTGAAGGAATTCGGCACGTTACATGTCACTTCTGAAAAATTTGATTGTGCTGCTTAGAAATTGTAAACAATAAAGGGCCCATGCAATGTAATTTGTTTTAATGCAATCCTTGAAAATGCACCTCTGTGTCCCATTTAGCCTTATTCTCAAATTGTTTTGCCATTTTCAAGGTTATTTCGGTGCCTTGTTTGTTTTTATGCTAATAGGAATTTCCATAAAGCAAACCTGTGATGTCATTCAGCTATTTCAGCACAAAAAAGTTGCTAGAATTTTGGAAATTTTGCTGTCGTACATTTTTTTTTTCTTTGGTGATTCGTTATTGTGTCAGTCAGGCATGCAACTTTTCCTCGGATCAGCTGATTTCCTCTTTTTTGACCTCCTATGTGTGTCATTGAAAATAGAAAAACACTGTACAAAGTCTTGGAAAGATTTGAATTTCCTCTTTTTTTGTGACTTACCAGTTGCATGCCTGGTCAGTACACACGGCATTAAGCCAGTGAGCAAACCTTTCTCACAAATATTTCCATTTGGCAAATTTTGGGTTCACGATTTGAACAGAAAACTCCTAAAAAGTAAACAGTGTCTTCATGAAATGGCATCACAGCAATAGCCCCCTCAGTTGTCTGGAAATGAATGAAAATATGTTTAAGAAGTTCCCTTTTTAATTAATTTTACCAAAAAGGGATGTCAAATAATGTTCATACATTTTAGAGGAGTAGAATGTTGCACAAAATGAGTTCCTCGGAGAAATTCATCGCATGGACCTTAGTACTCAATAACAGAAGCACTATTATGCAAACCCACCAGACAGCGATAACACGTGAACTGACAAAATTGTATGGACATCATCGTGCACTTTTGTAGGAGGCACCGCGCATGGCCAATGGTGCCTTTGAGCCCAAGTCCCTGGTCAAGGCCTGCGGTAAACTCATGCTGCTGGAGAAGATGCTGGAGAAACTCAAGGTGGAGAACCACAGGGTGCTAATCTTCTCACAGGTGAGTTACTAAGCATCGTCGATATCAGAATTCTCAATAATCGATAGTTCGGAAATCCAATATTGAGAATATTCGATATATTGATTATTCCATGTAAAAGTTAAATACGTTAAGGAGAATACACGAGAAAGTGTGGATTCGTAATTTAAGAATCCACACTTGCGAGTGTATTCTTCGACTTAACCATTGCGTCAACAGAAGTATTGGAAAGAATGCTGCAACCTGATGCCACTTTTTTCTTCGTATATCATCTCAATGAATGCCATTCGTTGCAAAAATGATGATAAGACATGAATCTGGGACTGATAAATGTTTCCAAAATTGTAAGGAAATACTTGAAATGACTCTCCATAGACGTTGTACACAAGCGCGGAAGTGGCGTCAGGTTGCAACATTGTTTCCTGGTGTGTTTAGCATGTGTAAGTCATTTTGTGTGTATAGGCTACTAGAGTCAAAATGGATAGTTCAGACGACGATTAATTTCTGACTAAAAGTAGATTTTGAAGTGACGGCGAAAAATCTGACTGTGAAGATGCATTGGTAATTTTCGGAAAGCAAATTTTCACGCAGACGGTCCTATTCATGCTCATTATGGAGAACAATTGTCCGACATGTTCAAAGTGTGGATTCGTAATTCCGAATCCACACTTTACTACAGATTCGTCGTTCCGAATCCACACTTTGTGACCAGTCCCAAAAAAAAGTCCCAATTTTCCAAGGCTTTCTCTGGAGCATATTGCTCAAACTTTTCAAAACAAATCTCAGCATTGAGAGTTTGTCCAAAACGGGCGGCTGCTTTTGAGGTTTTACATTGGGGAGACCGCGAATTCTAGCGAACGCAGAGCAAATTGTTATAACGAAGTTGGGACGTGTTGAACACGTCTTAAGTTTGGTGAAATCAGTCCTATGCCGAGTCACGAGTTAAGACGAGTTACCCTTCCTAAGATGCGTCTCAGCATTTCATGAAATCAGCCCCAGGACCCAGACTCGAGTCTGTCTTGAGTCACAATTTCGGTAACTCGGTCTCAACTTGAATCTCGTTGACAAAAGACTCGGACTAGGACTCGGACTCGACTACCATGACTCGGTCTTGACGCTGAGTACTTATGGCTTGTGAGTCACATAGTCTTTACAAAGAGAGCCTTTTTTCTAAAATATTCAAACTAAAATTCTGTGGTCACTGTTTGGTCACCGTGGTGATATGAATAATGCTCATAATTCGTACATGTAACTGTTAGTACTTGAATTTGTCTGTGAGAAAAGAGTTATTGAGTGTCAACGCTTATTAAGTTTTACATCCAAAAGCAAACTTGAATGTGATTTTTCTTTTATCATCAACCCCAACATCATTATTTATCACAGAATGTGCCAATTTTAATATTTTTCTTATCAAATAAACCACAACAGATGACGAAGATGCTGGACATCCTGGAAGACTTTCTGGAGGGCACCGGTTACAAATATGAACGTATTGATGGTGGCGTCACTGGTAGCATGCGACAAGAGGCCATAGACAGATTCAATGGTATGTCTAAGCATTGGTAATTTTTGTGGGAGACACTGTTTATGTTTGCCGTTAGAATATCTTCTCCGTACAATCAACATAGGGCAATTGTGGAAAAGCGTCTGGCTCAAGAACACAAGCACTGTGATTCCCTTCTGATTCACTTCTGCACACAAGTCAAAATCACACTTGGAAGGGAACAAATACAGTAAAGTGTCTTGCCCAAGAACACCAGCACCATGCTCCCCATAGAGGTTCCAATCCACACACTGCCACACATGAGAAGGACACAAAGTTACCTATTTGTACTCCTGGGTGGACAGAGCCAAATTGTAGTCAAGTGTCTTGCCCAAGAACATAAGCATTTGCTCCCCATAGAGGTTCCAATCCACACACTGCCACCAGAGTTGTAATGACTCGAGTCAATGACTCGACTCGAGTCTGACTCGAGTCACAATTTTTGGTGACTCGACTCGAGTCCCTAAGGGCAAATGACTCGACTTGACTCGAGTCACTGCGAGCAAATGACTCGACTCGACTCGAGTCCCTCATCAGAATGACTCGACTCGACTCGAGGAAGGCTAATGAGACTCGAGTCCCAAAAATAAAAGCAAAACTTTGCAAAAAATATTTGCAATGACTTACGCCGGTGCCGGTTTTTGTTCACGTCATGTTAGAATGTTCGTGAATAATGTATACATATAAATACATGTACGTGGTTTGATCAGTGTCCCCATTAGTTGGATGACGATCAGCTAGCACCCCCTTTTTATTTTCATTAAGAGGCAAATGTGGTGTCGCCACATGTAGTAGCCCGAATGTAAAATTTAAAAAGCCAAAAAATGACTTTCTCTCTTGTGTTTATTTATTGTATAGTGCTCAAATATTTGTGACTCGAATTTACTCGAGCTAAATACTTGACTCGACTCGACTCGACTCGACTACACACTGTGACTCGACTCGACTCCACACTGTGACTCGACTCTACTCGACCGTCTTGACCTAATGACTCGACTTGACTCGACTCGACTCGAGTCACTTCTTTAAAATGACTCGACTGGAGTCACAAAAATCAGTTACAACTCTGACTGCCACACGTGAGCACAACACACAGTCACTTATTTGTACTCCTGGATGGAGAGGGGCAAATTACAGTCAAGTGTCTTGCCCAAAGACACAAGCACCATGTTCCCCATAGAGTTTCCAATCGACGCACTGCCACACATGAGTAGATCACAGTGACCTATTTGTACTCCTGGATGGACAGAGCCAAATTGTAGTCAAGTGTCTTGCCTAAGAGCACAATCACCATGTTCCCCAAAGGGGTTCCAATCCACACAGTGCAACACATGAGTAGGACACTCAAAAATTATTCATACGCCTGGGTGGAGAGAGGCAATTGTAGTAAAGTGTCTTGCCTGGAGACACCAGCACCATGTTCCCAGTAGAGGCTCCAAACTACACACTGCCATCCATGGGTTGGAGACTCACTTACCTTTTCATACTCCAGAGTGGAGAGGCAAAGTGTAGTTAAGTGTCTTGCCCAAGGACATAAGCACCATGTTCCCCATAGGGGTTCCAATCCACACACTGCCACACATGAATAGAACACACAAAAGTTATTCATATGCCTCGGTAGAGAGAGGTAATTGTAGTAAAGTGTCTTGCCTGGAGACACCAGCACCATGTTCCCAGTAGAGGCTCCAAACTACACACTGCCATCCATGAGTTGGAGACTCGCTTACCTTTTCATACTCCAGAGTGGAGAGGCAAATTGTAGTTGAGTGTCTTGCCCAAGGACATAAGCACCATGTTCTCCATAGGGGTTCCAATCCACACAGTGCCAGACGTGAGTAGGACAAGCAGTTGCCTGATTTTACTCCTGGGTGTAGAGAGGCAATTGTAGTAAAGTGTCTTGCCTGAGAACACAAGCACCATGTTCCCCATAGGGGTTCCAACCCACACAGTGCCACACATGAGTAGGACAAGCAGTTGCCTGATTTTACTCCTGGGTGGAGAGAGGCAATTGTACTAAAGTGTCTTGCCTAAGAACACAAGCACCAAGACAACTTTCCCCTGTTTCACTCTTTTCCCCAGCTCCCGGAGCAGAGCAGTTTGTCTTCCTCCTGTCCACCAGGGCTGGAGGGTTGGGCATCAACCTGGCCACGGCCGACACGGTCGTCATCTTCGACTCGGACTGGAACCCCCACAATGACATCCAGGCCTTCAGCCGCGCCCATCGCATCGGCCAGTGCAACAAAGTCATGATCTATCGCTTTGTTACGCGGTTCTCCGTGGAGGAGAGAATCACGCAGGTAAATGCTAGCAATCAATCCCGTCAGTGTTAATCCTGGCTCTACTCTAAAAAAAAAAAAAAGAGGAAAATTGACTGAAGTGAGATTCGAACCTGGGACCTCTGGAATACTGGTCTGGCATTCTATCAACTGTGACCTCTCCAGCCCTATGTTGGTAACCCGCAGCTGCATTTTAAACATGTTAAAGTCTCTATGAAAGAGAGTACATGGATAAAAAGAGAGGTTTCGCATCCGAACGGATATGTGTTAGCATGCATTTAGCCATTGTAACTGTTACCATTATTATTATTAGCGTACACATAATATTAATAAGGTGGTGCTTAGGCCAAAAAAAAAAAGTCTCCGGTTTCTGGTATGGAGCTTGCCCAAAAAGTGGTGCGGCGACGCGGCTTTTTTTTTTTTTTTACCTGATTTTTTTGCTTCAAATGTCGGCTGATGACTGCAAATGGTGCCCGACTAAACTTAGTGCAAATATATGGGAGTCCAGAGAGGTCACATAAAGCTTATTCTCAACCATAACCCAATCTTAAAACACGTTAAAATTGTGCAGCAGCAGGATTCCAGTCAAACCAGTGAGTTTGGCGGTTTTGAGACATCATCTTTCAGTGAAAAAAAAACTTTTTCATTTTGCCGACGCGCATGGCTACGGCGACGCGCGCGCATACCAGAAACCGGAGACTTTTTTTTTTGGCCTTATATAGTGCTTTATACCAAAGGTCTCAAAGCTATTACCCCTGTGCATCAGGCTATGAGACCATTTTCTGCAGCAGCTCGAGATCAGCGCATTCTGGTCTCTACCTTAGCAGGTACCCATTTGTACTCCTGGGTGGAGAGAGGCAATTGTAGTAAAGTGTCTTGCCCAAGAACACAAGTACCATGTTCTCCGTCAGGGTTTGAACCCACGTACCACAGCACATGAGTCGAACACTATAACCATTTGACCACAGCGCTCCACATGCGCTTAGTTATCGGAACGGCTACAAATTCAACATCTGGTGAAAGCCTAGTATTGATGGCTAATCCTAAAACCAAGACATACGTCACATAGCTGTTCGTCAATTAATCCCCTTACAATCATATCATATGACTGAATGAATTTGACGCAGAAGAGGGTGAAAATCAACAAATTTATATGCATTTCACACTGACGCGTAGCAAGCGATATATTCTTGCTGTGCAAACCCGTAGTGGATAGTGAGTTGCACATGACGTCACAAGAACACCTAAAGTGACGACCTTTCCTGCGTGCTAACCGTTCGCTTGCGAAATGTCACTAAAGTGTCTTAAAGGGAATATACAACATTTGCAAACATCGAAAAATAAAACTACCAAGTTTTTACGAAATACCTTACTAGGATGTTGGTAAATGACAGTCTTAAGCATCTTGTAAAATTATGGCACCTGGTGTGAAGTCATTTTCAAGAAAATTGTATTTTTGTATACATTTCCAACGGTGGTCGGCCGACCAGCGTTGGAAAAACCTAACTATTTTTCAACTACTGCTCCAAATTTTCCATTTTTTTCAGTCCAAATTTTGTTTGCTATTGGTTACATGTTCATGAACGGGTGCAGGCCAGCTAGACTGGTTCCCTTGCCTTACAATTTTCCATCATCTATAAATTGATCCATTTTATCTTTTGTGGAGTCAGGGAACCAGACTACTTGAACATTTTTGTTTTTCTTGGTTTTTCCAACCTTTTCGAATACAAAACTTCAAAAATGTCAGTGTAACAATATTTGATCTATTATACTAACCCCTTAAATAGTTCATTTCTGAAAATAACAGCAAAAGCCAATGATGTACATTCCCTTTAACCAGTTTACGCCGGGAATATTTGAAAAAGAACGGAACGAGGCTCGGGATAACTTTTCACTTGACCTCAATGCCAGGCAGGTTGAAGCCATCACCCTCGGGCAGCACACTTATATTGCCGGCCTCGCTCGCTGCGAGCGGGTCGCTGACAGATATTTCTGGCCTCGCTCCCTGCTTGTTTATCCATCATCCGTTCTGAATATCGCAAAACCTTTTACATGTATACACGTCATCTGGCGCGAACTGGCTAAGGAACAATGGCAAAGGAAATATTGGGGGGCCTTGACTCAATTTTTTCTTTCTGACCCTTTCTCTCAGGTTGCCAAGAAGAAGATGATGTTGACCCATTTGGTGGTGCGTCCAGGCCTGGGCTCGGCCGCCAAGGGTGCCATGTCCAAGAAGGAACTCGACGACATTCTCAAGTTTGGCACTGATGAGCTGTTCAAGGATGAAATCACCCAAGGTATTGAACAAATTCAGTTACAAACCATGAAACAAGTTTGTCATTGGGAGGCACAAGAACTGCTTTTGAATTTCAAGGCTAATTTTAATACACACGCGCGTTATTTGTTGCAACGACTTTGTCACGTGGCAATATCGCTCCATGTTGCCATTTCTGTGCAAAAGCAGCTAAAATCCATCAAAAAATAACCATCTCTGCCCTCAGAGGTACCCAATTTACGCCTGGGTGGAGAGAAGCATGGAGTTACGAAGTGCATGGCCCAAGGGCACACGTGCCATGACCCCAGGCTGGACTCAAACCCAAACCTGCAGAATTACCCGCGGACCACGAATTCAATGCTCCAGACCACGAGGCCACGGCACTCTTATTGTAAATAGGTCTCTCTCAAATGACGTCACTTCCTACAGATTGTCATGTGCGTCGGCATTTTGGGCGTCAAATTTTTGTGACGCGCATCGGCTGTGCCGTATTTCGAAGAAATATCGAGCAACACACGTTCGTGTTAAAGGGAATGTACATCATTGGCTTTTGCTGTAATTTTCAGAAATGAACTGTTTGAGGGGTTAGTATAATGGGCCTAGATCAAATATTGTTTAACTGACATGTTTTGAAGTTTTGTTTTTCGAAAATCCTTGAAAAACCAAGAAAAAACAAAAAATGTTTAAGTAGTCTGTTTAAGAACATTTTGCACATTGCGCGCACACGCACTTGATGGCGTTGAATACGCAGTTGTAATTTTCTTACGAAGATGGTGTCCTATGAGAGAGATCTATAGGCTCCTAAGATGCCAAAACAGCATAGGAGTTGGTCATGGAAAGCCCAAACTTTATTCGGGAAAAGTTGAGAAAAAGTCATGGGATTTCATTTTAAAATGCCTTTGATTTCCTCACACAGACGAGGGCAACGAGGGGACCATCACCTGGGATGACCGGTCCGTCTCAGACCTCCTGGACCGGACCAAGGAAGGCATCGAGCAGAAGGACATGGCCGACGATTACCTCAACTCCTTCAAGGTGGCTAGCTACGTCATCAAGGAAGAGGAGGAGGAAGAAGAAGAAGTAAGAAAACAGCCAGAAAATGCAGAGAGTTCTTTAACCCTAACCGCCCTGAATCCTTCAATTTCCTATTTGCAAAAGTGGAGGAATTTGGAGGATTGAGGTTACATGGCCAAAGTTCATTACTGATTTCGTAGGATGCACTTTGTCAAGGTCTTGGGCTGGATCTTGTGTTGTTTTTGCTCAACCATGCATAAATGTAGGCCTGGATTATGTTTGAAATCCTCCGTACTGCTCCAGAATGTCACTGGCCAAGCCTCAACATATTGACAGTCACTGTCACAGGTGTTTGCAGGATTCAGGCAGTGGTCACCCCTCCACGGACCATATTCAAGAAATAATGGAGGAATTTGCAGGAATGAGGCTATGCTATTTTTCCATGAGGCCAATTGGAGTATTTTGCAGGATTGAGGCTACATCCTAGCAAAAGGGCCTAGGGAGTTAGAGTTAAGAATGCATTCCCCGAGCTTTTTTCGACTTTACTTCCGAAAAATAGATTCCTTTTTTTTAAATTGGTAATTTTTTCCAGTAACGCAAAAGTTATTCACTTTTGAACGAGACAGCTACCAGAAAAAAAAAATGGCCCATGTTATGTTATTGAATTATTACTTTACAATTTTGAATCATTGGCTGCTAGACAATAATTTCCATTCTCACAGGGTACGCTGGTTCCCCGCCCCACAATCAGTAATTGACAATTTAGGACCAGGAGCAAGTCTGCTCACAAGCGGATCTGTTTGTGCCCAAAACAAAAACTTGGGTATTTTTTTTGTAAGCTGCAAATTTGTATTGATTATAATTGTTATCGTCTCACCCAGTGACATGAACCGAATGCTGTATCTTTCAAAGCATTCGGCAATTGGTGCGGACGTAGAGAAAACTTCCCACTGGCCTTATTTAGGTTGGGAGTCCAACAGACTTTGGCATCTCAATAAAGGCCTGGCCAGACAACGCCTTTTATTTTCATTGGCAGAGATAAACTACAGTTGCTTATGTTTGTTTTCAAGGTTTTAAATTCGCCTTTTTTCCATCTTTGACATCTAGTTATTGCTTATTTTAATTCTGCTAAAGCATCTGGAGACATTTCGTGATGAGCTTTATAAGATAAACATATGTACAGAATTCCATTTAGAAACAGTTTTGGCTAAATAAATGCTAGGTTAGAGTGACATTAACGTTAATCTAAAAAAAAGGAGAGTATAAAAGTCTCGTGCACTCACAATCCTCAAGTTAAAAATTAGGCACAGTTGGATTTTGTTGGGTTGAGCAGGGAGTAACCGTTACTCTCTGTTGGATTTGGCAGCGTAGTTTTGAGGAACCCTAGGGGGTTAGGGACCGTGACCATTCAGCCCTGGTATGAAAAGGGCCCCCCGGTACCTCGTCCGGTCCAGAGCCAGTCCAGTCTTCAGCCCAGTCTAGTCCAGTACATGGTCCTGTCTGACCAGAAGTTTTGAAGTCAGTCAGGCGCATCAATTTATTGCCCTTCAGAGAACGTCCAGAGCAGAACAATAGCAGAATTACCGGATTAAAGATAAAATCCTTCCAAACGCCTTGGTAATTTACGGTCCCATTGTGCACGAAACCGCATGGCAGGGGGTTTGATCTGCGCCGATGAAAGTGTTCTATTGTTTCGTGCTGAGAGATGAAAACCACAAGCAGGTTTCTTCTGGGATATTTTACATGTGTCAATACTTGCAAACAATAGACCCCAGGATAGAGGAGTTCCTGATTAGCAACCAGACCAGCTCCTAGGCCGGTAGCTGGGATGGTACGAAAGGACTTCTTGGGAGGGGACGAGCTTACCGGGGGGCCCTTTTCATACCGGGGCTGAATGGTCACGGTCCCTTACTTATCAAAGTAGGCTTTTTGATAATCATTTGGTAGGTTACATTTGGGATAAATGCAAATGATCCTATATGCCTTTGTCCTTTCTATGGTCTTCAGGAGGTGGAGACAGAAGTCATCAAGCAGGAGCTGGAGCCGTCAGACCCAGCCTACTGGGAGAAGCTACTGAGACACCACTACGAGCAGCAGCAAGAGGACCTGGCCCGCACCCTAGGCAAAGGCAAACGCATCCGCAAGCAGGTCAACTACAACGACGCCGGGCAGGATGACTCAGGTGGGATGAGAGGGAAGGGTATGTACAAACTAACCAATCTGCACCCCCCAGCCCCTGGGCCCTCGACTCTGCCCCCTCCCCGCTGCCTCCCTGCTGACACACCTACAATCCTTCAAATTGGACCTGCCAGTTTTTCAATTGACGGAGGCTGGAGGTTTCAGCGGATGTGACACACGGCGCGGCTGCCCACTGTCTGTGTATGGATTCCACACCGGAACAGTGGATGGCCATTTGCGACCACTGCACAGACTATGCGTATGCGTTGAGTCCGCATGACTTACTTTCATGTAAATGTGCACCAACATGGGGCATCTTCATATGGATTCCTTGCGTCAACAAGAGAGGGCGCTGTTTGACCACTTTCGAGAGCCCCCGTTGACGGGTCACACTGCATGTGCATACTGGTCTGTGCGCGCATTCTGGTTCACGCACATGTAGCGTGGAGTATGCAGGACTCTTTTTATTCTGAATGTGCACAAAGCCATCTAAAGGTCTTTTGCGAGGGCACCAGACACCATCAACTTAGGCCAAGTTCGGGCAAGGACCATTAGTCGACTAGTGGTTGATTTGTGATGCCTGCGCACTGATAGCATCGTGCGAATGTCTCTAGTCAAACGCTGGTCAAAATGTCATCGCAAAACTTCTGGATCCTGGCTCTCTGCTAGGGTTATGAATGCGCGCGGCTATTTGTTACCAGCGAAGCAACCAACCTTAGTAGGCTGGTTCCAAATAGTTGACTAGCGTAGTCGGCCACCGTCGACTAGACAGAGTTCGGGCAAACGTTAGTTAACCATTGGTCAACTATAGCCCTTGCGCGAACTTGGCCAATGCGTTTGAATGTCTCCTGGTGGAAATGGTGCTCAGGTGTTTTTCATATGTCTCTCTTTCTCACCGTTGAGTGAGTGCTTTCCAGGGGTAATTTCATGGGAGCTGCGTAGCCTTGAAACTTGCTTCAGCGCAAACAAGTTTTTTTTCTGAGCCGAAACACTTGTCACAATTTCTCTGCTGATAACTTGAGGCCCTACCCTGTTTAGCATCCCCTGTACATACCTGACTGGGGCATTTATCACAGGATGGTGCAGATAAGATGTTGGGAAAGAATTAATATCTACTTTTCTCAAACTTTGTTTTGCTTCGCTACATGTACCCAACGTCGAACAATAGAGCTATTCTTGGTGCTGCACCTGGAGTATCCTGTTGTTGTATGGCTTTATATCCTGGTATTAGTCAATTTTCCATATTTCCTAACTGTGCTATCGGAATCCAACATTACAGTGACATGTATGTAGTGGCACATTTTATAGACTTGCATATACAGTTTGGACACGAAACCCTTTTTGCAAGTTTAGCAGATGCTTAACCATTCTTTATCCATGGAAATCAAGCACAATGTGTTATTGGATTTTGATGGGTGTTTATCTAAGGTCCTATCTCAGAACATGACAACATGGCTTGACTGGGGCAATTATTGTTCAATAAAAGACACTTTTGAGGCTGATTAACAATTCTGCCTTGCTGCTTGCAAAACACCACTCTTGCTGAACAAATTCTGATTTCTAGCTTTCGTTTTAACAGAGCTGGCAAGACACCTGAGTCATTCTATACTTTTAGGGTCCTGTCCCTGTTACATTGTGCCTTGGTACTTTGTAATTTCCGGTTCAAGTATCATTAAGAATGGCTTCAAATGATTTTGTTATTTGTTGGGTAGATTACCGGGTAGTTTGCTATTCACAATCACTCTTGGAGGACGACTGCATTAAGGAGTGCATCAGAATTAGAAAATCGCAGATGTCAGATGAAACAGGGACAGAAAAAAAAAGTGGACCCCAAATTTATAGAATTGACCAAAAAAACAAAAAAAAACGTGACGGGGTTGGGATCCAGACCATTGACTCCCTTTTATTCAATTTCGTCTTGATGATTGCAAATCAGGAAGCGGATAGCGAGGATTGCAATAAGCCAGTTGTGCGATGCATTTGCACATGTGTACTGGAAGTGTGTACAAAAATTGAAGATTTCCAATCCAATTTTGAACAAACACGGCAAATAAATGTGCAGAAGTCCATGATGGTACTGAACCTCTAGTTGTTTTTTCCATGTAATGAAAGAGAAAACTGAAGTGAAGTTTGTTGAAAAGTTGGAGCATGAAAAATACTGTATCACTTGGTGCTGTCCAAAGTTTTCAGAATGTACTTCAGAACACAAATTTTTCTTCGATATCGCTGGCACCGTGCATAAATTAACCTTCACATGGCAGATTGTTTTATATTTTGAAGGGAAAATGTTAAATCTCGACGTACACATATGCTGCTGGAGTATCTACTGGCTTATGAATGCCAAGTTTGGTCGCACCGATGCTAGTGTTCGGCTGATCTATGCATGTATTCTCTCCTTCTTGCAGGCTGGGACAACAAGATAAACGACAACTACAGCGACTACTCACACTCGGACAACGAAGAAGATGATGAGGACTTTGACGAGAAAGCCGAACGTAAGTCTCAAGAAAGAAAAAAAAATTCACCGTGTCTAGAACATCACTTGTCAGTTCTAAATCAAACACAACTGCATTTGATGAAAACATTTTCAAGCATCAAACGCTAGCTTTCTTCTTCAGGGATAAAAGTTCTTCTTGCAGTTGCCTGATTTCAGGTTTTTTTTTTTTCAAACTGCAAATAACATATCGGCACCGTACATGTATGTGTAATCTTGTAAAAAATGTCAGATTCCATTTACATCCCTGATATCTTTGATGGGCAAAATACACTGAAATTCAGCATTTTCTACAAGTTCTTGTGGTTTTTTGGGCCAGTGTCAAAAATGTAAAGGGACTAAAAATGTGTCGGTCACCCAATTTTTTTGGTGCCAAAACCTTATTATGTAGATTCTATATTTAACTCCTTTTTAACCCACAACTAGAGTAAAAACTGGCAAAACAATTGAAGTGCAATCAATTATTTTTTACATGAAAAAAAAAAAAAACGAATCAAAAATTGATATTAGATTTTGTTTGTTTTCTCTCTTTCTGCAGTCCGCCCAAGACGACGAGACAGGGACAAGCTTCCCCCACTCCTGGCTAGAGTGGCTGGCTCCATTGAGGTATGCGCAATGTGGCGCAGAACACAGCTGTGCCGGTGTAGTGTGAATTTAGGACCGTAAAATACTGGCTCATTGGTAGATTTGTGCATGCCTAAAGTGAGGATTGCGAATGTTGAACCTATAAACCGGTAAACTGGACCAGATTTCATAAGAGTCCAAATTTCATGTGACACTGAAAAGTGTTTAGACCAGCCAGTAGGTGTTTTATAAAGCGATTTTTATGAAAATTAATTTAAGGGCCATGCAGGTTATCAGTATTTTATCCTAAATTCACAATGCACTCACCACAGCTGCGCGTCATAGCGCAGTACACGCGCCGCGCGCGCCGATCTCCATAAAAGGAGTCGTTTACATCTTACTCTCAAGCTTGACACTCCATTATATAGCTGGAGGGATGTTTCGAAAAACAAAGTAAAAATTGTTGAACAAAATCGTTGGAATTTTTAAATTTTTGACTTGATTTAAAAAAAAAAATTTGACCGAAAAGGTATTAATGAATGGGAATGAATATTTGCTTGGTCGGTATTAAAGACTATGTTTATGACTGGTTTGAGTCTGGAATGCTGATAATTGCTCTCAGCTTCGCCTCGGGTACTTATCAGCATTCCAGACTCTAACCAGTCTTAACCCTCCGAGCAGCGAAGTGGTGATTTCATTCTCCACATTTTCCAAATCTGGGCATAATTTTTTTTTTCAATGGGCCAATAAGGCCAAGCTTCCATGTAATCCTCACCCCTACTATACACCACAAGCCTGTGGACTCCCATTGACCAGACCCTACCCACTCCGGAGTAAGGAGTGTTGAAAGACAGAAGCCAAGATGGCACCCAATGCCTTTGTGCAGTAATGGGAGACCTTAGTGGCCAACCGCTAAGTGCCGCTGATCCCTTTGTGTCAACCCCTTGTGCCGCCAGGATCCCAGACAGGTTGTAAACAATCCCTGGCCATGTAAATGACCTATATCTTATGCATGTACAGGCATGCCAGGGTTATTGACCTATAAACACATGTGGTGATCAAATTCTCCATGTGGTTCCACGGTGTGATTTTTTTTGATAAGCTGCTCAGAGGGTTAAACGTAGTGTTTAACACCTCCCAAGCACACATTTATTCCCTTATTCAAAGTTGATATGTTACCAAATAGCAAAGCAGAATGTTACTGCAAAGTTTGTTAACTTTTTTGTTTCTATTGGCATTGGAATATCAGTTTTAGTCAAGTATATAATTTTGTCTTTCATTTTTTTTCCTTTTACCTCAGGTGCTTGGGTTCAACACCCGTCAGCGCAAGGCTTTCCTGAATGCCATTATGCGTTGGGGCATGCCGCCCCAAGACCCATACAACTCACAGTGGCTGGTGAGGGATCTGCGAGGCAAACCAGAGAAGCATTTCAAGTAGGTTCCTCAGTCCCTTTCTCTTTGAATAACTAGACTAGGCAAACCTTATAAAGCTGGTTCCCGGGTCTACCCGTATGTTCATAGCCAACTGCCGATGTAGTCACTCGGGGATTACTTGCTGGAGATGCACAGTGTGAGACATCCACTAGTCTTCGCATGTTGGCGACATTTTACCAACATAGTCTGGCGCTATGATGGCATAAAATGTCCAAAATTTCCATTATGTGAGTTTTCCCAAAGTTATACCCCGAAAAGATATACTCAAAATAAGTTTCCAATGAAACTCGCCATATAATCAACTGGGCTACATTTCTTTAAAAGGAATATTCGTTGCTTTCTTTTTGCCATGCAAATTGACCGTGAATCATACTGATGAAGAGCAAATCAATAATTGTGAATAAATAAAAAATGTAGCTCCCTATTTACCACCTGGAAGGGAACATTGACATTGCTGGCTTCTCTTCCATAGGTCTTCCTTATTCCTAAAAACTCAAGATTTTTGAGGAAAACAAAATAAACATATTGAAACGAAATTAGAGTAAGAAAAGACTGATTATGTCATGCCGCATTTAAGCCTTATTAAGGGACAAAGGCTGATGGCTCGAGTGGGATACCTGGGCACAATAGACAAACTAAGTGGAAGGCACAAACATACGTGTCTAAGTCCGAGCGCGCAAACCTTTGTTCAATTTATTCAGAATGACTAGTCACTAGAAGTCTTTGCGTACATGTGGACTTAACAGTGGGCCAGATTTTGCCCATTCAATCATGATACGGGCAGTCCTATACGATAACACTGCCCAGCACTCTTCACCAGGGCCCAATTTCATAGCGCTGCTTAACAGCCGATTCTGTGCTTACCGAGCCTCCATCTATTTCGTAGAGACCGTAAGCAGCAAGCACAGAAAAAGCACGCTTAACCCCGAGGAGAAAGTTGCTTACAATCAGTGACGTGACAATAGAAATCTCTGTTCGAGCGCAATAGTTAGCACATCCACGCCATGAAATAGTGCTTAACCCTTTCTTTACCATGGGCGACTTTTGTCAACAAGAAGAACCCCCCTGCTGGTTCCCATGGGCGACTTTAGTCGACCAGGAAACCACACACAAAACACCCTCAACACAGATTATTTACCACTTTTCAGAAAGGCGGTTTGTTGATATGTTTGGCCACCCATATATCAACCATATACCAGCTGAAAGAATGTTTTCGGATCGTCAGTCAGTCAGTCAGTCAGTTGGTAAATAGTTAGCCAGTCAGTCAGTTGGTCACGCACAAAGAGGGGACACAAGGCCAGATCTCTGGGACCAACAAATGAGATCGCCAGAATTTGGCAAAGCAACACGAAACCTCTGATATTTGTGGTTAAGCCTTAAAGGGACGATACAACATTTGCAAACATCAAAAAAACGAAATGAACAAATTATCACGAAATACCTTACTGGATTGTTGGGAAAAGGCAGTCTAAAACATCCTGTAAAATCGTGGCTCCTGGTGTGCTGACATTTTCAAGAAAACTTAAGGTTAAGCCTTAAAGGGAAGATACAACATTTGCAAACATCCAAAAACGAAATGAACAAATTATCACGAAATACCTTACTGGATTGTTGGGAAAAGGCAGTCTAAAGCATCCTGTAAAATCGCGGCTCCTGGCGTGCTGACATTTTCAAGAAAACTTGTATTTTTCCAACGCTGGTCGGCTGACCAGCGTTGGAGAAATCTGACTTTTTTAAAAGACTGCTTCTAATTTTTTATATGTACTTATTTACAATTACTTTGCAATTGATTACACACCTGTGAAGGGGTACAAGCCTGCTAGACTGATTCTCTGACCTTACAATTCCCAAAAGTCTATACATTGCTCAGTTTCATCTTAGGCGGGGTCAGGGACCCAGACTACAAGAACATGATTGGTTTCCTAGGTTTTTCCAGCATCCACAAGCCCAAAACGTGAAACAAGTCAGTTTAACAATATTTGCTATAGCCTACTAATCCTCCAAATCTATTTATTTCTGAAAATTGCAGCAAAAGCAAATGTTGTACATTCCCTTTAAAGCTATAGTCCATCATTTGCAGCCATCCAAAAAAGTAACTGGCGTATTATTGTTGAAAAACATACTTGGTTGAAAGATAGTAAGGGGACTAAACTCCCTGTGAAATTATTCTTTCTGGCAAGCAGTCATTTTGAAGTAATCAACGAAAGAAGGCCTTTCCAACGGTGCGTCTTAAGACGCACCGTAGGAAAATTTAAATTAGTAGTTTGTTTTGTTATTCGGCGCAGCGCGCGCAAGCATTGGCACGATGCACACACGGTTGCTATAATTCGTCAGATCAGTGCGCGACATCGCGTATACATGTAGCTGCAATTCAAAACAATTCAAAACATGATTCAGCAACTTTTGATCTGAAATTGAGGTCCTAGAATGCAGTTTTTCTTGGAATATACAGCTGAAGCTGAGCTGAAACTTCATCAGGTTAGTTGTTCAGTATCCTTCATTAGATTTTGAACACTTTTGTTGCTTCAAACATGTCAAACGAACAAAATGCACAAATTACAAAAATGATGGACTATACCTTTAATTCTAGATGCTTTTGAAAAACTACTTTGAGGAGTTACGTAGCTATTCTGCAGTGTCTTCATATACAATCATTTGTATGCAACATTGATTGTTCTCTCTTCCCCTCCACAGAGCCTACGTTGCTCTGTTCATGCGTCACCTGTGCGAGCCTGGTTCAGACGGGGCGGACACATTCGCCGACGGAGTGCCGCGGGAAGGACTGTCCAGACAACACGTACTGACCCGCATCGGTGTCATGAGCCTCATACGCAAAAAGGTGAGTTGACCCAAAAATAACAAATATGTGATGCGATCAAGCTAAATGAGTCCTTTGTCGACCCTGGTCAAATTTTTTTTTTACAGATTTGAAAAGAGCACAATCTTAGCATCACTGCTGTGAAAACCGCATGCTGGTACTATCTTCAGTTAAAAAAATTATGGAAGTCGGAACACCAAGAGATGTGATGAAGTGATGTGATGAAGTGGTCCTATTTTGGCCTGAATCTCCAAATGGAAATTCCCGACAAACGACTCATGTAGCCTGATCGCATCACATATGTGTATCTATAGTACAGGGTGTTAAAGAAAACAATCGCAACTTCAAAGAATGAGTATGGACAGACGATATGTTTACTGGCTGTAAAACTGGTATCATCTGAAAGGGTAATCTCTATGCTTTTCAATAATACCGTGTTTAGGTTTTCTGAGTCATGCATCATGGAGCATCATTGTCTTGAAAACTGGATGCAAAAATGCAGTTGGTTCACTTTCATAAAAAAAAAACACTGGGCACGGTGTGCCTATTGTTACGAAAATGTCTGTGAAAATGGCTTGAATGTTAATCCTCGAGAAAATGGCACATTGTTTTGAACGTGGCTTGGTCAAAACGAGAAATTCATGGCAAACACTAAAATCCAGTTTTGAAACCAACCTGACTTAGTTTTTTGGTTTCTTTTTATGCACTCGTGTCTTCTTCTTGAATACTTATTATCACGCACACCATGCCTATTGTGTTTGACATGAAAGTGAACCAACTGCAATTTTGCATCAAAATCTCATGACAGTGGCGCTCAGTGGTGCATGACCCTGGAAATGTAAACAAGGTATCACTGAAAAGCATAGAGATTACGCTTTCAGATGATACCAGTTTCATAGCCAGTAAACATTTAGTCTGTTCATACTGGTTCTTCAAAGTTGGGTTTTCTTTTTATGGAAACACCCTGTATATCTGTCCAATGTGAACATAGAGGGCCTTTGGAAAATTGGACCCTTAATTAGGCTTAATGTAAATCACTATGATTTGATGTTATCTTGTCGTAGGTGCTAGAGTTTGAGCCTATCAACGGCAGCATCAGCGTCCCCGAGCTGGTTCCCAACCCGGGCTCCGTCCTGGACAACTTCAAGTCAGACTCCCGCAAGTCCTCTCGGACGGCCTCCCCGGCTCCGACCCCGGCAAGCACCGATTCCCCGGTACCCACCCCGCTGGCAACCGCTGCTGCCTCCCCGGCAACCACCGTGGATTCCTCCAAGCCTGAGGAAATGGAGGCAGGTACCTCCGAGCAGAAGGAGAAAGACTCGGCTGCTGAGGCCAAGACGACATCTGAGGCAGACGGGGAGATACCCGAGGCAGACAAGGAGACATCCGAAGCAGCCAAGGAGACATCCGAAGCAGCCAAGGAGACATCCGAAGCCTCCAAGGAGGAACAGGAACCAGAGGTTAGGGAAAAAAACAAGCATTGGTAAAATCAAGAACAGAATTAAGAACCGACAGATCTGGTGCATCTGAGCATTGGTAAAATCAAGTACAAAATTAAGAACCGAAAGATCTGGTGCATCTGATTACTATACCTCATACATATTCATGAACGAGAGCTGGATTCTTATTGGTCCACCATGTGCCAGTCACTAGTTTTTACCAAATACGCAAATCAAGTACAAAATTAAGAACCGAAAGATCTGGTGCATCTGATCACTATACCTCATACATATTCATGAACAAGAGCTGGATTCTGATTGGTCCATCATGTGTCAGTCACTAGTTTTTACCAAATACGCAAATCAAGTACAAAATTAAGAACCGAAAGATCTGGTGCATCTGATCACTATACCTCATACATATTCATGAACGAGAGCTGGATTCTTATTGGTCCATCACGTGTCGGTCACTAGTTTTTGCCAAATACGCATGCGCAGTCCACTGTCGCATGGGTTACCTGTGCAGTAGGCTTCTATGCATCTGAGCATTGGTAAAATCAAGTGCAAGATTAACAACCGAAAGATCTGGTGCATCTGATTACTATACCTCATACATATTCATGAACGAGAGCTGGATTCTTATTGGTCCATCACGCGTCAGTCGCTAGTTTTTGCCAAATACGCATGCGCTGTCCACTGTCGCATGGACAGTCCACTGTCGCATGGGCTACCCTGCAGTAGGCTACTATGCATTTTATTAAACAATAGTTGAACTATTGCACAGGGGTAGTGCACACACACATGAACATTACCTTAGCTGTGTGAACGGCTGTGAACATCCACACCAACGTTTTGCCGAAGTACTGTAGCTGCTGTGTCAACTCGACAACAATTTAGTGAATATATATATGAGATGTAGTAAGGCCAAAAAAAAAAAATATTCGGTCTCTGGTCAGACCAAAGTTCCAGAATTGATGCGGGGACACGGCTTTTTTTGTTTTTGCTTCTTTTTTTTTTTTTCAAGCTTGGATTGTACAGACAAGGTGGGGTACTATTTTGCTTTTTTGGTGTCCTCATGTACATTGGTGTCCTCCATAATTTGCCTTGGTGCTCTCGATCATTTGCCTTGGTGCAATTTCCCATTCCTTGGTGCTCTTTGGTAAAAAAAAACTGAGGAGGTGCAGCAATAGAGGGCGCTGTTGGAGCTACTGCGGAACATTTTGGAAAAACAAAAGATTGACGCGCATGATTAAAATCGACGCGCGCGCTGACCAGAGACCGACTTATTTTTTTTTTTGGCCTAAAACAAATTTAACATGGTATATTTCAGGTGGATAGTCGATGCCAGCTCCCCTTGGTATTGGAATTAAACAAAGTTTGCTCGGCAACTGGGACGTCAACTGTGTCAATGATGTTGTACATATCTGTTTGCATAATTCTAGACTAAGAAGGAAGAGCAAGACGCCGAGGAGCCGATGGAGGTGGACAAGAAGAAAGAGGACAAGACCAAGACAGAAGAGGGAGAGGTGACCGAGCCAGACAAGAAACCAAAGGATGAAGTTGTGGAAGAAAGTAAGAACTTTTACAAAAATGTTACCTGAAGCTCAAATAAGAATTACAAGTCAACAAGTAAAACCGGTGATGCATTAAAGTCCCTGTCAATGCAGTCGGAAGACAATCACTAGTCATCTAGGTGAAGAACAATTTGCAAGCTGTTCAAATGAAATGTGACAGAGACAATATTTTTTCATTGTTAATACCTGTTACTGATGACCTGACGCATTACATTTTGATTGATTTGAAATGATCATATTTTTTTTGCTAGGAGATTCCATCCTCTTTCTGATGTAGCATTGTAGTGTTTGACTGGAATATTTCAATAACGCTCCGTTATATAATTTTGTTCTTTTGCTCATTCATATTGTGTCTTCGTCAGAGCCAGATGTTACAGAGAAGAGCCCAGCAGAAGAGGAAAAGATGGAAACGGACGAACCGGAAGCATCCAAGGAAAAGCCATCAGAGGAGGCCAAGACGTCCGACGGCGCACAGGCGAAGGAGGAACCGGCTGATGTGACCCCCAAGACGGAAGACGAAAAGACAGAGGAGCCAGAAGGGGATGAGAAAGAGGCCACCGTCAAAGAAGAAACGGTCAAAGAAGAAACGGACAAAGAAGAAACGGACAAAGAAGAAGAGGTCAAAGAAGAAAAGGACAAGGAAGAAAAGGACAAAGCTGATGACAAACAAGGGGAGGCGGAGACGAAGAAAGAAACTACAGAGGTGAAAGAGGAAGCCAAAGACGCAAAGGAAGAGAACGTGGACAAGAAAGACGCCAAGAGCCCGGACGCGCCGAAAGACAGTCCCGCCGAGAAGGACTCGGACTCGGACGTCGTGGAAGTCAAGGACGAGACGGAGAAAAAACCCGCGACCGAGAAAGACGACGCCAAGAAAGAGGAGGCCGTCAAGAAACCGGAGAAGAAGGAAAAGCGGCTGTTTGTCTTCAACATCGCGGACGGAGGGTTCACCGAGCTGCACACGCTCTGGCTGAACGAGGAGCGGGCCGCCAAGAGTGTAGGGGAGAGGGCCAACGAGATCTGGCATCGCAAACATGACTTCTGGCTGCTCAGCGGCATCGTCAAGTATCCTTTTTCAACTGGAATTGTACCACGTCCACAACATTCCCTTGTTCGACTTGCAATCCCTTGTGAAGGAATCGATCAGTAATCAAATTAAAATTGAACCGTTTCAATTATAACACCACTTTTTCTCATTATAAAAAAATATTTGTGAAAGAATCCTGACAGAAAAAAAATGACGCTGAAGTGCTCTCACCCAACCATGACTTTTCCATTTTCACCCCTAGAGGGAGTAGTACATAGCCCATTGAGCAGTTGAACATGAATGATGTGTCAACCTTAACCCCGTTTTGTAAACCAGACACGGCTACGGTAGATGGCAGGACATACAGAACGACCTGTGCTATGCTATCATCAATGAACCCTTCAAAGTAGACCTGGGCAAAGGCAACTACCTGGAGATCAAGAACAAGTTCCTGGCTAGGAGATTCAAGGTACGAAGACTTCGTGGCAGAAACCCCTCACAGCCAAGAAATTATGCATTCATAAATTACCTTAGACATTTTACCCATTCCTATTGGTCAAGAGCCCGTCATGTGGGTGGTTTTAAAGAGGTTGTGGAATGCTCGAAGACATTTCCGTCATTTTTCGGGTATATGTAGCCTAAGGTGTGATGAAATAAAAACAACTATTGTGTCTGTCATAAAATGAGTACAAAAGGTACTTTTGAGAGCTGTTTTTCAAGTCCTGTCATGCCTGTTTCGACCCGAACGTGCAATTTGTGTAACAGTCGTCGTTGCGGGCAGCAAACAAAACACAGTAAATCGTGACGTAATAAACAGGACTCCTGATGCAGAGTAGCATAAACGAGTCCTGTTTTTTACGTCACGATTTACTGTGTTTTGTTTGCTGCCCGCAACGACGACTTTTACACAAATTGCACGTTCGGGTCGAAACAGGGCCTGAAAAATAGCTCTCAAAAGTACCCTTTGTACTCATTTCATGACAGAAACAATAGTTGTTTTTATTTCATCACACCTTAGGCTACATATACCCAAAAAATGACGGAAATGTCTTAGAGCATTCCACAACCTCTTTAAACCACCGGTCAATAGATGCATTCTGCACCACATCACTCGCGCGCCAATCTCCATATAAGGAGATTTTTTTAGTACAACGCACGTGGGGCACATACCATAGACATGGCCAGAGGATTGCTGTACAAAACATAAAGTAAACTTGTTCAAACAATATTGTTGGAATTTTGTCAATTTTTGACTTAGGCCAAGTTCGGGCAAGTACCATTTAGTCGACTAGTGGTTGATTTGTGACGTACCGTACGCCTGCGCACTGATAGCAACGTGCGAACGTCTCTAGTCAAACGCTGGTCAAAATGTCATCGCAAAACTTCTGGATCCTGGCTCCCTGCTAGGGTTATGAATGCGCGCGGCTATTGGTTACCAGCGAAGCAACCAACCCCAGTAGGCTGGTTCCAAGTAGTAGACTAGCGTAGTCAACCACCGTTGACTAGACAGAGTTCGGGCAAACGTTAGTTAACCATTGGTCAACTATAGTCCTTGCGCGAACTTGGCCTGATTTTGTCTTTTTGACCGACAAGGCATTTATTAATGGGAGCAAATATGTGCTTGGTTGGTTTTAAACAATTATGTTTAAAACCGGCTAGGAGCCTGGATGCGGATAAAGGCCCGAGCTGTATTAAGAAATTTGATATGAGAATGCTTCGATTTTAATATCATGATGCCAAAATCTGTTTTCGATTCTTGGCCGTGAGTACACTCCGACAACAGACAACCTTGTTTCATGGACTAAAAATCCACATTTGTTGGAAGCACATGTTGCTTATTGCATGGCAAAACTTGCACCGAATATGTACCTCAAAAATGTAAAGTTGGAAACAGACAAGCAGTTGTACCAGTTTCACTGTATTGCTAACTTAGGATAAAACATCGCTCTCTCACCACAGCTCCTAGAGCAGGCCCTAGTCATCGAGGAGCAGCTACGCCGTGCCGCCTACCTCAACCTAACCCAGGACCCTAACCACCCGGCCATGGCCCTCAACGCACGCTTTGCTGAGGTGGAATGCCTGGCCGAGAGCCATCAACACCTGTCCAAGGAATCGCTGGCGGGCAACAAGCCTGCTAACGCTGTACTGCACAAAGGTGAGAATTTCACCTCATTGGGCTGAAAGTTGAAAGTCGAGTCCATCACAAGTCCTCACACGTCCATTTCAAGTTATCCAGTCCAAAAATCAAGTTGCAAGCCAGTGTTTCCCCTGGCTAATGAACTGAGCGAGGTGGTAACAATTCAAGTTGATGACTGAGACAAAATTTATGCAGTCTGCAAACTGAAAAGAATGCAGCGATGATTCCAAAAACACATCGAAATTGTGAGTTCTTGATACATGGAGGTAAAGGAAAACGCTCATACCGTATATTACACAAAATGAAAAATTTTCAATAGATATTTCCTTTTTTGCCAATCTTCACAGCGAGGTGGTGATATTGGCAAAAATTGAGCGAGGTGGTCACTGAAAGTAGCGAGGTGGGCCGCCTCACGTTTGAATGGGCAGGGGAAACACTGTTGCAAGCTATTCAAATGAACTGTGATAACGAGATGTGTCCTTTGTTTATTGTTCATCCACTGATATGTTGTCACCGTTTTCAGGAAGAGCCACATGTGTGGATTTTGAATACAAATCGTTTTCAAGATAATCGCAAAAGAAGTTTCTCCTGTTTTAAAACTGCAAAAAATACTACTTTGCAACAACTTTGTGCAGTAAGGAAACCTTCACATGATTCTGTGAGAGCTGATTTTTTACGTGAACCCAGTAATTAGAATTAACACAGTAGTTAATTAGTGAAGATTAATTAGTAAAGATATGTGTCTCTTCTCGAAAATGAAAATTCAAGTTTCCTACGTTTTGGCCCTTTCTGTTCAATGTGTTTTCCCATATGGATGGGGCGCACGTGTGTACGCGCGCGCAGCTGAGAATGTAACAAAGATATGTGCCTCTTCGTGAAAACGAAAATCTCAGTTGACCTACTTTGACGCATTTCCGTGCAATAGGTTTTGTGCGCGTTCAAGGGGCCAAAATGTATGTGGCTCTTTGTGAAAACGCAAAATGCAATTATCGAGATTTCTGCCCCTTGCATCATTTATTTAATTTGGAAATCAATGATGTTTTTCTTACAGAAACCTGTCAAAATGGCTAAGTACAATGTTTTAAAGCAAAATAGTGAAGAAAAAAAAATCGAAATCGAAAAAATGGTAAATTTTGACATGTGGCTCTTCGTGAAAACGGTGATGATTTGTGAGTGGACTTAAGAATTGACTTGTGCTTCTGACCAGATGTGATGGACTAGCGATGGACTTGACTTCTACACTGAATTGATCTGTTATAATGCAAGGCATTGTCAGCGCTTGTATTCAAAGAACAATTGACAAAACCACAGAGCTTGCAGATCTAGGTTTTTTTTACACTTTGGCTTTGAAACACAAGACTTGTCAGTCAGCCCCTGGCTTGGGTAAATACCCCTTGGTGAAATTGAGGTTAAGTGACTTGCTCAGGGACAGCTCTGGCTTGCTTGATGTTGAGAATCGTGCATTATAAGCATTGTGCCATTCTTTCTAATTGTAAACAACAACCCAGTGGGAGGAATTATGTTCAGGCATTGTACCTTTTCTGACCGTTAATCAAATTTGATTAACAAAAATGTGTATTGCTTAGTCATTTTTTTTTGTAGTACAGTGGAACGCTGCTAAAAAGTACATCGTGGGATCGACAGAAAGTGTTCGTAATAACGATCGTTCGGTAAAGCGATTTTGAATCGCCGGCCCCCTTTTGAGCAATAGTGAACTGGCATTCCCACATCCCACGGCCACACGAGGAGAAATCACGAAACTTTAGCAATGGGTGGTTTTCCCTTTTATTCCTTGGGGAAATAATAGCCATTTATCGCTCTTCAACATTCAAACACGACGTAACTATGGGTCGTTTGATGTTAAGGAATTAAAAGTGGCCCAAATAGCATTTAATACAACAGGTAGATTTTTTTTGTGAATCTGTTGACTCTTTTCAACAACAATGTTCGGTACGTTTTGTACATTAAAACCGGGAGCCAAGGATGATGTTCGGCATAGCCGAATGTTCGGTATAGCAGTGTTCGGTATAGCGGCGTTCGGTATAGCGGTGTTCGGTATAGCGGCGTTCCACTGTACTACAAGAGCCTTCTTAATAAGTGAAGGAACTAGACTCTCTAAAATAACATCTTTAATAATGTGATTGTGTGAGTCTGTTCTCCTCAAGCAAAATTTTGTTTCATTTTATCCTCGGACATTCTGTCCAAATTATTGAGATTCAACTCTACTCTGAAGACTTTCACAAAGTTTGCTCTTCGATCTTGTCGCTTTTTTGAGCTGTATTTTTACGAGTTGTAATTCAGGTAGAAAGAAAATGAATAAATGTAAACTATCTTTGCTATTCCTCAGTCCTCAACCAACTGGAGGAGCTCCTGAGCGACATGAAATCGGACGTTGCCCGTCTCCCAGCCACCTTGTCCCGCATCCCGCCAGTCGTAGCCCGCCTGCAGATGTCAGAGCGCAGCATCCTGAGCCGACTGGCCAACCGCGACGGCCACTCTGCTGCACAGGCCCAGCCCCAACAGGTAAAAAAGATGTCCAAATAAAACCGGGAATTATTGAAATAAATTTTAAAAAAAGACTCACAATCACACATCAATGCACTTTAACGGGTATTTAACACAAGCAATCGGTGGTTTTGTTTCAGGAGGGGAGTTAGGAAAGAATGCATGACTTCAAATTACAGCACACTGATCTAAATTGTCACAGAAAAATTGCCGTAACAGAATAAGTCACTCTGTGGGGATTTACTCTTTGGCATTTTCGTGAAACAAATTCTGTGCCAACGTGCATAATATTGCGTTTTTATCTAAAATGCATAAACGAGTTCCACTTGGCTATTGTAAAATAAAAAATTTAAAATAGGAATTGACTGTCGGTGAACACATGCGTTCTTTCCTTATGGAGTACCGAAGTGAATACGTCACACGCACAAAATGTGTGTGTAAGACATTAGCGCGTGATTCAGCCCGTGAACCAACACGCGCGCGTACTCCATTCGTTTGCACTACACTTGCTGGTTCTAAATGACGTCACACTTCGGTACTCCATATCTCTTCTCCTTGGTTGTTGTTTGGTATTTTGCTGTACTTTTTGTGCACATTGTCGGGGATGTATGCAATCTTCCATTCTCCACACGGTCGCAAACAGGGTACTGATGTTACTTTTGAAATACAGCCCTCCATGGTGTCGTTCCGTGTCAAATCACCCAACCCCATCCCCTTCAAATTGGTTTATAAGATTTAGCGTTGGGGGTAATTGAGGCTGAAGTTTTTAATAGCGCAGTCAGCCCAACAGTTTTCACGCTACCGCCCGCCATTTTTGGGGTGATTTTGGCCAAAATGGGCGTGGTCGCCAGTTTTCAAATGAATGCTTCCATACCCTGTGGGTCAAATTTGTTGTTATTGGTGTCTTTGGAAAGAACATTTTTTAAGGGGTGGGGTTTAACCCAAGTGGGTGATTTGACACGAAATGACCCCATGGTCACAGCAGTGACTGTGACAGAAATACACGTGTAATGATCCTCATTTGTCATTCCAGTTGATGCTGGAACTCACACTGAGCCACAAATACCGAGACAAATTTTGAACGACTTGAAATTCTGGCTTTTATGTGTGGCCATAGCATGGAAGATTCTACACATTACCAAATGTTGCACCTTATTGCAAACGTTCAGTTAAGATGGTTTTAATAGTGGAAAATAGGTCAATTTGACATTGTACTATGTACAATACTCTTATAAGTGGTTGAAAGCTCCTTCTTGGAAAGAGCCGTCGGCTAAAAACTGGAAGTCCTGATAACGCCAGAATTATTTTGCCAAAAGCTCTGTATTTTAACTGTTTTCAATGTCTTCATCTTTGACATTTAAAAAAAAAACCAGACTAATAATTTCCACTCGTAACAATTTGATAAGGCTTCTAAATGGCTTCTAAACAGCACTTTTGTCAGAGCGAGAAATAACCTCTAAAATTAATCCATTTTAACCCACCACCTTCTTTAGACACATCCAAACAAATTAAAAGAAGAACTGGTCAATGAAGAGTTTTTATTAAAGAGAAAAGACGACTTGTTTATTGTACGCAATGTTGAGGGCCTTCCAATAATTGGCTTCAGCCTCTAAATGTATTTGAGCTTCTCTTGTCTTATTGTAAGAAAAGAGTTGTTTTTCTTTGTTTTTGTAAAATGCTTTAAGCATAGTAATAGCTAGTGTATATATATGTATGGCAGTACTTGCAATTTATATTTCTTCAACAATTTTTTTTTTTCGTTTTAAGAGCCAAGATCAATACACAAGTTCACTAGTAGTCAGTCGTTAATTTACATATTCTTTTTGTTTATATCAGTGTACGTCTTATTTTGTTCACTTTTTATTTATTTAGTTTAAACTGTAGATAAAAGTCAGGGAGTTGTACGGGCAACAAGGTTTAAGGTCAGATTCTGGTGATCTGTATTTAAGATGAAATTGAAAAACCACCTTATTTGTCTGTTTTTGCCGGACATATTTAAGCTTGCCACTGTTAACTTCTGGGGGATACCGTTGAAGGGTTGTACTGCCCTCTAGGCATTAATTTCTCCCTTTCTTTAAAAAGAATATTGCAACCAATATTTATCGACGATGCTTCATTTTGTAAAGGTATTAGTGTAGTACTGACATGCCCACTGGGTACTTAATGAATTATTCAAGTTTTAAGGTACATGTAGGCAAATAGTGATGATGGAAATTAAGGAAGTTTCACTTTGGTTGTGCGCTTTTAAAAACTATTCATCAATACCTAAAGACAAGTTTGCCCATTCCTATTGGTCGAGAGCCCATCACGTGGGTGGTTGATAAAAACAGGGGTGTGAGTGACCACTGATAAAAAAATAGCTGAAAACAGCTGAAAAAGGTGTAAAAAAAGCGGAGCTTTGGAAATCTCCTATACTTTTGTACACAGCAAGTGAGGGGGAAAAGCTGAATCCAAAACAAAAAAAAGCTGAAATCAGCTTTAAAGCTGAGATTTCACACCCCTGAAAACAGTTGATAAAATACCAACTGGTTTTAAACACTTTTTTCCTGCACTACTGTGTTACTGGGTCTGCGCCACAAAGCAGTACCCGCCGCGCGCCAATCTTCCTATTAAAAGGAGATTTGTATTATTACTACGCGCGCAAGGCACGTACCATAGACGTGGCAAGAGTGGTGTTTCACAAAACACGAGGCAAAATAATTGGACAAAATCGTTGGAAATGTCTTGACGTGTTTTGGCTTTTTGACCAAACGGTATTTATGAATGGGAATAAATATGTGCTTGGGCGGTATTCAACAATGACGTTTCAAACTGGACGCGATAAATGGCCCAAGTCGAAGGTGAGGGCCATTATCTGCGACAAGGCCCCTAGCTTAGAACCCGCGAAGCACACATTTATTCCCTTCAATTTTTAATTTTCAGCCAGTGCAGTAATTGTCAACCAATGAAGTACACTACAGACAATGAAATTTTTGAATTTATTTAATTGATAATCAATTGATTTAATTGACTAACATTCACAATAACTGAATAACACTGAGTGTGATCACTTGTCCATGCGCCATTGCCACAAATGAAGCACCGACTATGTAAATAATGTCTTTTCTTCCGTAACTTAAATTTTTTAAAAGGGAGTTCCTTGTGTTTTTTTTTGTATTTGATTTACATGTGAGCATTGATCTTAACACAGACTGTGTCTGTCTCTGATAACAGGGTTCGTGTAACAGATAATTCATAACGGTGACCACTAAAATAGATTTAATTTATTCAGCAATGCACAAGTTGAGGCAAAACTTGCTCAAGTGAAATCATCGTGAAGCTCCAACCAAGAAAACAAATTCAAAGAGAAAATGCCACAACGGAGGATTATCAAGATTTTGTTGACTTTGGGAGGTATTTGATGAAAGAATCATTAATCTCTAATTATTCCCGAAATAATTCCTGTAAAGTGACATCATTGTTGAAGCAGAATCCACAACATTCCTAATTTCGTCTTTTATTCCACGATACCCGAAACATTGGTTGGTGTTTTCAGTCTTCCACTTGAGCGATTTTAATCTCTTCTTTAAAAAAAATTACAACGAATAACATTGATGTACACGTAACCTAAACAAAAATGATGCTTAAAGTTTGAAGAATAAATGTTGCACCGTGTCTAAAGCACGACCAAACCAAAACAACTTGACTTGATCTGGTGTTTTTTTTTCTTTCTTTCTTTTCTTCTTTTTCTATGTCCGTCCCTTTTCTGTGCCTGTGTCGCTGCAGATTGCTCAACCTCTGTCTCAAGGGGTTGGCAACAAGACAGCAGGTGGGGCCACGTCCTCTGCGGCCGCCGCGTACGCCAATTATGCCAGCAAAGGGGCGGGGTCGGGAGGCAGCTTTGCAGGCGGGAGCCAGCAGGGGCGACGCCCGATCATTCAGCATGGCCCCGCCCAATTTACCGGGGTCCAGACCAACCATTTCGGGCAGAGTAAGCTTTGTCTGATTTGTCAATTTTTTTTTTTTTTTTTTTTTTTTGAGATTGAAACGCCAAAATATGTCTCGCATCCCACAAAGTAATACTACTGTGTACTTTGGTGTTATGGAGTTCAATGGAATAAGAACTCGCCAATAATATACATCAATTTGTTTTGGAGGGGGAGGGGGATGGAGGATATAGGGGGAGGGGGGTAGGTACCTGATTTCATACTTTTTTGTTGTTAAAGAATACACTTTCAAAAACAAACGGGCGGAGGATTGCAGAAAAGTCCCCAAACCTAAGATCATCCTTTTCCAATTCTAAAAAGAATTATAGAAAAATGAGGTATTATCAAAGCTCCAAATCAAATGAAGTCAGCGCAGATGTATAACCCAAGACCGCTGAGCTTGCCAGGAGTGCTACAGTACTCGGTGATGTTGGCTGTGGGAAGGGGGGGGGAGGGGGGATGCTGCGCAAAACCCATGATTAACCCAAATAGTCACTGCAACTGCCTGGCCTATCAATCCCTGTATGGCGTTAGCCCATTGACACCTGTACTACATTGTATTACACTGTGTTTATTCACTGAAGAATCAATAAAAACCATAGAGTACTTGGGCGGTTTCAGACGCTGCAGTGAGTAACAATCATTGCGGTTTCGGGCCCTACAGTGGTTAAAGAGTTGAATTGCCTGAGCACTCCATGCTTTTATGCATTCATCACTGAATTAAACACATTGTAATAAAATGTAATACAGTTGCTGTAATACAATGTAATACAGTTGCAAATGGGTTCAATGTACATGATCGCCTAGCCTTTCGCCAAGGTTATTGTGGCTCTAACCGACGTTACTAGACGGAGCGGAGAAGATGCTCAGTGACTGGAGCGGAGACAACATGCACGAGTGGCAAAGCCACGAAGCCTTTTCCAACTTGTCAGGAATTTCTTAAGTTTTTCGTTATTTCTCGATTTTTTGTTACGGTACCCTAAAAGGGTAGCAAAATTCCAACCAATTATTAGCCTTATAAATGCGCGTGTGGCTACTACCCGGACGGGTGATGCGGGTACACGCGCGCTTGCGAAGCACGTACACACGCACGCGCCTAAATCAAGTTAGAAAAGGCCCCGTGGCTTCGCAACTCGCGAACGCTGGCTTAGTCTTTGCTCAAGTTGCTTCGTGAATTTGCGGCTTCGCCACTCTAAGCCATGGTGGCCTTGGCGAAAGGCTAAGGATCGCCTGATGCAAAGTTCCACTATCCGGCTAAGAATACTATGGGGTTTGTCTCTGTAGCCATCCAGACCATCCCCCAGGGTAACGTTCAGGTCCTGCCGGACCCTAGCCACACGGTCATCATCAAGAACCAGTCTGGTACCCCGTCCACCCAGGCCACGGGAGGCAGCAATTACTACACCACCATGCTGAGTAACGCCTCGAGCGCCATCTCTAATTCAGGTGAGGGGGCCGTCCGACAAAACTTAGGTCCGGGGTTCAAATCTTCGCTTGGGTTGCTGTAAGAATTGGATTTCATTTGAAGTGTTTTCAGGCATGCAACTTTTCCTCGGATCTGCTGATTTCATCATTTTTTTACTTCTCATGAATGCCATTACAACTTGAAAGACACTGTAAAAGTCTTGTGTGGTTTGGAATTTCCTCGTTTTTTTTTCCTTCTAAATTCCCAGTTGCATGCCTGTGTTATTGTCCATGAGTGTTTTTGCTTTCACCCTTCATGCACTGTCTATGTAAAATATCAATGTCTTTGCCGTCTTTAAGGAACATCTAGATCATGTCTTCCTATTTCAAGGTTTCTTGTGATCACTGGCTGGGTTTTAATTTCAAGTGGTATATGTTTGGTAATGGTCTGATGATGATTCCTATGTTATGCAGGTTCGTTCCCTAAAATGATTCAAGTGTGGGGTTCAGAATGCTAATTTTGCAGTGCCAATCAGCTTTGTTAAAATTGTAGTTTCGTCATTTAGTCTGTCACGTCACTTAGTAGTCTCGTCACTTGTCTGTTTCCATAGCAACTTTGTAGTTGAAATGAAAACCAAAAAAATGTTATTGCACTGTCAACCGAAAAGTGGTAAAATTGCGAATGATTTTGGATGACCATGCAGCACACAAATTAACATGCTTCCTTTCTTCATGGTAAGAACGTCAAGCTTGAAAAGGACAGAATTCTACTTTTAATTCTAATTTTAACCTCGTTCAATTTTTTGTGTGTGTCGGGATTGATGGCATCTTCTTCAGAAATTGCTTTTTGAAAGGAAGTACCACTTTCTCAAAAGTGCAGTGACATTTTGAATAATACCCCATACTTTTTGTTTTGGCCCTTTCTTTCCCTTCCCCCCCCCCCCCCCCCACTTCCCCCTCTCCCCTTTGTTGTTCAGTTGTGTTGAGTGGGGACATGATGGGTTTGCTACCTGACGCCCCTCAAAAATCACTCCGAGAAAAACACAAAGTAAGTTTGCCTCCCAATGGAGACATGGTTACCCTATAAAATATACCCAACTCAAAACCAGATCTACCCAGTTTGAGCCGAAACCCTTCGAGGTTGTTTGTGGCATACCTCCATTGGGGGTCTTAGTATTAAACAGGTGTGCCCTGCAGTGATTCGCAGTGAACAATTTTGGGAATCTACCTCCTTTGGGGTATAAGTAAATACTTGAAAATACCCCAAACGATTCATTTATTTGGGGCAACATGGGAATACCCAAATTAGGGTGGTGGAATTCTTACACAGTGAATGTCCATAAATGCATGTGATATCATGTTGTGTTATATCCATTTGTCATATCTGTGTTATGTTTTTGGTCACGTGCTTGAACTTTTGTCAACGTGTCACACCCAAAATGTCATCCTCAAGACACTCCTTTCATCCTCTCAATCACGTTTGGCCGTTGCTTCTTGGAAATCCGCCTCTGGCCGTTGCTTCTTGGAAATCCACCTCACATTGTCCATCTAAACAATAGACATCAACTTTAAGGATTATTTTCCTGCATCTGTAGTGCATGATAAACCCATGGGCCCAAATTGTGTACCTTCTGCTAAAGCAGAAAATACTCTAAGCAACAAATAGTGGAGTACCAGTCAGCGACATACATCTGCTTGCTACTTGGTACTTGGTGGTTATCCTCTTCAGAACTCCTCGGGGAAGTCTAAGAGGCTTGGAGTTTTGGCTGGTGACGTGAATTTTTCTAAATTTCTGCTCTCAGCACAGCCCATGGCTAAGCACTGCTGTCAAATTTCCCCCGATAATCAAGTACACAATATATGGAGTACGTTATAATTGACAGATTTTTGGTAAAAACAGAACAACCCAATCTTATTTTTTGTTCATTCCGTATATTTGTGATCGGCACACGATTTGATTTCAGAAGTGTGTCATGGGGACATTTTTGTGTGTGTGCAAAAGCTTACATTTCACGGTCAATTAAATCTGTGGGTATTTTTTGCTTTTGTTGTGTCCTATCAGGGCCATCATCATCGTCATCATCACAAGTCAAAGGCCAGGATGGGAGGCAGATCAGATGTGAGTTTTTGACGCAATACTCACCCCAAACTCTCCAAAAATGCGGTCTACTTACCTTAGGCCAAAAAAAAAAAGTCTCCGGTTTCTGGTATGGAGCTTGCCCAAAAAAGTGGTGCGGCGAAGCGGCTTTTTTTTTTTTTTTTACCTGATTTTTTTGCTTCAAATGTCGGCTGATGACTGCTAATGGTGCCCGACTAAACTTAGTGCAAATATATGGGAGTCCAGAGAGGCCACAAAAAGCTTATTCTCGACCATAACCCAATCTAAAAACACGTTAAAATTGTGCAGCAGCAGGATTCCAGTCAATCCAGTGAGTTTGGCGGTTTTGAGACATCATCTTTCATTGAAAAAAAACCTTTTTCATTTTGCCAACGTGCATGGCTACGGCGAGGCACGCGCATACCAGAAACCGGAGACTTTTTTGTGTGGCCTTATTAGAGTCAGAGGAGAAGGGGGGGGGGGGGGAATTTGGTCCCCTTTCAGGGAGTAACAAATTCAATGAAGTTGGCAAAACCTTTAGAGAAATCCAAAAACCAGCAGATACATCTGAAGTTCTAGTCCATTTTTGATACAGCCTTTCATAATTACCATCATCAACAGCATTCGTTACAGGATGTCTGAACTCTTATCTTCATTGTGAGTCATATGTTTCCAAGGACTTTCTTGATGAACTGAAAGATTGACTGGAATTCGGTCGAGTGAAAGCCTGAGAATGTCATGTGTTAGAAAGTCTTGAAAACTGCGTTCAGAATTCATTGAATTTAAAATTTCTGCATGAAAGAAATCAATTGTGGCAGTGAGACTTTGAATGACATGTTAAAATGAAAGTGATGGGCAAGAAACACAACCACGACATCAACATCTTAGATATAAAAGTTGGAAGAATTTTGAAAAAAAAATTGCCACAAGTGTGAACAGTTACACATTTGCACTTCATACAAACGATCATCATACCTTTTTTTGTTGTTGACATTTTGGAGAAGTGTATTTGACCTGTTTTCCTAAAAACTTTTTGGGGGACATAATGAACAGCAAAACCTAATTGCTGTCATTCTCAATAATCAAATAAACTGCAATAGAAACTGACTAGGTTCATTAATAATCATTTGAAAGTTAAACAGAGAAATCGACTGGAGCGGGGTTTGGCCCTGCACCCTCCAGATTGATGTTTCAGACATGTCAGAGCTCTACCAACTCATGAGCTATCCAGCCCCATGTTGGCGGTTTCCCATTTTGTTGCTGTCTTTGTTCAAGGGGCACTAGTCAGAAGCCACAAACCCATACATGCCATGTATCCAAGAATCACACTCCAAGTCACAATGCTCGTACATTAGCAATGCTGCAAACCCAGTTGAAAGGCATTGACGAATTGGGGAATCACCAACATAGGGCTGGATAGCTCAGTTGGTAGAGCACCAGAAGAGCGTTCCAGTAAAGACTTTTATTCTTCTTAGGTTAGTTTTGTATATTGATTTGTTTTCATCAGTATTATTTTTTGTTGGGTGGTTGTCTCTAGGATCATCGAAGGCTGTCCCAGCATGCGGCTACGTCCCTGGCCAACCTCCAGCAGCTGCGGTCAGCGATTGCCGCACGCAGCCTGGCCACGTCTGCTGGAGCCTCCACCTCAGCTAAGACTACCAAAGATTAACCCCTTCCTTAGAATGGTAGTTACAAATAGTGAGGTTTTGCAAGCGAACGGATATGTCGTCGGGTCGTGTAGTTTTGTGACGTCATACGCAACTCTCTACAAGGATAGTGCCCGTTACGGCGTGAAAAGCGTATTTAATTGTCAATTTTCACCCTCTTTTCCAGTAATAGGCATGCAACTTTTCATTGGATCAGCCGATTTCCTCTTTTAAAATTGAAAATAAAAAAAAATAAAAAAATTGAAAAACATTTAGAAAGTCTTGTAAATCTTGGAATTTCCATTTTTTGGGGGTTACTTTCCAGTTGCATGCCTGTAATAAGGTAATACATTTTGAATGATTTGAAAGAGGATGCATTAGTTAACATACATATGTGACATTTGTCAGTGTTTCAAAGCAAGATTAGCTGCAAATATGGGGCTATCATTAAGGGCTGCCATTTTGGATCACTGCTTTGGTAACGATAAACGCGTACACAATGTGAAACAACAACAGATTAATGATGATAACCGTTACGTGTGCTAAACGTATGCGTACACGTATCTGATCGGTTGCAAAACCTCTCATATCTTCTGCAAGATCCCACCTATCCTGTCACCCTGACAACAACACAAATTTCAACTCTTTAGATGGACAGCTGGAAACTGTACCTAATTTGCATAACAAAGGCTCCCTCCTGGTTGTATACACACATGCTGATACAGGGACTGGTTTAAAAAGTTGAAGAGAAATTATGAGCGAGTTGGATTTATTAAGCAAACATGTATGTGTGTGTCTTTCTTGTACTGTGTTGTTTCACACTTTTAGATCCATTTGAAAATAAGCACTACAGTGTATTGTATAATTAGCACACGTTCATTCAGTCAAGTTAGACTTTTGTGGAATGTGACCACTTGTTAGGAAATGGGACCTTAGAGTGCTGCCAAACAGAAACCATTGCTTAGCCAATAAGCCAATTTGCGAATTCGGTTCGAGGTGCCCTGACTTGCTCAAACGCTTGGCACTTTTTAACTTTGAAGTCTCCCGACCAACGAGACTGTTGCTATATCACGTGATTCGGGGCAAGCCTTACGCCAGCAACCCCCAGCTCCGGAATGGTCTGGCGTCTTTGTACCATTCTCACCCAATGCGTTGATGCTGAGCATCTCTTACGTAACTATGAGCTAAATAATGAAAGGTTTGTGGAAACACCATGTGCAAATAATTTCTCAACTAAGAGAATGGTTCTGAAAAGAACCAGAGGTATAAACTCGACGTTCCGGTCGGTATGCTCTGACTCGACGTTCCGGTCAGTATGCTCTGACCGTACTGACCGGAACGTCGAGTTTATACCTCTGGTTCTTTTCAGAACCATTCTCTTAGTTGAGAAATTATTCGCACATGGTGTTTCCGCAAACCTTTCATTATTTAGTATCTCCACCATGCAAAGCCTCAAATCTTACTTAACTAAGAGCTTGCCCCGAATCGTGTGCTATAGCAATGGTGTCTTCGGTCTGGAGAATTCAGAGATAAAACGTGTGTAGCGTTATGAACAAGTCAGTGTACCAGATGTTATTCAAATTGAACTCGCCTTTACCGGTAGGTTATTAGCAAATGGCTTATTCCCGGCTGAGTGCAAAATCAGCAGTGTACCAGTTGCGCCCAGTTTAGCGGCATGAGATTTTGGCTGGTAAACCGCGTTTACTGTGATTAGCAATTAATGAACAGAGGGCAGCTTATCAAGACTGCTGGCCACTACAATTCAGCCAAATGTCATCACATATTGGACATTAATGGCCACAATTTGCAGGGAAAACAATCTCCAAAAATGCAATCGCTCCACTTGGACATAATTTCTTGTTGTATATATATCAACATTTTGTCTGTGTGTATATAATGGATGTCAATGCTGCAACATAGAGAAGAAGGTTACACAGTATTTTGTTAATTAAAATTTGAAGAAAAAAAAAGGTAAAGACCTGAAAAAGTCTACAGTATTTAAGACAATGTGTTGTGCATGAATATTAACGTCACAGTTATACATGTAGTTTTTAAAAATCAAGCTCTTTCTGCATGTGTTTTGGGTCAACAAAAAGTTGCACTGTAATGTAAAGAATGTGCTTTAACCTTATGGGTGGGTTTTGAAAAATCAATGTCAGACATTGATTATTTTTTTTTGTTACTGGAGATATCGAAAACTTTTTATGTTATTTTTGTACGAATTTAAAGAAACTCCTTGAAAAGTTTTGACAAATTATCAGTCTGATGATGGTATTCATAAGGAAGACTAATTTAAAAAGTTTGTGTTTCTATCTTTTTTTCAAATTGTGTACTATTTTCTTCTATATTTCAGTTATCGTTTATAATTATGACTTGAGCAATGCATGTTGTTTCACCTGAGGAGGGGAACAGCAAGCAGATTAAGCCCCGGTTCAGACAGGCGTTCTACAGTCGCGCCGAACCAAACGAAAGGCAAGATTTGAATTATTACATGTACATGAAAAATTCGAGGTCTGAAACAATTAGGAGCCAGTAGACCGCCAGATGGCAGAAGATCAACAGTCGTAGCCGTTCAGAATGACTCAGGAGCGACTTGATTACAGACGTCGCTCTGATCATGAGCCGAACTCAATGCAAATGTTGTGACCTTGCGACATATCACACAAGCCGCCCATAAATTAAGACTGCAGGCAATTTGATTAACGCATGACGCAGTGCTTAAAATTTGAAAGTTTTCTTTTTGCAGAATCGATCCTTTCAAACACGGGATTTTGACATCGCGTTATAGAACAATACAAGATACAACAACAGAATTTTAACAAAATAATAATCGGCATTTTAAGAACGCTCTTTTTTAGTACACTAAATCACAGCGCTTACAGTATTATTATTATCCCTGATCATTGGGCCTATTCAACATTCCAAATACCATCTCAGCTCCCTGGGGAGTATACAGCTCGATGCTGCCTGTTAGGCGCAAGCAAGCTAAATCAATCACATAACCATCTCTGCCCTCACAGGTACCCATTTACCCCTGGGTGGAGAGAAGCAATGAGTGACAAAGTGCCTTGCTCAAGGGCACACGCACCATGACCCCGCCAGGACTCGAACCCACAACCTGCAGCTTTACCCACAGACCACGAATCAGTGCCCTTAACCACGAGGCCACAGCACTCCAACAAAAAACTGAGACTTCCAGTATCCATACGGTACAGACATCGCACAGTTTTGAAAAATAAATGTTCATATGTGATGTGATGTGCAAAAGATAATGTGAATTGTGAACGCACATGGTGTGTTTCACTGTCTTCGATACGCGCACAGTACACTCTGAATAGTCAATCAGTGCCAGTTTAGGGAAGGAACGGTCATGCAGCCCATATGCAACAACGGCGCTGCGCAATGTCGGCTTGTTGCTAAGATCTGTGTTCAATTGTTTGTACCAGGGTGACCGTAAGGTCAGAGCCAAATTCTGCTAAATGCACATCAAAAATCTGTCATATTTATCAAAAATCTGCCAAATTCCCCAGAATTACTTGAAATACACTATGAACACTTACAATCACATGCAGATTGGTAGTATTGCCTTAATTAAGATTCAAATTACATAAAAAAACAATCTAGTCACATAAAGATGTTGTGAAATTATTGGTAAATTTCGGGCAAAACGCGGCTCCGGCCATGAAGAAGTCTGTTTCCCAGTGAACCTCAGCACCTAAGACAAGCCAACTTATCCGATTATGCAAGGGTTTGCTTGAAAGGATTGGAGCTTTTTAAACAAATGTACACTTTTTAATTCAAATTTGCTGTTTTTCTGTCAAATAACCATTTTTGCAGAATTCTGCCAGAAATCTGCCCAAAAAAATCCATTCTATCAAATTTTCTGTCAAACTTGTTTTTTTTAACAAAAATTCTGTCAAAGTTAGCCAAAAATCAGCTAAAACGGTCACCCTGGTTTGTACACAATACTCCAGTGTATTAAGTTTGCCTGTCTGAAAAAAAAATTTGAATTGGGTCGACCTCGAGTTGCTCATGAACAATTTAATTTGGCGCGACTCCTGAAGGCCTGTCTGAACCAGGGGTGACAAGGGAGGACTCCTCAAATCTGCTTAAAAAAAATGTTTAGCAGAAAATCATGCTGAGCACTTTTCTTTCTTCAATCATTTGTACATTATTTCATTAAAACAGAAAGGGGAAAAAAGTTGGGAAAATTGAAAGGGGAAAACTGTTTACCTTCACGCCTTGTAAATGCTTTGGTCGCTCTGCACGTGTTTGTCTTGTGTGCCTACTTGTTCATGTGCACAAATAAATAAACAAAGAGAGAAAGAATCCTAAATTGAGTGCATCATGTTGTTCGCTGTAGTCCTTTCCTTTGGCTTGGATTATTGAATCTTCGGTTTTTGAGTGAATGTAGTCATTTTGAATTGTATTTTTTAAATGTACAATTTGAAATGTGCTTGAGAACATTTGACAGAGTCATACTCTAAAAGATATACCTACAGTGTTAGATACACACTTTTTGCTCTGTCGTACATAAGTCAATGATATTGGGGGGGGGGGGGGGGGGGGTTCAGGTTGACGCAGTGGTTACTTTCCTCGCCTTCCACCGCTATGGCCCTGCTTCTTCAGTCCCTACTTGATTCTGTGTTTTCCCTCGGAATATTCTTCTGGGGTTTTTTCTGTAATTTCTTCTCATTGTCTTCTCTCTACCGGTTTCTTCAGGCTTACGAGTTACTTTATAAAAAGATATAACAAACAGAAGACATACTTCTCATGAGGCTAAAATTGCCACTCCACAAAAGTATTTTCATCCACTTGAAACTTAAGCTTGAACATCTGAAGAGTTCCAATGCATCCTTACTCACAATCTGTTTGTCCTGGGTTCATAACCAGCCAGAACTTAACTCTTTCTTTCTATTGATATCAGGGGATGTAAATTCCAAGGTATATAATTACACTGAGAAACTGCTAAGTGTAATAAGAGGAAATGGCCTAGAGGCTCATGACGCCAAGATATGAACACCATGCACTATTGCACTGCTTCAAATTCAGTCAATGTTCCAGTCAGGTTGGCGTAGCGGTACTTTCCTCGCTTTCCACTGTTGTGATCCAGGTTCGAATCCCGCCTGGGTCAATATTATGGATTGGATTTTCAGTCCCTACTTGATTCCGTGGGTTCCCCCACAAAAATCTTCTACGGCTTTCCTCCGACATCTAAAACTGTAAGCT